AAGTCATAGTATAGAATGTCATAAATAAGTCATAGTATAGAATGTCAGAAAAAAGTCATAGTATAGAATGTCATCAAAAAGTCATAGTATAGAATGTCATCAAAAAGTCATAGTATAGAATGTCATAAATAAGTCATAGTATAGCATGTCATAAAAAAAATACTTGGATAGCTCGATCACATACCTGTCTGTTTAGCAGAATGTAGATGACTGGGTTGTACAGAGCAGAACTCTTGGCGAAGAAGGCCGGAGCAGTCATGAACACTGGTCCGAACTCGGTTCCTTGATTGGCAAAGATGTACCAGGCCACCGTGGCATAGGGCACCCAGCACACCAGGAAGGAGATCACCATGAATATTACCATACGAGTCACCTCTTTCTCCGCTCTCTGGGTGCTTTCAGACTCCTGCTGCAGGGCTGCAGCCTGAGAACAGACAGATGCAGTTATTAACTTATTGAAGAGCCAATCGTAAACACGAGGGTCAGCACATCACCGCACTGAAACACATGGGATTAGACTGCCAAACTGATGGACAGGTCCTTTAATCAACACTTGAAAATGGTTAAATCCACAGTAAGTTATTCGTGTTTTCTCATGCTGTTTAAGGTTTGTTTATATCTGTAATATATTTCAAACACAGCAGTAAAAAGCACTGAAAAAGTCGTGTTGTGTCCCCTTTAAGTTTGTTATGACATCATTTATTTGTCTAAAAAATTATGTCCTCTCTAATGATAAATGTCAAAATTATTTTGTAAATATTCATGACTAATACATTATCGATGTTCTACTATCTATTATTAATGAGGGCATCGGGGCGACACTGTGAGCAGGCAGACTGCCCTTCGGCTGGAGGACCCGGGTATAAGCTGCCATGTTGGCAATGATCTGCCCTCCTGAAGAGTCCTTGAGCCACTAAATCCCTCACATCTCCAGAGACTCTGCTCTGTGATGCTGCTAACCTCTGTGGAGGGGAGAAAGGTAAAAAGAAAAGAATTCTCTTTCTCTTCAAGGATAAACAAAAGGTATCACATCCTTATTAATAATGTGTTGTCTGACAGCGGTGTTCCGTCTTACCGCTCGCACAGTGCAGAGTAGGCGACCGTAGCAGAAGAAAATGATGAAGAGGGGGATTGAGAAATGGAGGACAAACATATAGATGACGAATGAGGTGTTGTTGATCTCGGGCTTGGGAGTGTAGTAGTCAATCCCACAGGAACACTGCATTCCCTCGGGGATGAACCTGCATCCACACACGACAACAATCAAAGGATTTCCATCAACACCATCACACTCGGTATTTCATACGAGATGTGTGTCAGCGAGTAAGTGTGCTGCAAGTACAGCAAAGGCACTCTCTGATGTGCTTTACCGTGCAAATGATATTTGTTATGGTTTTAAAGCCTGGAAAGCACAGTCTAGACACTGAAACATACAGTACCGGGACCATCCGAGCAGAGGGGGAGTGGCACAAGTCATGGCCATGACCCATGTGAACACCAGCCCAGCGATGGCATGTTTCTCCTCAAAGCGGAAGTTGCTCATTGGCTTACAGACCACAATGTAGCGCTCAATAGCCAAAACCACCAGAGACCAGAGAGCAATCTCTCCTGAGACGTTCAAATAAAGCAGGTGTAAGCGTAAATACAGCACACATATACTTGGTATTACACTTGTACAGACACAGTATTTGAGATTTCAAAAATATTCATCTCATCTCTTACCTCCTAAAGTGGCGAAGAAACCTTCGACGTTGCAGCCGGTGGCCCCTAAGATGAAGTATCCGTGCAGGGCCGTGTAGAGTGTCACCGTGAAGCCCCCGAGGACCATGAAGAGGTCGGCCATCGCCAGGTTGAGCAGGACAAAGTTCAGAGGGTTCCTCAGCTTCTTGTTTTTGACCGTGACATAGAGGGTGAGGAAGTTGACGGGGAAGGCGGTGATGATGAGGAACAGCATGTACGCGGCCAGAAGAGAGTACTTCCAAGGCTCAGCCAGGTAGTACTGAGGGTGCTCAAATGGGCTGCGAACCAACCCGGTCTTGTTGGACATGGGGACATAAAAGTTGGGTCCTTCTGTGCCATTCATGGCTGCAGTTGGTGATCTTTTTTTTTTTTCTTCCTCTGAGACCTTAGCAGTAGATACAACAATCTGTGAATCTTCTAAAAGGGGAAATACAGCGAGTGGGTCTTATAGTGTAGCCGTAGTGCGAATGGAGGAGCGAGAGGACAGCTGGAGGGGATGGATCTTTTGGAAGTGAGATGTGCTCTGGAGCCCCCTGAAGCGATGCAGCACCTTTTAACAGGCTGGTCGGATTAGGGACTCGCAGGGAGCGAAGTGTTAGCAGAGATGGAATTAAGACACTCCGTCTCCCTCTCTCACACAAAGCATTACAACTCCAGAAATAGCTATGCGGTATGTTAAGCATTCTCAAGGTGAGGGGGTTACAGCCCGGGCTACCCAAACCCCATCATTACTGTCACGCGCATCGATGCATCATCAGAATGAGATGAGAGTGGGAGCGAACGCAGACGGAAGCGACCGGTTGTTTTTTTTTTTTGAGTGGACCAACGACAAATTAAATTTCTTATTTGCATCCGTGAAAGCTTAATCCCTAACCGCTGCATAATGCAGAGCTCAACTCATAGCCTTTAGAGTAATCAGAGTCAGTGGGGCATGCTGCTCATAGCATGCACTCTCTCGCACACAAAACCTGTAGTTCAGTCTGAAAGAAAAGGAAGTTAATATTACCGTCTTTACAACATCATTATGAAAGGCCTCTGCAATAAAAAGTACCAAAATATTTTATTGAAAAGGTTTTTTTTTCCCTTTGTAACAATATCAAAAATACATTTTTACGACCAAACATCAGATGACGTGTCCCGTACTGTTGTAAAACATACAGAACAGCTTCAGCTCATAAGCATCTTGTCCTCTACACAGCAAATACATGTTTTATAGGTTAAAATAGTCTTAAATAAAATGATTTTTATAGTAATTTTTTTACATTGTTCAGCCATGTTCCTTTTAAACTGATGATGTAATCAGTGACAGGTCAAGGTAATCTGAGCCAATCCACCCAATTGGGTCGATTGGCTGATGGTGCACTTTTCTTACACTATACTAATGACCGACACACACATACACACACACACACTACAGGTATTACTTCAGTCATCCTCGGAGGACAAAGAGCTGATCTTAAGACGGAGCTCGAGGAAAAGCAACACATTCACATTAACCGGAAGATAAACAGATGTCCGTGTACATCACAGCGACAAATATATTACAATACAAAAGAATAATGACAAAAAGGACGAAGAGGAAAGGACCAAAATGGAAATGGTTTCTCTCGTTTTAAGTAGATCAGTTCTGTTCGTCGATGGGTCTGCGACAATAAGGACAGCAGTTGTGCTGAAGCATCAGGAGCTCATAATCCTCACTGTGAAACATCTACGAGGAAACACAAAGATAAGAGCGTCAGAACGGCCCAGAATAAACAGATCTGATCACAAATGCTGTGTAGAGCAACATGAAAGTAAAGCTTTGTCTGCGGTTCACACCAGGTCGTGGTGGCCGTGTGCGTTATGAACGCTGTACCTTGAAGCAGGTGGGGCACATGGTGATGCTCACGTCGGGCAGCAGGGAGCGGAAGTATTCCCATTTGAGCGGCCTGGGCCAGCGTTTGATCAGGACGTCCCTCCTGCTCATGGAGCGCAGCACCAGGCGACTCACCTTGACGGGGACAAAGGTGGAGCCCCCCTGCTGTTTCGACGCACACACGGACACATTATGGACCCCGTCCTTTCACCCTCTCCAGCTGGTTTGCCCAGTTGGCGGAATATTAAATCGCCTCATCACCCCGCCTTACCTCGAAGCTCATTTTGGCTGTAAATGGGTCTTCCTCTGCATCATCCAAACCGTCATCCATCCTCAAAGCCTGCAGCTCTGAATTTGGTGTTAAGAACGAATAGCACACACATTTCAATAACATATTTTATCTGTTGTGTGTTTTCTGTTATATATTTTCAAGACGGGGGGGAAAACAAACTATATGAAATGATCCCTCAGAGACTATTCTAAGAATGAATGTTCAAAATGCCGATCAGTCGTGCCTGTCAGTCACATCGTGGCTCTGGAAGAACAGAGCAGACCTCAGTGCCCTTGAGTGTCTGTCGGCTAATGCAGGTTAATCCCTGCACTAGGGCTGTGGCTACGGCTCTTGGAGGGTTAGTGTCATTAAGATGAGACAGGAGAGCCACGCTAACCCTATTAGCTCAAGAGCTGAGATGACTTAGCTCTGACAGCTTACCCCACCAGCACAGAACCAAGGCCAACGCAGACTAAACAGCTTCTTAGAGCTGTCACAAGGCGGAGGCGTGTCACGTGCCCTCGCTTCCAAGAGATGTGTGAGGGCAGGGATGCAGCCGCTCAGGACCAGCAGAGCGGGGAGTTAATAATTCATACAGAGCATGCGAGTCATCTGTTACCGCATATGAACACACGGAGTGACATAGTCTAGCTGATCAAAAGATACCGCCGTTGTCCATATCCTGCCAGCGAGCATCCCTGTGATCCGTGTGGGGAACTTCCAAGTCAATCAGAGACACGGCCTCCTCGTCACTTATGCCCTCCTCCAGGTAGAACTGCACCAGAGGCAACACCTCTGCACACAAGGAAGACACGCCACGTTACAAAAAAGGACTCCTCTCTGGCGAATATACCGTGCACCCATGCGTTGGCGTGTCACTGACCATATGAGGAGGCCGAGTAGATGAAAGGCTGCCTGCAGTTGATGCACACGCTCCCCTGGTTGTTTAGCAGGGGGTTGTTGGTGGAGCAGCGGTAGCACATCATGCCCTCAATCAGGTCCTGCAGTAAACACACGAGAAGTTAAAACAGACACACTGGAGAGCGCAGGACGGGGGGCGGGGCCGCTTTAATGATCAGAGAGTATTTATGAGCGATGTTTCAGAGTAAGTTAACACGTATACATCCAGCATCTTTAACACACCTCGCTGTCGTGAAACGGTTTGGAGCGGATGTTGAGGCTGCCCAGCTCTATGGACTCCTGGAAGCGAGAGGGAACGTGCAGCTCCTGGAGTTTCTCGTAGGAATACCTGGCAAGTTTATACGCACCCAGCCTTCGACTCTGCTTGGCCAACGCATACAAGGTGTTACTGATAATAAAGGTTAAGGATATCTAACGCAAGAGGAGCAGCTGGAGCGGAATGCCGACTTCTAGATATCTAATTCAAAACAAGTTATTTTTCTGTGTGGAAACATTTATACTTTTGTGCATTTATAAATAGACATAACTGCATCTTCCCTCATTTCTACAACTTAGTGAGTAGAACAAGAGACATGCTGAGCCAGCAACATTGGCTGAATGCCTTGGAAGTAATACCGTGTGTGTGTGTTTTCGTGTTTCGAGTTGAGGGAGTCGTTGCTTATTTGTATTTATATGGAGACGGATTGCTAAGAGAGCCGCTCTGAGAGCAGCAATGACAGGTCAATGAGTTGCAGCTGCAGCCGCTCTACGCTGGCACTCCTCCATCACCTAAAACGTAACACCACTGCTGTCCTTTCCTCTCCACTCAGCGACTCGCCAGCTCCACCCACACACCCAGATCTGTTGATAAATGCACGTCCTCCTATTGTGAAACTTGTTCGGTGCGGCTTTTCTGTGACATTGTGTTTTATTGTTCAAATAGAGTCCAACACATCCCCGCAGAACTCTATCAAATCTAAGTTCAACATTTTTTGTAACACCTCAGTTCGGCCACACAGGATCCAGGCTGCTCAGCCCGATTTCCTCCTCAAAGGCTGGGCTTTCCTTCCTCGTACTCTGCCTCAACTCTGTATGTGTGTGTGTGTGTGTGTGTGTGTGTGTGTGACTGCATGGATTCTGTCTGTGTGGCTTTGTGTGAGTGTGTGTATTATTTCAAATTAAAGCCCATTGTTTAGTGTGTATCCGTTCACTAATCACAGCATTTGTTTAGATAACGGAGAATGTGCCACTTACTGGCATCTCCTCCTCCTTTCCCATCATCCCCCCTTTTCTTTCTCTAGGCAGCAGCGTGGTTTCCGCAGGGGCGTCCACCCCCCCCCCCCCCCCCGACACATTATCATCACCATCCCTGCCAGTCTTGATTTCAGAGTGGCATGTCTGTTCTTCCCCACACTACTTTCTTCTAAAAATATATTTGCTTGATATTTTTCGGAAGGACTACTTTCTCAAATGGAAGGATACACTTTAGAGATGCCTGGCGGTATGTCCTTGGTGAGGTTGTTCAGAAGGAACCTGCAGATGTTGAAGAGCGTCTCTGGCATGTGGGAACTGAAGGGCTCATCCTGGAGATAAAAAACAGATCAAAAGAAAGGATTGAAATATTAGTCTCGACTAAAATTTGGGTGGTTTGAAGTTGTTTTTCAGAAAAGCTCCATCTCCGCTTTTCCTCTGCTTAATTTGTTCGGAGTGTCCATCTGCACTCGGGTGAGAATAGTCACACAGCAACTATTCGGCTATTTACACCCGGCCAAGATGAATATGCTACTTAACTTAGCGATAGTTAGCTGTCAGAAACAGTAGTAACAATAACATTGGTAGTATGTAGAGCAGCAAAGCAGGTCTAGGGAATAGGTTGTGGCGGGTGAATGGATCAAATTTAGGACTTTAATCCAGGAGATTGGTATTTGAGTCCTGTGAGAAACCTATTTTTACACATTCTTTCATCATTATTTTCAGTTTTCAGTCACAGTTTGGTTGGGTTTAGGAAACATATACAGTACATCTAGTAGGCTACATATACACACAGCATTGTCGGCTACGGACACCTAGGTGCTTGTCTCTGCTGTGCTTTATACACCCGGGTGTAAAGGCAAGAGCAATCGTTAACTGCACTTTATCCTAAAGGTTGATCAGTCAAATCATTAGTGCCTGCCTGGGAGAGTTAAGGTGAGGTATCGAGGGTTCCTGCTCTGGTCTGGATCACAGCGATGTGCCTCTCTAAGCCGGGCAGAGAGCTGAAACAACAAACTGAGGATGCTGACACAGGCCAGGTTGCCTATTGAGTGCTCATAACCACAGATTGCTTGTTTGTAAGTGGGTTAGGGCTGTGGGGGGGGGGGCTTGGAGAAGACCACTGGTGAATTAGTCATCATGATCAATCAAGCAGCTGGTTACCACGCTGATAGGGATCAGGGAGGTTTCAGGAAGTGAACCACTGTGACTGTTGCATGAAGGGCGTATCTATAGCTATGATCAGCTATGTGTTCATCATCTCAACTCTTATGTGAAACATTTGCAAAAACGTTTAATAATGGAGGTTCTTGAGAAGTTCAATGGTCTCAACCTGAACTTAACATCCTCAGCTCTCTATTGTTCGCCTTACCCAACAACCACTGTGCACATTTTCTATTTGTCCTTTACCCTAAGTCCCTTTCTCTTTTTTTGGGGGGATTGACATAATCTTGCAGAGCCAGACCTCCTCCTTGTCAAAGCCACAGCGGTCTCAAAAAATGTGAGCACAAAAGTTGATTAGAAAATGGGCAGAAACGCAGTGGGCTGTCAGTGTCCTTCCATGTTCAAAAAAAAAGAAAATTCTAAATTTGGAACATGAATGTGTTTGTGCCCAAACAGAAACTTGAACCACATAGCAGGTACTGTTTCCAGAGCTTTCAATCTGACAGCCAATCACATGGCTGCCTCCTGATTCCTCCCCCCCCCCCCACAGACTTTTGTCTGGTCTGGCTTTGAAAGATTAGGGCTGACAAAGTATCGCGTTCTCACCGTGTAGCGCTGAATGGAGCGATAGACGTGGTAGAACTCTGCAAGATGCTGAAAACGCTCAAACTTCTTCAGCATTTCGTCCTTCTGGTCTTCGCTTTCTGCTCCGGGACAAACACACAGAGACGGACCAAGAGGAAACAAATGCATTTAGCATAACAGTAAAAAACAGTGAAGTGCAGTGAAGATGGGTCTCACCTCTGGCGATGTCCAGACACTGCATAGACAGCATCCAGTAATAGTAGCCTGCATCGTTGAACCTGTTCTCCACCACTGCATTGTGGGTAAGCTGCTCCAGGACTTTAACGGCTTCGTTCTGTCGGCCGGCCTTGTGAAATGCTGCGGAGTGAAAGAAAGAAAGAAAGAAGTGGTGATTGATGGATTGTTTATGATGTGCCCCTTGAGGCACAGCTGATATTTCAGGAGCCAATCTAAAACATCCTTCTTCATGGATGGATCTCTGGGGCAACGCCTTTGGTGCCAAGTTGTCATTGTTGTGTTATTTCACAACCAAACACTAAGCAAGTATTATGACAACTTTATTTCCTAAATGACGTTTCAGTTCGAGTATGAAGTGCTCTTTTTCTTTTTTTAAGATGTTCAGCAATGTTGCCTCTCGTGTCCCGTTTGGCTTCGGCAAAGATTTTACACGTTAACAACATAGCTTCCATGAACTGGTTTTGGGTTTAATCTTTATTCTATCGTATTAATAATATAAAGAACAATAACAATCGTGTGTTTATGAAAGTGTAGGTCACAATGTCTGATGCACACTTCTAATATATTCTGTCTACAGTCACATCTGGAAAGAATCACTCGAGATTAGCTGTGATTTTTGATGCAATCGGATTATTTTACTACAGAACTTTACTGTACCTACCCACACGTACACACGTACACACACACACACACACCGACTACATGCCACTACGAGCAATTTACACATAAAAGACTACGTTTTCTGTATGTAATAAGTCTTTTCTAAACAGGGAAGTTGTTCCTGAATATCAAACACTGAAGCACTTTGACTGTAAAGCCCCAATAAGCACGAGCACTACTCTTCATGTTCCCATCGGAGGGTAATTAGAGCCCCCCCCTCCCCTCCCCCTCCACCAGTGACCCTGCTCCTGCAACCACACTGGGGGTCAGGACATATTAGTGGCAAATATTTATCAGTCTACCTAACTGGATAAAAACCACATTCATCTGCTGTTGATTATTGTGAGGAAGTAACCCCCTCCCCTCCTCCCCCCCCACACACACACACACACACGCACACACACTTGTAGGCCCATAACAGAAAGCAGGTCATGTTCGTAACATTATGTAGACGGAGGTTCGCAGAATGGTCTCCTTTTTATTTAAAGTGCATTCACTTATTCGATCAATATGTAGCGATCCAATATGCAGTTTTTGCAAAAAAGGTGAATGAATGAAACAGAAATATGACGACTATTAAAAGATATCTTCAAACTGAAGACGTCTGTAATGAGCAAATAGTGAGTAAGCCTTTAGGTGATGATAAAAAATGCAGCAGAGCCAATAAAATCTCTGGACGGAACCCCGGAGGTCGAGAACCACATTTTAGCTTCAAGCCCCCAAATTATGTAATTCAGCCTTTAGTGTAAGCTGTTATTGAGAAGTACCAGCGTAGTGGACGGGAGACAGACAGGAATCCTGAGACTCAATTAAAGTTAATCGAGTAACACAATACTGCATCACTAAAATACACACAATCAGCAAAACGCATGACCATAAGCAAAGTCCAACACGATGAGGCCTGTTCAGTCATGAGTTCACTGTCGAGGCAGGCAGAGGAAGATTATGTACAAGAGGAAATACGCCTGCTGAGATCATAATTATAAATCTATGAGCTGATTATAACTATGGTTACAGTTGGTAATCATCATCAGAGCCGCTTGTAGGACTGGTGATTAGAGGCACGAATGCATGTCATTCAGCTAACAGGCAGCTCGGCTCTGTGCTGCTCGGCTCCAGCAAAGAGGATCATGTTTTACAGTGAACACGGAGAATCTCTGCTTCCAGAGCTGGCCAGACTTTATCACTTCCATGTGTAAACATGTGCTGTGGACTTTAATGAAACGTACATTTTTAACAGGACTGCGAATGTGTACACTGGAGAATCCCTAATAGGCTGACTGAAAAGGGGAAAGTGGAGCCCCGGGGCGATGCAAACTCACCTTTTTGCGCCTCCTCAAAGCGGTCGTTCTCCGCCAACCACTGGGCGTAAGGCACAAAGACGTCATTTCTGAACTGGGGGTGCTTCTCCGCTAGCGAGAAGGCCTGAGAAACGGACGGGCGAGAGCAAAAGCAGAGAGTTGTAACGCGGCATTTGTGACACGTTGACTGTAATATGAAGCGGACAGCATCAGACTGAACTACTGTTACCACACACATTATTCAAAGAAACACACATTACTTCCAGTCAAAACATCGCAACGCGGCATTATTAATGAGCTCAGCTTAGGAGCTAAATTGATTTCACGCTCAATTAGAACTACAACTGCGGCTCTTGCACTTTTTTTTGAATGACAGGATATAAAAGAGCTGTTGCAGTGCGCTGTGGACACACATTTGCCCGTCACAGTGACTGATTAATCTAAATGTCCCGTGGTAAAACCTGAGCCAAGAAACACACACCAGTCATAACATACAGTAAAAGAGCGAAAGTGTGTGTGTGTGTGTGTCTCCAAGGCCTGTGAGCCCAAAGCCATTTAAATAACTACTTTGTTGTAGAGAAGAGTGGGAGCAGTGAATAGCATCCATATGGCACATGTTGTAAGTCAGTCTGTGCTCCGTCCCGTCTTGGTGTCCACCTCCCCCAGTGAGGCACATAAAGCCCAATAGTTCCCTCAACCTCTGCCTCCCTCCCTCCCTCCCTCCCTCCCTCTTCTTTTTTTCCTTCTCTCTGAGGATCAAATAAATATCCAGGAAGCCCTCCTCACACACTACAGCAGAAGCATGTGATCGTGATTTGATGTTCTGTTTTTGGCTCTTCTTGTTTCAGCATGCAAATCGCCAATGTGCATCTCTGTAACGCCTTTAACTCGATTTAAGACGGCAGATGGATTAAAGAAAGGCTACATCTTATTCTTGTCTGAGCAGCATGATCCGCCCTGATGGAGGAATTTGATTGGAAGCAGAATGGAGCCTTAAGCTGATGCTCTTTCAGTGCGGTAGAGCGTCTTTTGTGCTTCTCACTCAGTAATCATCATGTGGGCATGGATTCAGAGAAATCCAAAAGCTGGATGATTAGCGGGTGTGTGTGTGGTTTGTCAGTGCAGCATATCAGGCAGATGTATTCTTATTGTTCTCATTGAGCCGTGGTTAGTTGAAAAAATACAATATGCTTTTCTGTCCGTGCGCATCGAGCGGTTTATGATATGGGTTTTCTGAGTGCCACAGCAGTTTATTTAGCGCGGCCCTATGTGGTTCACATTATATTTATGCGATCGTCTCGGTACATTCTATATATAAGCCATGATGAGCGGAGCAGGTGTGCCTCCTGTGTGCATTAAGTGTGTCAGACCTCTTCCCAGTGCCAGGTTTCCACATGCAGCTGCACGAGGGCCTGCAGGTCCCCCATCTTGGAATAAGTCTCTGAGGCATAGCCGTGGTGCTTCAGCCTCTTGAAGTGGAGCGCACACTTCGCCAACGGTTCGCGTTCAGCCTTGTCCAACTTTCGAGCAATGTCGATGAGCCTGGATTAAGAGGGGAGAGGAATGAGCGCACGCAGAGAGTGCAGATAAACCCTTACATGGTGGGGGGGGTCCGTCATATTGAATTATTCTGATGAACCCAAAAAGAACAGAAGCTAGTCGGGGTCACCAGCTGAATCAGAGTCAGGTTACAGAGGCCTGACTCTGCTCTGCTGCAGTGTTTGTAGTGCTGACCCACTCGTAGCACCACCATAGCATCTCTGATACGACCACCAGACCTCGGGCTTTGCCTGGTTTTCAACAACACACCCCACATTCCCACTATGCATGTATGAGTGAAAGCTAATGGAAATGTAACAATTCCCTTTGCACCGTCTTATCTATCGTAGCTTTCACTCAGCACATGAAATATAGCTTTTACTGATTCTCAGAGAGACGCATGTTCTGGATATGTACTTGTGGTGCCTCGTGCTGCTGCTATGCAACACAGACTGCAAGTTAATGATCCTCTTTGGACATATCTTAAGACAATGAGTATCGGATATGTTTGGGGGTTCTTTTCAGAAAATAAGTTAAGTGGCCTTCTTCAAATTTCATCAACTATTTCTCCCTCATTGAAAAACTCTTTTGTTAGTTAGTTTGGCTTCCAAACTAGTTGTGATGTCACAGCAAAACGATTCAAGGTGAGCACAGAGAAAAGTTTCTCCCTTCCGCCAATGAATGTAAAAAAACGGCCTTAAAAAAAAATGCAAATACAACATTCTGCACAGCGAGGCTCAATCATCCAACTCAAGTAACAATAAGCGACACGTATTTTTGAGTTGGGAGGAACTTTAAACTTCAACACATCAAATCAGGAATCTGAATTGAATCTGAATCTACATCTGGGTTCAAATGTGGCTCTTTGTTTTGTTTCCCAAGTTTTTAGGGATTTTAAAATCTTTACACCGGTTTACCTGTTAGTTTACCATATTGATTTTGAAGTTCCTGTATTAGTTTATAAGGCTCTACATGGCCTTGCATCAGACTAACCTCTTAGTTTATGAACCAGTGCGGCTCCTCAGATCCTCTGGTTCTTTTCCACAAAGCAGAACCAAAACATTTGGTGACGCTGCTTTTAGCCGTTATGCTCCGAGCTGCTGGAACAGCCTTCTGAGAGGAGCGGAAAATATTGATTTTATTTTTAAACCAATTTATTCAGTCTGGCTTTTTTGTATTTTACAATTTTATGTTTTTTATTATTATTGCTTATTTGATACGGTGTCGTATGTGTTTTTATGCTATGGTTATAGTATTTACACTTATTTTATTATAGCTCATTTACTTCTTTCTTTCTTTACAGTTTCACCGTAATCCATTTATTCTGTTTTCTTTTTGTATTTATCCATTTATCCCTTAATTTCATTTGGTGTGCATTAGTCTCTTCATCTCTCCATTTTCATATTATTTTCGCCTCGTCCATCATTTGTAAAGCACTTTGAGCGTTTGATTTGTTTTAAAAGCTACTAAATAACTAAAACTTGATTATTATTCCACTAATGTTATGAGTCTGGTCTGTAGATACCTAGAAAGAATCACATTTTAGATAGAGTGAAAAGTGTGAACATTTCTAAATCATATTAACTTCTTTTGTTCAGTTATTAACTAGAGAAAGTGATCATTTCCAATATTTAAAGAAGTATTCTAGCTGACATTTGACGATTTGGGGAAATCATGCACACAAATCTAAAAAGACGATTTAGAAAAGGTTAAACCGGAATAAGAGTGTATCTTGTGTGTAAAGGATTGTTTCATACAGTGACTGGCACCTACATGTCTTCCCAGCCGTGTTCCCCGATGATGTCTATGGCTTTGAGATGTTCTCCTGCTGACAGGTACATCTCCGCTGCTGCCCGGGGCTCCTTGCTGCTCTTAGCCCAGTCTGCCTGCTTGGTCATCAGGATCCGAGAGCTCTTTGGGTCTGTCGCTCCAACGAAATCCTGCGAAAAAGACCCACACAGTTACAAATGTACCAATGGATAACTGGGAAATCCCATTAACACTGGTTATAAGCAAGGACTGTCATGTGGAAGGAGAGTGACGCTGATATCGAGGCCGTTCTAAAACACTTAATGGCGTCGTATTTGCGTTTGGGCTGCCGAGTAATACTTTTGAATTTGATACGACTCCCTTTATTAACATATTAATAAAACATTTTGTGGCATGTCTTCTCAATACCGCCCCTGACATCGTAGGCTAGTCCTGTTTTTTCCTCTTTAACGAGTTGACATTCGGTCTGATATCAGGCTGCAGGAGGAGTCCAGTTCAGACAGCCAGAACCATGTGGGTCGAGGCCGAGACAGGAGGAAGAGAGTAACACAAACAGCAGGCGGCTAGCCCACCGGTGTCCATCCTACCTAAAACAAACAGCCTGTAGGACCAGATGGCCACACAGCCACATAAATATACAACAGCCACATCAAACACACATACAATTTGATACACGCGCGCGCACACAAATATACATGAGCGAGTCATAGCGGTGTCGTCCTCGTCCGCTCCAGGAACGCGAATGTAGAGCTTGACGATCAAAGTGCCCGTCCCCGCATGTAAACACAATAAAGCAGGAATTTATTTTGCCTCAACTCCAACTGACCTCATCAAAGTGATCATGTGAAAAGCAGACGCTCGTCTTATTTCTATTCCTTTGTGCTCCATTTCCAACTCTAACTATGTGTGTAAGTTACCCATGTGGAGTACACGGATATGTCTGTACGGTGTGTGTGTGTGTGTGTGTTTGTGTGTGCACTGATCAGATGATATATGTGGAGATTCCAGTGATATACGAGGAGATGAAAGACAGACGGTAAAGGGAGTGGGGGGGTGGGGGGGGCTGTTTGAACACAGTGCAGGGCCCCAACTTGGCTTAACTGAGCATAATGAGGAAAAACATATGTTTTACAACCCCGAAAACATGCAGCGCTTTCCAGGTTGCTCTACAGAAGGTTTGTTGTACAGGCGCGCGTGTGTTTTTGTCAATCGATGATTCAATCACCTTGGCGTACTCAAACATGCGCAGGTCAGTGTACATGCTCAGGGCTCTGGATTCGTGGCCGGTGCGTTTGTAGAGCTTGGCTGCCTCGTGGAATTTCCCCTGGTAGGCATAGACGTCTGCCAGGAACAGCTCATTGTCGTTCTCGCCCCGCTTCTTCCTCTCCTGCAAATCAGTCAACACAAACACTGGCATGTGTGCAGAGATAAACACTCACATGCATGTACACAGTCACAGTCACAGTCACACACACAATGAGTCAAAAACAAAAGAAGGCACTAAAAACTTTTGGCTTGCAGGATGCAATCAGCGTCGCCTCTGAGCGAGCACTAAACCCCATCAGTCACAACGAAAAAACAGAACAAATAGAATGTTTATATAATACAATAAACATTTATTTCATATGACTGAACAAAGATGCTTTTACGGGAGAATATTTTCCCTTTTCAAAAGAGAGAGCAGCGGAAACTTTCTTCAGGCACAAAGCTGAAAAAAGACTTCTCTTTGCTCTGCATGCATATTGTCGAGGAATATGTGTGTGTGTGTGTGTGTGTGTGTGTGTGTGTGTGTGTGTGTGTACGTTATTTGCTTTGTGTATACTGGGCCCGAGGAGGTCATTCGGGATACAGGTTCTTCCCTTGCTCAAGAAGTTTTTAAGTGTAGCTCAGGGCAGAAGCCTTGCAATTAAAGGTATGACGACCATTAATAATTGTGATTGACCCAGCATCCCCTCCGCCTCCTCTAAACATAATGACGTCAACTCTGGTTGGAGCAGAAATCAGCAAAAAAAAAAAAAAAAAGAACTTGGCTTTACACAATATTTATGTTTTTTTGTCCCTTTCTTAAGAGTAAGTATTACCTCGATGCTATTGATGAGCTCCAGGTAGCGCAGGTCTCTGATTCTAATGAAGGCCTGAAAATTGGGAAGACAAGAGATCATTTAGAGTTTCTTACGTGTTTTCTTTTTGCAGTACCAGCTTCATTAAAATCATGCCTTATACAGTATGTGTGAACATCTACCGAAGAGTCTGCAGAGGACATGAAGTCTAAGAGTAAGGCGAGAAGCAAAAGTAACAGCAAGGTACTGCCACCACATTTGGAGGTAATTGCTGCAATTTGTACGCTTTTATGATTCTGGGAAGATAAAAGCAGTAGAATGAGCAGGTCGATGACACTGAATGATGTGAGTGTGTGTGTGTGTGTGTGTGTGACTGGCCTTCTTGGCGGTGTCAAAGTCGAGTCCCTCCAGGGCATCTGTGGCTAAATCCCTCCAGTCACTGTCGGTCACGCCTAGACAGGCGATCTGGTAGGCCTCCTTATACATCTTCCTCTCCAGGTACTGGTACATCGGCGCCGACTGAGCAGAGCAACAACGCCGTCAACAAGCATGACAAGCAGCAGCAAACTAATCAATAAATAGGAAGACAACACATATTCACCCACACACTTATGTCAATAACTGTAGCAATCCATGACAGTCATATTTGTCTTTGTAGTACAAACAAATACCATGATATTTAAGATCCATTAGATCTTGTGTCAGCGCCTCCAGACCAGGACGGGCTGACAACACGCTACACACCTGAGGAACCTCCACAGCCGACATGGAATAGACGTGGAGACAGAAGATCTTAGAGCCGTTGTAGCCGACCATGAAGCCCTGCATCTTCTGCTGGTGAACGGGAAAGTTGCTGGCCTTGATGTTGAGGTAGCCGTTGCCAGAGAAGCACAGCATGTCCTCACACTGGGTGTTCCAGGCCACGCTGTTCGCATTAGGCTCCTACAGGGAGAGCAAAGAGAGAGGAGGCAGGTGAGGGAGGATAGGTCTAGAGGTGACTGTGGGACACGGACCAGACAGGAGTACAGGAGAATATCTGCTTAATGCAAATTATAACACATACATGTTTCTATTTTATCCCATCCCACTGCACCTCGTTCCTCCAGCGTCCCCCCTTAACCCTCTCCACCGGCCCGCTGACCTGAAAAAGCAGCTCTTTGCTGTTGATGTCGTAGACCAGCAGAGTGTTGTGCTCGTCCACCACAGCCAGCTTATTGCGGGAGGCGCTCATGTCCAGGCAGCGCACCGAGGTCGACAGCTTCAGCAGCGTGATGGGAAACAGGTTGTCGACGAATATCTTCAGGATCTACGTCACAAAAAAATGACGACAAGCAGAGCAGAAATGGAAACCTTCCTTCGAGAAGAAAGACCTTCCTTTTATGTTTGAATTCCCGGAGCACTGGCTTGTGAGCATGGGAGTCATTTTGTAAGGTTACTTAATGTGGGGCTGTATTTTCCCAAGATACTCACAGCACCATTCTTTAGGCCTACTAATAGGCCCTCTCTGCCCGGCGAACCACCAATCACTTTGATGTAGCGAATTAGAGACTCCATCACCCATTCTTTTTCCTTGACGCTGGTGAAGGACAGACACTGGAGCCTCTTCTCCTGCGAGAGCAGAGCGGGAAAGGTGAGACCACAATTACATTCAGCACACGGAACACTGACTTGTTAAGTACGACCAAATGATTCTGTTTATTTTTATTATTTCAGAGTCTGTTAATCACGCCCTGTACCTTATTTAAACATACTCAGTAATGCCGAACAATTCTTAGCACGTTGTTCTTTTAAACATTGCAAAGTGTGGCTCAGCGGCAGAAAGGGATGCAATGAAGATGAATGATTTGATTTGACACAGCCGTGCACAAGCACAGCCCATATATATGGTATAAAAGCTGTCTGAGGCATGAGACACAGGCCCGCCTGTTCGAGAGAGATCTGAAGCACCTCTGTCTCTCACACAGGCAGATTTAAAAGGAAATAACCTGAGTGTTATGGCTGCTCCTCCTCCCTACCAGCCTCTGTCAAACACACAGAGACAAGAAGCAGAGAGGAACCCCAAGAGACACCCACTGGTTCAACAGACTGTGGTCCTTCCCCTCCAGTCTCGCTCTATCCAGTTTGAAGACGGTTGAGAAGGGGAGAGAGAGAGAGAGACGGAGGCTGCAGAGCACATGCACAGCTGGAGCATTCAGCAAACTAGGCAGAAACATCTGGAAAACCAGCAATTGCGTGATATTATCATTCTTCACTGGGCTGTTTGGGCAGAACACTGACTCACTCTGCTTCTATCATGTTAATAGTTCTCAAATGTCTCTACGGCCTCATGCGCATTCTGTCAAGTGTGCATTAGTGTCATACAAAGAACCGGAGTGACACTTCAGGTCAGCAGAATTTAGTCTGAGAAGCATTAATAAGAAAATCTGTCTCATTACGTGAGGAAAGACCCAAAAACACAAACAGGCTCCCGAGCAAGACATTTTAAGTAATCAAATTGAAATGAGTGTTTTGAATGGTTTGTTTTTAATGAGCATTCCACCGCACAACCACCGTGCAACCATGTCTCCTCTGACCTGACACAGGATGATGTGCTGGGAACAGACCACCAGCAGGTTGCATTCAAACTTCCTGCAAATCTTCTCCTTGATCCGGTAGTGCATGTCTGAGGAGTCGTCCGAGTAGAGCTCATAGATGAGGATCTTCTCGGGCAGCTGGATCGCAAGGCGGTTTCTGTAGATGGCGATCTTCTTCACCAGCTCACGGCACTTTATCCGTACTAGGGAAAGAAGGAAATGAAAACAGAGAGTGGACATTTTAAGTGTTATTTATCTTAGCCGATGCATCCTGTTGAATTACAACAGGTCCTCTATGATGAACTCAATATCCTGGAGCTAAAGCAAAAGTGCACCTTTTTGTTCAGTGATGAGGTGCTGGACAATGACATCAGTCATGCTGTCCCTATAAGCGTAGCGATCCTTGTAGAGGCCGTGAACTGTACTGAAGATAAGTTGGTAGCAGGCGATGGTCCCATCCTGGCAGGCCAACACCTAAAGAGAAGAGATAACAATGTAGCAGTACATCCTATTAACGCCTCTAAGAAAAGATTGAACGAGTGGGAAAATGTTCCTGTTGCTAAAGCATCTACACAGCAGAACCGAGAGAATCTGCCAGCAGCCATTTCTCTCCTGTGTAACCCATCACTTTCAGCTAAATATAGTGAAAGGGAAAAAAAAAGTTGCTATGGTGTTAAATGAAATTAATATCTGTGTAGCTAAATCAGATCAAGAAAAGGTACCAAACGCAGACTGACACTCTGAATAGAAGGTCTGAGCTTTATCACTGTTTTGCATTACATTTGCTCACCTCTTTTCTCACTCTGACATGCACTATTATTTAAGGGTAATGATCATTTCTCCAGACGTGTAGCTTTATCAAGCTGCAGACCCACCACAAAGTTGGAGTCAGGCTTAACCCGGCACGTCCACACCCAGGCGTTCTGCTCTCCAATGGTGCTAAGCCGCACGCCGTCTTTAGTGTAGAGGGACGCCTGTTTATCGGAGCCCCCCATGACTATATACTCGCCCTTGGAGAAGTAGCTGACGCAACAAGGGTCATAGGTGAGAGTCCTGTCTTTTCCAATCTGACAGAGGCAAAGAAAGAAGAGGACATTAACCGAAGAACAAAAGTATCATTGCTCATATTTATTGCCCGGGGGCTTGGGCCAACACCTCCCACCGTCTGGGCCGACACACATCAAAGAATACATTCAACCATTCCTCTGTGTGTTTGATGAAACGATAGACATAAAAGTTTTTTTTCTCCTCTGGTTTTAACAACCTCTATTGTATTAATGTTCAAAGACAATATGCACAACGTATCAGTCCCTCTCAACTCTGTGCATCTGTTCCTCCTCACTCTACAAAAAGAAAAAAAAGCTGTCGGACACTCGGTTCTTTTCTTTTGTTGCAAACAATTCCTGGTGTTGTAATCAAAACAGAATGTTCACTAAAATAAATAGGCCAATGACAATATAAGAGCCAACGGCAGAGTAATGAACAGTGCATATTTGTCTATAATTACGGTAATGCCCACAGGGAATTCAGGAGGAAAGAGGGACAGTGAGGGGGCAATTATAGCATAGCGGGATCACTTCCAATGTACTGTAATGGTTCCAATAGAGCCTGACAGTTTTATTACAACAGGAAATGCTGCTCTTAAACTCAGTTAAGTGTTCCCAATACCATGTATTTTGGGCAGATAAACAGACTTCTTATTGCTATAGCCAGTGATGGCACATACAGTGAGCTGATAGCGTTAGTCTTCGGGTATTTTCCATGCAAGGTAATGACACCGCCTATATTTAGTCATCTAAATGTACTTTTGAACAGTTTGAAGTGGCAAATGTGCTTTATTAGAACATGTCGCACAAGTAAGAGTGCGTATGCTTATGTACACTTGCCAAGTCACCGTGTTAGGCATATGATGTACATAGACCTGTGGTGCTCACCTGCTTTCCACTGAGCTGATAGAAGGACAGCTTCTGACCCCAGTCTGCCACAGCCAGAATGTCATTGTGCTCATCCCTGTGAAAATACAACAGAAATGACTTCAGCCATAAGCCGTCCTGTCAACATACTGTACTAGTGGGTCTTTGGTTGTTTAGGTAATGATGACGGTGTTAATAAAAGTACCCTTCAACTAGGGGACGAATGGTCCAGCCCTTTCCCCTGACATCTGACAGATTTTTAGCTTTACCATGTTTGTATGCTGATGTTTAATTTGCTTATCGTGACTTTGCATTTGTTTTTATCGTTGCCACGCAAGCCTGTGTGCTGAGCAGAATTCACCCTGTGGAAGCGTTAATGAGCAATGCATCGAATCCCTAGCAGCAGAAGAGACTATTCACTGGCTGACCTCAAGCTCCAACCTCCCTGTTATATTTCATAAGTCCTTTGGAAGAGAGATTTTCAATTCTCAATGGGACTATCCTTGTTAAATAAATATATCTGGTGCATTATCTCTCACCAATGCCCTGTTTAACCTCCCTCCTGCTAATCTCCATCTTCCTGTGTGCCCTTCTCTCTCAATTAACCTGTTCAGCAGTCCTCTGTTATGGCTACAGCTGTGCTCCTGGCTTAGACTGTAGGGGGCATCAAAGAACATGGTCAGCGGATCCGAGGCATCAAACTTCCAATACTCGCTGGTTGACCGCTGCCACCTGCTGGCCCCACACAAGCTATTCACTTAAAATGCAAAGTACTCTCAATAGCACATCAGTTCTTAAGATCTTAAGTGTGTGTGTGTGTGTGTGTGTGGGGCATTAAATCAAATAAAGTGGTGAAGATAAAGATGTTATTTTCTTTATTTCGTTGTATGCTGCAGTAGTGAATTAAGACTAACTTGGAGGGGTTCCAGGCTATGGACCAGACAGGAGAAGAGGAGCCTCCTGGACGCTCGATCTTCACCTTCTCCTCTCCGTTCTTGTTCCGAATGCTCACCACTCCGTTCATCATGCCGAGGGCGAGGTACTGCCCGTCGTTTGTCCACCTTCAACCAAATGAAAACCGTCACCATAAACGTGTCACATTTAAATGCACCGATGTTGCAGACAGTTAGAACTACAAACCTCACTTACCCACAACATGTTATTTTGCTGCTCACTTTATGTTTGTTCACAGATTTTTGCTCCGGGGACCAGAGACCTAAGAATGTAAAGAAAAGATATAGTCCGATGTCCATGGGGACAATTTCTCTTTTTGAAAATATTCATAGGTTCATAGTTTATTATGCACAAGATCCTAAAGTGCAGTATGGACTCAAACTCATGGTGCACTTACCAAAGTCACCAGAAGAACAGGAGGCAAGTTGGTGAGTGACAGGGTTGTAGGCAATGCACTGGATAGAGTCATTGTGACTACAGATAAAACAAAGGAAAAGAGAAAGAGAGATGAAGTAATACATTAAATACATGTAGAGGGATAAATATAAGCGACACTTACGTGTATCTCAAAATACCCTCCAGTTTAGAAGTCCAGATGATGATGCTTTTGTCAGCTGACCCCGAGGCAAACCTTTTACCTGAAGAAGAATATAGTTAGTATGATAACGATGACGACTGATAAAGGAAAATGTAGTGTACGAATGGAAAGCCACTTGAGTACCATCTTTAGCATAGGCCACGCAGTACACGATGTCTTTGTGTCCTTTTAAAGGCTGGATAATGGCTCCATCGGCTACGTCATAAACCTGCAACAGAAGTTGAATACATTAGATGTAATAATAACGCATGTATTCTTTAGATATGCGTTTAGAAACCAGGAAAGACTTACGAGGACACGGAGCCCTGCAGCGATGATGAGCTGGGTGCCATCTGGCTTGAAGGCAAGGTCATAAATACTGCAAAAAGGAAATAATGGATTCTCACTCATCGATGAAGTCATATTAAGGAAACATGATAAATAGTCATGGGGTCCAGCTTCTCAAATTAGAGGATGTTTCTGCTTTACTCAGTTTCTTTAATAATTGTAAACTGAATATTTTTGGATGCATCTCTGGATTTTGGACCGTTGATCAGACAAAACTAGAAATTTGAAGAAGTTGAGCTTTTCTTCATTATTTCATCTATCTATGGGTTTTTTTCAGAAGCAAATAGTTTATAGATACATTTATAAAGTACACAGGTTAATCAATAATAACAAAAAAATGAGTTTAAAGGTTCTCGTTTACCTTGAAAATAGCATACCCAAATAAATATTGCCTGTTAATTAATAAATCTGCTATCTTGTGGTCAGATAGTTCATCTATAATCCAAACTAGTTTACATGTAAATGTAACGTTACGTCATTAACAGCAAGCAAAGATGTACGTTAGCTTCAGCAACAACCAACTAACTAGCTAGCTTTACGTTAGCTTCAGCTTAACATTGTATCGTAACAAAGATGACATGAGACACTATTGGTAGAGCAAATATTCTGCACGACACATACGGCAGAATAATCATAAACCAGCTCTAGTATCTGACATTTAGCTAACGCTAGCTAACGTTAGCCTGCTATCACTAGTTTACATAGCAACCGCCGTTGCTAACCGCCTAGCGTTGCGTCCCAGCATCGGGCCCCGGGTCGGACAGACTCTCACCATTGTTCACGAATCGTTTCTTTCCACGCTAGAACGGCTCTCATCTCCACCGGTTTTTTTTAAACAACAAACCGGTACCGGTGGGGTTTGTGTCAACAGGTTGTGGTTGTTACTCGGGTTTTCTTACTAAGCTCCGTTTTCATGATTCGTTCTCACTGCGCAGACTCGGATCTGCTCGCTACTTCCTGCAGCAGAGGCACGGCTGCTGGCTCGCTGGCTCCAGTGTTGACATCAGAACATATCCGGGAAGACAACAAACAACACATCGATGGAGCACACACACGAGTCTGCACCATATCATCTGTGGTCTGCACTCCTGTGAGAAACGAAGGAGTACGAGGTTAGTCCACTCTTTATTTGAATTGCTGCTTATCATGTCAACATCTGCTGTAAAGTTAGATCAGAATCACAATCAGCTTTATTGGCAATGTATGCATGGAATTTGACTCCGGTTTACACATTGCTCTTAACGTACATACATAGAATATACAAATAAACAATAAAAATATAAAAACAAGGACATTAAAGACAAAGTAGAACAGAGAAACTAAGCATAAACATTTCACTGCTGTGTACAATATAAATATATATCGAAGAATATATATGAACACAAACAACAACAATGACAATGGACAATGGATTTGGGATATTATTGCTGCTTATGTCAACATCTGCTGTAAAGTTAGATCCATGATATGTTTACTTGCCTACTTTATGTTGCACTGCATTACGAATGGACGTCATCACTTTGACCATAACAACAACAATGTAATGATATTCATTTGCAGGTAAAGAACCAGGAATAGCTGCTGATGTGGGAGGAAAAAGTCAGCTTCTGGATAATGACTTGAAGGCAGTGAGCTTCAACAGCACACCTCTCAAAATGCACACTAGCTGCGATGTCAGGCTGGAAACCAGCGACACAAACAACCAAAGTCACAAATGCGAGGATGACTACTCGTGCCGTGCTTCCACATTGCCCCTCGGCTGGATCAGAGAGGTTCGGCAGCGGAAAGCAGGCAAGACAGCGGGCAAAATGGACATCTACATTACAAGGTGACTCATTGTTTTCTTGTAATCGTACCTTCCATCATGACTAAGTGCTTTTGCAGATTCAGTGTCTGATTGATTTTCTTTTTCTCTCTCGGTTGTGCAAAGTCCCCGAGGCCAGAGGTTCCGCTCCAGAGCATCCCTGCATGCTTTCCTCCTAAAAGATGGAGAAGGGAGCTTAGACATAAAGCTCTTTGACTTCACAGCATCCAAGGACGACGTCGTCAGCCCTTCGCAGGTACTCGCCTCCAAAGGGAAGCGCAGGACAAGAAAGAAAAGACGCGCAGATGGACAGCAAGAGACAACAGAGGATTCACCTCCAAATAAATCTAAGAGAGCGTCTTCCTGCCTCGGAGGTGATGCTAAAGACGGAGAAGCAAAGAGTTGCACACAAGCTGCACCTTCAGCTACAGAGGATGATGTCAGACTGCGGGAGACTCCTCAGAGGGCGGGTCAGCTGAGGGAGAAGCTGCTCAGACTGGCTCCTTCCAGTGAACAACAAAACACTCCCGTCGCTCACGAGGACGAGGAGGCCGACTCGAGGCCTCCTGTCCCGACGCTGAGCGTTGAACCTGCCACTGAGAGCGAGAACGAGGGCGAGGATGAGCGAGGCGGAGAGGAGACGCAGGTTTACAGCAAAGGCGACAACGAGACTAATTCTGAGCCGGAGGCCGACGGCAACAGTCATCGGGATGAGGAGGAGGAAGAGGAGGGAGCTGGTGGGAGCTGCACGCCAGTGAGGGATTCCCAGAATAGTAAGCATGGTCTCCACTTTTCTCGGGATCTACTTTCTTTTCTTAAAACTCACTTTCATTGAATGATCTCATACAGTGCAGCACAATTACTACAATTTCACATTTTAACACGTCAGTTTTTCTTTACCCAGCTGCCTTCAGATTTCTTTGTCACTTCCAGTCATGAAATAAATGAAAATTAAAAGAAACCAAAGTCACACAAGGGCGGAGATATGTTCGATAAAGAGGGAGGCAAGAAGAAATGTATATTATTACTGGATATATCTGATTTGCTCCATTTTAGTTCCCATGTTCCAATAGTTGCCTAACTTCAGATGTGACCAAAAAATGTTGTCTGGATCTCATCACTTTACAGTTGAATTACCAAGATCCTAAATATTCACCAACCGAGCCACTTAACATTCATCTCTACTTTATTTGTAAGGTGTTTGGGTTCATGCACATAAATATTTTAATTCCCTCATTTATAATTCTGCTCTGTGGGGGAGTTTCTTTTTTTTTTTTTTTTTTTTAAATAATACATTTTTAAAATTAGATTCTAAGTCTAGGCTCAGTGTGTGCGAGAGACGCGCAGAGCAGTTTTATTTTATTCTCGTTTATTTGTAGATTTCGGTCTAAATCTGCGCGTGTGCGCTCTGGAAAGAGACGGTAATATTAAAAACATTAAATCAAACATCTCGGTAGAAATTATATGCAAAAAAAAAAAAAAGTAAATCAAATGTTACATTAATTCACTTACAGGACAAACATGTCTGCGGTCAAAAGCAAAGCAGAAAGATAGCAAAACAGCATCTATAGCTTCTCATTAAGGTGAAGTGATTGCACCTGAAGGGGGAGGGGTGGGTCTACCTGCCACTGGTGTGATCATGTGATCTCCTTGATGACGATGTGTGTGTTTTTAAAAATATACTGTTTCCTGTCTGCCTAGAATCCAAGAGCGTGGAAGACAAACGGAAAACAAGCCCTTATTTCAGCAGGAAACTCTGCAGAGACGGTAACGTTTAAAATGTCTCTTTAAAACAAGAAGCAAAGAGAAAGCTCGTGTGTATGTGAGACATAAAACATACCTTAAACATTAAGGAGACATGTCCACCGTCTGTACACAGGTTTGAGCCCACCCAGGAGGAAGGCCTTAAGGAAGTGGACGCCGCCTCGCTCGCCCTACAACCTCGTACAGGAAACCCTTTTCCACGACGCCTGGAGGCTCCTGGTGGCCACCATCTTCCTGAACAAGACCAGCGGTAAGTAAGATCCATACACACACACTTTGCGTTGCAACAGTGTTGTACCAAACGGCACTCAAGTCTGGCATTTTCATCAATGCAGGCAAGATGGCCATCCCGGTGCTGTGGCAGTTCTTTGAGCGTTACCCGTCTGCAGAGGTGACCCGCGAGGCCGACTGGAAGCCCCTCTCTGACCTAATGAAGCCACTCGGCCTGTATGAGCTCAGAGCCAAAACACTCGTACGCTTCTCAGGTGAACGTGCTCGTCTTTAACACGTGACGTAATTACAGCGTTAATATGTCGCCAGTGCAGATTTGTATGGTTTTAATAACAATATATGAAGCGATATGATCAGCCAGAAAAACCTCACAATCCCCCTTTTTCACTCCTGTGTAGATGAGTATCTAAGTAAAGAGTGGCGTTACCCCATCGAGCTGTACGGTATCGGGAAGTACGGCAACGACTCCTACAGGATCTTCTGCGTGGGAGAGTGGAGAGAGGTGAGTCTGTTTTGGATTGCATTCGTTTTGTAATGTCCATGAATGCCATATCACACCATATTTCAACACTTTTTTTTTTTTTTTTTTTTTTTACATCAAAGGTGAAACCCGAAGACCACATGTTAAACAAATACCACGCCTGGCTGTGGGAGAACCACGAAACACTTGGAATCTGAAACACAAAGCATGAGGATCACATAAATACACGTTACTTTAGTATTGTGATGAACTTGATACGTCAAACCTGAATCCCTTTAGAATTATGCAGTAATATTCTTCCTTCTTCCTTTTAAACTGTTTTTATGTGTAATGTGTAATAAAATGTTTTAAGTGGTTTAAAAGTTGAAATGATTCATGAGTGGATGATTCGTCTCGTCTCATGTCTTTATACGTGTATATAAGATCCAGAGACATCTTGTGACAGCGTCTCGTTCGTCTGTTGTCACAGGCCGGTGATCTTTCTCTTTAAACGCACTGATGCACGACCTTAAACTCAAACAGCAGCTTTCTTTTTGACGGGGGGGGTAGGGTAGGGGGTAACCTGATTCCCAAGGCAACTGTTGCCACCGCAAAACACTCAGTGAACGCACAGGCAAGTCACAGGTTAATGTCTAACTAGTGCCGCCACAGTAATTTGCTATATTTACATTCGGTAGCTGTGTGATGATTGACTAGAAATCTTAATTGCAACTTTAAGGAGATAATTAAATTGTGCAGGATTTGACACTTTGGAAAGTTTCATTCCACCGAGACGAACAGAAGAAACGGCTTGAACTTCAAAATGAGACTACGTAAGAAAACACCTCATTTTTCCCCCCCCGTTTTTGGGTCTTTTTTTTTTAGTGACTAGTATCTTAAACATGCGCTGTGATTCATCTCAATCTCCATCACCACAGCAGCCATCTCCATAGCTTCCACACCAGTGTGGATTCCTCACAACACACTTCCTGTCCGGCAGAGTCGCAGCCTGGCGGTCACCCCCGTGACATTTCCCAGCATCTCGGACTCTGCTCGGCTGTGGACGAGCTGTCAGGTAAGCAGAGTCATTGACACTTCATCCATTGTCTGACTGTCCTATTGTGTAATGAGGAAGATTGTTTATTTGAGGTAAAAACAACAAAAAAAAATACTCTCATGAATCTGCTCTCTAGAGTATTCCAAGACTGAACCCTTTGCATCCACCGTTGGTCCATAAACGCACCGTCAGTCTGGAGACGCCAGCTGTTCACCACCACAACCACCAGAGGTCAATACTCATGCAGAGGAGAGAGTACCACGGGTAAGGCCCATCTGACGGATATCTCACTAACTTAGAGTTCACTGATGCCATCTTCGCTTTGGTGAGCTGTGATTGAAGTCCCTAACTTCTGTGTCAGGTATCATCAAGTGTGGAGAAAACCTTTTTATGGAACCAGCAGTGAGAGAGAGGACTACAGGTAAAGCAATAAACACTTCACCTGAATGGGGGATTGCATTACATATTATATAACTTAACGTTCATTGGTGACAAAGAAAACTCTTTCCTGCAAGGAAGGAGACGCGTGAGCAGTTAAAGAGGCAGATGGAAGAGAAACATGTAGCACTGAAGCTGCAGCTGGCCGGCAACGCGAAGGAAGCAGAGTATCTACGGGAAGTGGACCGCCTCGACCTGTCCGGTGAGAGAGAGCTGAGGACCCAGCACAGCAAAGCAATGACGGCTTACAGAGACGAGAACAAGAGGGTGAAGTCCCACATTATCAACCGCTTTTGTGTTCATCTCCCTCACAATGGAGTCCATGTAATGCGGTTTTAACAGGATGCTCTCAGGTTACAGGAGGGAGTGGTTGAGGTTCTTCTCCTGTGTGTTTTGCAGCTAATGGAGCAGAGCTGGAGGGACAGAGCACTAACGCGCTCCCAGGAGACCCTGAAGGAGAGAGAGCTGCTGGGCCTCAACCCCATTAACTGGAGTGGAACACTGAAATAGGATGAACCTCAACATCCACAGTCAAAAGCTCGGTTTCACGCCTCGCTGGAGCACTCGAGCGTACGAGTGACAACATGAAACTGGGATGCAACACATTTAGAACATGTAATTAGTGCTGTGAAAGCTACGGAGGGAACTTGAGGTGTTTGGAGGATGTTATTGTAAACTGGGAGGAACCAGATGAAACCGTCCAGCATCCCTCTGAATATACAAGAATGGTGATTTATCTCCTATCTTACATTATAAGGGTTGTTTTAATCACTGCTGTGGGTTTCAATACAGTGAATCCGTGAGTATTTATATATTAGTATTACACCAATTGACTGTTCTTTTGTTGTTAAGTATCAAAATCGATGCAGCAGAACCAGAGATAGTCATTTTTATTTTGTGCCTTTTTTCTTCATCATTAAAACCTGGTGCCTACATTACCCACAATGCAACCTGACCATCAACAGTTCTGTTTGAGATTAGAGTGTAGCCTTGAGCTGTTAGCCTCAAGCAGAGATGAGGAGTGGACTACAGAGGTCTAGTGAACTCACTTCCTTCTAACTCAACATCCTCAGATATTTGTTCATTTTCAAACTTGTAGTCTTCAGCCTCAAACAACTTTTGATGTAGTCATAAAATACTTAATACAACTATTTCCACGTGTGGAGTAGTGCTCCATAAGACCTGCAAACAGACTGATGTGTAAAATCCTTCAAGAGTTTCTCCCCGTCACTGATTTCCTTCCTGTCCTATGATTTACGATGCATCATTAAACTGTAGAAAATCATTTTCAACAAGCTCAAATGTTTTTCCTTTCTCTTTATGTGAAGAGAAAAGGAAATTGGACAAATCAATACAAAATTCAAATATAAAACATGAGTGACAGACGTTTTATTGTAAAGCAAACGTTTATAACGAATGACGACTGGAGAACTTTCCACACGAGGAAAAAACTAAAGAAGACAAAGTAGATGGTTGGGAGTACGAAGTGATGCTTCGGTGGCTTTCTAACATGGCGCTACTTTATCTGCTAGAATAACGGTTGAATTGACAAAAACAATTACATTGAAAATACACACAAAGGGAAATGTCAAGAGCAAAATATGATAAATATCTTCCCCAATAAATATTGCTTTCAAAATAAATTAAAAGGCAACAGAAAACGGCTTTAATCATCCAGATCACAGCTGGTATTTAAGCACAATAAGTAAATCCCGTCACAGCAGTAGTGCTGGTGATCCAACACAGCTGTTGAAGTCTTCCATGCCAAAGTAATTCAATAAATAAATATATAAGGTGTAGTTGTACCCATTATTTAAAATCCTATTTTCATGCATTATTACTAAAAATAATCATTCAGTACGTAAGGAGGTAAAAAGTCATTCTGTGAACATAAATAACCAGTGGCTCGTTAAGGAAATATCCCAGAGTTTCAATGAGCTTTCTTTTCGGGGGGGTGAACCACCCGCCCACTGCAGGAATCGGGAGATCCACAACCCAAACCGGTGTAGCCTTCAGTCTGTGGGAAAGCTTCTGCTTTACAGCATCGAGATAATGAGAAACATGATGGACGTGATGACAGGAGGTTTTGATTGTGTGGAAGAAAACAACATTATTTCAACATCGAGGCCAGATGAGACATCCAAATGCATAATAGATTTTAACAATCAGTAGTGGTCTTCATGTCACCCCTCGCTCCCAACAAAGTGGAGGTAGGGGATTAAGTTCAGTTCCTTTACGTCAGTGCAGTTTTGCTTCGTTATTCCTCTTCAGGATTCACGGCTTCATAGCCTTCAAGTTCTCACTCTTCTCCCGCATTCTCCTACTCATGAACATAAATTAACCCCGAGCCCTTTCAAGTAACTCCTCTAGTAACTCCCTGAATGTCTAGCATTGCAGGGATGGTTTCCTGCCGCCCCCCCCCCCTCCCCTCCCCTCGTTGAGTCTCATTCACCTTAAGTGGCTGGTGTTCCTTTCTCAAACCGAGGTTCCAGACAGTCTAGCGTCCCTTCAGAAATCCATCCAGCATGTAGTCTCCCTTTTCCGTCAGCCAGTATCCGGCCATAGCAGCAACGCCTCCGATGAAAATGGCCGTGAAAACCATGTCGCCCTTAGCGGCGAGCGTAGCTATGGCGCAGATTACAACGCCAAAGAACATCTGCTGCAGTACGAGGACCTCGTCGTCCGTCATGTCGTCAAACAGACCCTTCTCTGGGCCTACTGAGGAGGAAGAGGAAAAGAAAGTTAGCCATCAGATCTGACGAGCAACAATATACGTGTTATAATTCTCTTTCTATGCTCTGCTTACCAGGAGGCTTATTCTCAACACAGATGCTATCTCTTCTGATGAACCCGTCAGCACAGTCACAGTGGAAGGAGCCCTCCTCATTGATACAGGCCTCATTGAGTCCTGGGCACGCTATCGCACGATCACTACATTCATTTACATCTGTGCGAGGAAGCAAAATAAAAAAAAACTTCAGTTTAAGGAAATCAGGGACAAAGGAAAGGTGCAGAGGAGTGGCACAGAAGTAGAGTAAATACTTACCCAGACACTTCGCTCCTCTCAGTTTGTAGCCGCGTGAACATTTCTTACAGCGGGCAGGACCACTACCCATGCAGCCCACACACGCCTGGTCACAGCCTGGACACGACAAAAGCACCGTGGTCAACATTACGCGCTAAACTTGGCAATAAGCATGATATTGTAGGAATAACTGAATTTGTCACGCAGTGGAAAATGTTTCCATTCCCACAGAAACTGCATGTGATGAAGATTACAACAACACAACTAGACCTTTCTTTTGTTATTTATAGCAATAAAATGGCTAATTATTTAAGCTCATGCTGTGGTAAATAACAGGCAATAACATATAACAGGCATTTCTCTCTACTTTCTGTCATTTTATAGATAAAGAAAACCTAGTGTTTTATTATAACTTCGAAAAACAGGCCAGCTGCAGAACATTTATGGAGGCGTACTTGCATGATTTCATTTGGTATAATAAAGAACGCTGACCACAGCTACTACACAAGAGAACGTACCTCTGCATTCATACGATCCTTCTGTGTTGTGACAGAAGGTGTTAGAGGGACAACGAGCCAGCTCTGTACCGCACTCGTCAATATCTAAGAGACACACAAGGGCAGTCAAACAACACTCGATACTCAGACAACTGGCAGAAAGAGTCGACGAAATGTTTCCACATGACCTCTGAAGCCAAACTCACCCACGCACTTGTTGTCATGAAGGATCCAGCCGGGTTTGCAGTTGAGGCATTTGTAGTCCTGCGGCCCCGCGCATTTCTTACACGAGTGGAAGCAAGCTGCAAAGAGTGAGAGGAGAGGAGTCAGTTCAAGATGACTTCAAACAGACTTAAATACATGTGGAGGTTTGTAACAGTGGTCTGAATCTCAGGCACCTGCACAGGCTCCTATGCTGGCGTTGGAGCTCTTCTCTCTGTAGTAGCCATCAGCACAGCTCTGGCACAGACGGCCCGAGTATCCAGGATCACAGACACACTCTCCGTCTCCGAGGCGAGTCCCCTCCCCCTCGCAGCGGCCCAGACCTCCACACACACCGCCGGGGCTCGAGGGACACTCTGTGTTTGATAAATATGATATTAGTGGTACTCTGGGACTTTTAAAAACTAAAGCATGGGGATTTTTTTTACATCTTTATGAACACTCAAGGATAAATAAGGTTTGGTGAGGTTTTCTACACTGATATCAGGAAGCTTCTGCTTAATGTTTTTCACACCTTTGCAGTCAGGTCCAAAGCGCCCAGGTAGACAGCAGACTCTCAGCTGCTCTATGCACAGCCACTCAAACAGGTCCGGTGCCTCCTGCTGCCTGCAGGACACACACATCATGAAGTTAAAACAGGGGCATGGTATTACATCCCAACAAAACACTTTCCTCTCTCTGATTCACCAAAATCACACAACATAATACACATATCTCGTTTACCTGTGGAACCACCATGTCTCCACTTGGTCCTCTATCTGCTCCAGCAGCTGGTTACAATCAAAATCTGCTTTCTCACAAGCAGCTTCTACGATCTCCAGGAGCCGAGTCTCACTGAAACAAGAGAGCAGCGACTAGAGATGTAAGACAGAAGCGAGTAACAGAACAGATGCTGTCTCAGCCCCAAAGAAGAGAAGGAGCCTCGCTGTGGTCCACAGAGGATTCACTCCCTTCAGCGGACTCTAACATTAGAAATAGATCGTCTTATGTTATATTATGATACATATTACAAAATATCATTTAAATGCAAATGTGCGGAGAAGACAAAGGACGACACACAAGTGTGTGTGTTGTTATATATTACCCCCCGATTGCCTCCGGGTATTTCCAACACTGATACCAAGTCAAGTATTGACTGACTCCGCAATCCCCATATATCAAGTAACTCAATAAAGTGTACGTGTGACTCAAACTTAAACTTTCTCTCACCTGCTCGCATACTTAGCCAGCTTCTCTTCTTCCCAGGCAGTGTTTCCTCCCCCAAAGTTCTTGGTGGCTGTTCTCTCCAAGCCCTAAAAAACAGGGAACATTTCAAGACTCGGGTTATACTGAAAGAAGACGAGCACGAATGTGACGACACATTGGCTCAACTGCAGTACCGTAATGAAACTCTCTGTGAGTTTTCGACAGGTCTGGCACGGCGCGGTCTGGACTCTCACCACTGAGAGCTCTGAGAGAAGCACCAGAGCAGGCAGGAACGGCCAGGCCCACCACATGGTCCTTCAGAAAACACACACAAAACCAGTGAGTTACGGCAAATAAAAAAAAAAAAAAAAAAAAAAAAGAATTGGGGTATGATATACTTCTTAGTGATAATCCTAGCAAATACACGTATGGGTAAAAAGCTTTACCCATCACGAGTCTCCAGAGACCCTGACATAACTTCCACTACCTTGATGCGACGCAGTATTACTGCATGCAGAAGACGTGGACAAAACAACAACAACATCTGTACAACACAGTAATACACAAAGCCATGCCATATATATACTTTTGTGATTACTTTTGTAGTTATGTGTCATACAATACAAAGCAATCGCATACAAAGCCAAGCAATATTAGTATTTATTGGGACAGTGGTGATGATTTATGGTATTTTTAAGCTGTATTTTAGTAGATTAACTGGATAGCATTACACTGCTGCCCTGATATTAAGCTCATCCTACTTTGTGACGTCAAACATTAATATTTTCATTCAGATTTAAGTTATTACCATAATTTGGGGGATATGTAAACCTACACACAATGCAATCCTCAAGTATGGTGACTACTCTCCAACTGCTGTTTTATTAATAAAGTATTTAGTCTCTGTTAGACAAGCTTTTAAAAAACACTGGTTGGGATGCTCCTCTTTCACCGTTAGCATTAGCATTAACTAGCTCAGCATCAGCACCACACAAAATTAGCCACAGCTAGCTACGTTTCGCTAGCTAGCTGCTAGCCGATGCTAACGATGTCCGTCATTGTCAGCAAATGTTTCCGGTGTATCGTTTAAAGTCCACGAGACTCCGGCGACAGCGTCCTCCCAACGTTAAATATCTGATGAGGTATATTTTATTGCAGTTGACGTTACTCTGATATCAGCTAGCCAAACTAGCTTTTTGTTACCTCTTTGCAAAGCCACGACGTCCTGCGACGCACCACTGATGATGAGGATGATCGTCTGATTCACACAACGCAGGCGGAGAGTTTCACACTTTAGACGGACACTTTTGATGCTTCAAGTGGGCCATTGTGGTTGGTAAGCCAGCCGAATGACTAGCTAGCTAGCTACAGGCTGGTGTAGTAGAAGCTAGAGATGGCTGGAGATGAATGAATGAGCAGCTTCCAGTTGGTTCTGTTCTCCGAGCAGCTGAAGACACACAGGATGTGGCCCCGCCCAAAGACAGCTGGGATTTAATTCATCAACCAATCAGTTACCTTCACATTTTACATCATCGCAGCTCTTTAGAAATACATTTAACCACCTAGTAATGTAATGTTTTTGTTTTTTTAAGTATGCTGGAATCAAGGATACAAAACTATATTTTTACCATTTGCAGATATCTGCATTTACTAATTAAAATTGACAAATCAGAGTAAGTTCAAATTAATTTTTACTTGTCAAAATACCTATGAACTGACTGAAAACTCCCACAAAAGCTCTTTTGTTTTTTACCTCCTGCTGATGCATTTTATGGATCAGGATTTAAATTTCACGCGTGTCAAACAACAAGACGTTGCTCTGCAAACACACATCTCAGGCCATGTTTGCATTGAATAATAATCCACAATGTGTTGTCGTTAGAAAAGAGCCTCTGACTATATGATTCAGACAGGTTCTTTATTCAATCCCACTTTAAACACTATGACAAAACACTATAAAAACAGACATGCCGGGACAAAGCAATTGAATGTACAAAAAGAAAGGAAATAGCTTATTTTGTTTTAAAATAATCTTCATGTCAGAGCTTTCCACAGTTAGCCTTTGCTGTTATTTTTACAGTTAAATACCACAAAATACCCAATAAAACTACAATACAACATCTTTACAGTAACTGTCATTTGCAGTATAGTGCAGAGGTTACATGTCATTTACAGTAACTGACTAGCATTATTATTATATATAAAATGCAGCAATTTACTGTTAACTGCTACTGTACTACCATACAGGATTTGATTTTATGTATTTCTTGTATGCCTTTTCTTCTCTAATTCAGTGGTTACAATAATTCTTTACATTTTAAACAATACCAAATTTACTTTAAAATAGTAAGTGATGAGCAAGAATCATGAAACTATTATTATGAGTTTCTGATACATGGAGGTTTTATATTTATAAAACTTTCCTTGAGCTGGGAAACGCTTAAAATCTATGAACCGAGCGTTAACGCACGGAGGGGACCAGCGGCAGAAACATGTATTCAGTGGGCGTCATACCCTCGACATGCATTCGATTGTAATAGAGAATCTTTGTTATCAATAACTAGTCAACCATCAAACTGTTAATGTTTACATGTGCAAGATATGAGATTAGGAGCATCTCGATTGCCTCTCTATGGTTCTCAACATGGCGACACAGGGACTGCGGCTCACAGCTAATGGTGCTAACAGGGAAAGTGCTCACAGAGCAAACAGTGTTTAGCTGAGGGAGAACCAGACGGTGGGCACTACTCTTCTGCGATGATGCAACATTTTATAAGCCCCGATAAATCTGGACTTTTATACCAGTACTTGCAAAATGTGAATGGTGCAGTAATATTTAGTGTATTAGCTGTATTTAGTACATAGCATTTACAGTATCTTACTATCAAACACAGGTACAATATCATACACCAAAACATATTTACACAGATTTTTAATTAATGTTTAGTCTGGTGCAAAAACTGTAGTAGTTAGGGTTAGTTCGTTTTTAGGGTCTTAGGTGTTTTGTAGTTGTGATTACTGTATAATACACACTTTTCTAAAAACACTAGTACACATAGATATTAAATACCATCTGCTTAGTGTTTGGGAGCTCTTTCTCAAGCTTCACATCATTGTCCCATTTCCCATATCTCCACTATGTCTTATGAGTGTACTTATATACTGTATCTTAACTAAGTGAACTGAAGCTGAAGCACACTGACGGTAATGCTGTTGTACTTTAAAACATCTTTAAAGTAAAGGTACTGTTGAGGTAACTTACTAGCTGCCTTTGAGTCACAGCAAAAATACAATCAAATGTAAAGCAGTATATGCATTAGGCTACAGGTCCATGCAGAATGTCAAATATTAGTAAATAGTCAAACACAATAACCTGGTTTAAAGACAGATAAACAGAGTCAAGACAAAACAATGGAGCAAATTGCTTATTTGAGATAGTTTTGCATTTTAGTGTAATTTTAGTGACCTATAGGCTTTTTTTTGGTTTCTCGGTCTTCGACTTGGTCTCAACCCCTCAAAGTCTTTTTCGGTTTTAGGTGGTCTTGACTACGACACTGGTGTGTGAGCTTGTATATCTCCGGAGCTGGAACTGTAGCTGCTGTTTCCACTGACACATGACCCCAGATGTTTATCAGCAAATGCAAAATCTGCAAAGGGAGCATCTCCCAGAGGAAATCCCTTCAACTTATTACCGGCTGCTCATTCCTAAACTGAAGCTTGGTCTTGTGTCATCGTCTGCTGTCAAACCCATTCCATGTCACTGATCTTGTGGTTTGAGTCAGGACTGGAGGGAGGCGTGATAAGACAGGGCTGCAAGGGCACCGTTTCCCCAGAGTCTTTGACTCCCACCCCAACACAACTCTGGGACACTCCCGCGAGGCGTAAAACAGTTGTCCCCGCTGTGAACCCTGACAGCCGCCGTGCCAGAGCTCGGGATGCCATCCTGAGGCCCCCTGCTCGTTTCCGTCTGGCCGATGCAGTAGCCATTTGCCGAGCCCCGGCCAGTTCAGTCAGAAAACCCAGGCTCTGGGAGGGGAGGCTGTACACATGAAGGCCGCGGAAAAGTTCTGGCAGCGGCCGCAAACCACCCGGAGGCTCGGGTGGGAGTGCTTCAAACTGCACCAACATGAACCGCTCACCGGCGCGACCCTGCAAATAGTCTGCTAGGACACAGCTCAATGAAGCGGTAAAAACATCTCCACAGGGAGAAGAGCCAGTGCGGCGTCTTCCTTCCTCCTCTTCCTCCGTGTCTACGCTCCTCTCCCAGCTGCGAGCTCCCCATTCTTCAGCCCTTATCCAGGCGGCCTGGGATAGGACCAGCACCACTTTGCCCCCCTGCCTTTGCAGTCGGTGCAGTCTCGAGTGGAGCCAAGGCACGGGGCCCAGCGCACCGAGCTCGGTCTGGCTCCACAGGTCCAGAGACACACTGAAGCCCAGGGCTTGGAGGGACAAGCCCAGGTGACTCATCAGCTCCGGCAAAGCCTGGTCGTCACCAGGTGGGTACAGCAACACCACATGACCACCACCCACAGCACCTGAAATAGAGGAGGGGGTTAAAACCTTTCAGAGAGTTTAAAGGAACAATTTGACATTTTCTAGCAGAGAGTAGATGAGAGGATCGCTATTACGCTCATATCTGTCTGCTGCTGGTGCCGGGAGATGGTTAGCTTAGCTTAGCACAAACATTTGAAACAGAGTTAAACAGATGGCTCTGTCCAACACTTAAAACATGTTAATACCTGCAGGGAAGAGTTTGTCACACTAGAAGCTTATTGTAGCCACTAGAAAAGATTCAGACTATGAATGAGATACAAAAGGGTGAAATTTAAACATAAGAACATCTATATTCACACATCTCTACAAATGTATTCATGAAAATGTAACAGGATAAAGGGTATGTGGAAAATAGTGGTTGCCCAGTGTGAATTAGATGTCGGCTTTCTCATACCTTTAACATCATCTTCTTTCAACCATCTCCACATGTATCCTTGAAGGGAAACAGAAGTAGAAAACGATTTATTTTTGCTAAGGTGCTATTATTATCTAATGACCAACAGATATTTAAAAACTGACCTTTTAGGACCCCTTGTATAAGATAGGCTCCAAGTATGGACAAACACATCAGTATTAGTCCGATGAGGATTAGGAGGCTCCATCTCCACCGAGATGCTGGGAAATAAATGAATTATTAAGTTCCGAAGTCTATAAAAAAGAAGTTTCACAGACTTTGCCAAGTGTACGAGGAGTGTGTCACAACTTATCTGCCACATTCTGATGAAAACAAATGTAGCTTGTTTTAGCTGATAATAGTTAAACATTAAACACACTTAATCTGGACAATGATTAATAGTCTTACTTGTAAATGGACACTGGGGCTCTAAATATGACTCCATCCCATGTAGCTTTATCTTTAAAAAAAAAAGAGTGAGAGAGTTATGGTCAGCACTGTATGCAGCGCAGGAAGAAGCAGTGAAACACATTTACAATTGTGTGCAGGGGCCGCGGACAGATCGCGCCTTTGGAGGTCATCTTCTCCTGGTCACAAGCAAGACACCAAAGGGCCTGATTGTATGTAAAGATTATATTCAATGTATCAAGACAAAGATCACCTCAACACAAAGCAGCGGATGTGACGACACATTGAACTCTCCTGCTTTCTGAAAAGAAAAAGTAAGAAATAAAAAGGAATGAATGAATGAATAAATCATGACCAATAAGAAAGTGGAGATTTATTATTATACATAAACAATAATGCGAAGCGGTGGTTCCTAAGGCTGAGGGTTAGGTCTGTGGTTGCAGTTAGGATGTGCAGAAGTGGATCAAGTATTTGGATTCTTTACTTTAAAGTAGTAATGCCACAATGTAAAAAATACTCAACTAAAGTAAACTTAAGTAAACGTACATAAGCATTGTTGGAAAAATGTACGACTTTAAGTAAAAGTTGTCTTTAGCCAGAAAATGGTTATATTAGTGTTGTGTTATTATATATTGAATTAATGTTACTGATGCATTAATGTGTAAGCAGTATTTTAATGTTTGTGGTTGAGATGAAGTTTAACTCATTTACATTGTGTTGGTTTTATTTATAGCTGTCACATAAATGTAGGGGACAACTCTGAAATGAGTACAAGTAGTGAAATTAAAATGCAAATAAAAGCATGTCTATATTCTACGTAAGTAAGTACAGTACGTCTACTTTCCATCACAGAGGGTGTGACAGCTTGCAAAGAAAGCAAAAGTTTTTGTCGATGTTTTCTTTACCCAATATCCACTGCGTGTTGCACTCCAGCCAGCACGTCTGTCGCTGTGCAGTCTCTGCCTGGAGCCCGTCACCTCTTCACACTGGCCTCCTGCCAGGTCTTTCTTGCACAGCCTCACCTCTGCCTCCAATCTGCAGGGGGCAGTCACATTCCAGATCAGGCCTGGGCCACCCTCCCACATCTGGGACTCCTCCAGCGACACTGACACATTGTGCTGCATTCTTTCCAGTGCATCTGAAAAAAAGAGAAAATAATAGAAACAGAGTTATGCTGTCAAATCATTTACCGTGCTAGTTACTCTTAGGTTGACTTCAATGAAGGTCCTTCACCTCGTTGGTTTTTGAAAGGGCAGAATTCACTTCGAAGTGCCTTTTCCTTGCACCATACCTGAAGAAAATAAATTTTAAAATGTAAATAAAATACATTTGTAGTCATCTTTCTCTTGTACAATGAACATGTCAGCTACCTGAAGGCACAGGCATGGTGTAACACGGTTTGATGGAATTTCCCTCTTGCCTTTGGGCTGCAAAGGTTAAAAAGAAAGTTTAAGAGATATACCCAGACAACATTGGCTTTTGACTAATAGACTAGATTGATATAAGTAGTTTAGCATTGACTGACCCACGCAAGACCCTCTCCAGTTTCATTCAGAACTATCCGGCACTTGGACTCGTCATCAATGTTTTCCATTTGGAGGAGGACCACATTTCTCTTATGATCAGTCACAGCTCGCAGTCTGGGAGCTGAGACATCAATCATCATGATTTGTAATTGAGCTGTATCACTCTACAAGTATGTAGAACTGTTTTTGCTGACACTGCCTTGAGCACGCTCTTCAGCATGCACACAATACACGTTAGTAGGGATGCATCGATAGGGAAATTCTGGGCCGATAGCCGATGTTGTTGTTACCTTGTTTTTGCTGTTGTTTATTCCCTTTGTGCAAGGGAAACAAAGACGCGTTCATATAAAATAAATGTCTGAGCTGTTTTAAAATCATTCAGTAATTCATTACACTGTCTCAACCTTTTAAAATAAACTTTCACATCAATTAGATTCTTTAAAAAGTGCTTCAAAAGCCCTTTTGGTGATTATACATCTACCTGCTCAATGAGAAGAATGTTTCAGTACATAACCCAACAAAAATATTTGTTTTGTGATACATAAATGAAATGTAATTAAACGTAAAAGCGATTAGACACATAAGCAGTGTTTCCCACTCATATACTTGGATCAGGTGTATTAACGGCTACCAAAGCATATTTGGCAACCCATTTTAGCAATTTAATTTTTTTATCTGCCTGAGAGAACAATGCCATCCACGATCAATTAACTAGTTGACTAGTAGCTGCTTCATTTTTTGTTGACTGTGACAACGTTCTTGTATTTGCCGATTGAACGATGGCAGTCCTCAGGCAAATATCGATACCGGTGTTCGGCCGATAAATCGGTGAATGCCTACATGTTAGTCTATAAACTTATTCATAAAACACTTCTTACCATCACATTTCTTTTCAGTCCCCTCAATGTTCATGGAGCAAACTGTAAGAAAGAAGGTTAATGATCAGCGACAATGGTAGTCTGCAACTTGAAGTTACGCCCCTCACTTCCAGTCTGCAGGCAAACCCCACTCTACATTACAGCATTTGAACTCACCTTCTTCTAATGATGGGATTGTGATATTTTGTATGATGTCCGCTCCGTTTGAATGTGCGTAGACGAGGACCACAACTGGACTGCCAAACGTTGTTTTCTCTCTCAACAGCAGCTACAGGAAGGAAATATATATACAGTACATATTGTAAACTTTAAGTATTTGAAATCACTCAGTTAACAACAAACACACTAACAGATATTTTGGTAACTAGTCTTTCAGCACTTTAATAGATTTACACAGCGGTGGAAGAAGTATTCAGATCCTTTACGTGAAAGTACCAATATAAGTAAAATCTGTATTACGTTTTGTATTTTTCTCTAATCTTATCTTTTTTGTGTCAAATTGGAAAAACAGTGATTTTAATTAAGAAGTTTAGAAATGTCTCTTTGGTGGAACTGTAAACAACTCCCGACATCTGAAAAGTGCCCCAACCAGATACAGATTTTTTGGCCAAGAGCCACGAGCTGAATTGTTGGTTTAAGCTTAACAATGTGCTGCAGGCCTCAGCACTGGAAAGGAGATTAGCAACTCAATAGTTTGGCATCTAACTATGAGGTTGCAACCAGCTGAATCATGAAGTGAGCAGGAGAACTACGGTGGCCGACGCGAAAACATGACAATATGCACGGCCCTATCTAGAGCCAGTATCTGGTTTGTCCTTTCTGGACTACTGTAGAAACATGGCAGCTGGATCCATGAAGAGAACCTCCTCAGTATGTAAAAATAAACAGCTCTTTAAGGTAACAAAGACACAACCATTCTTATTCTCAGGTGATTCCAAACTAAAATCAGCATACTTAATTATATTCCTTATCTGCCAATAGATGCCCCCTAAATGCTGCATACTGTACCTTTAAGCACCGTTCTTGAGTAAATCTCCATTGTTACTTTCCAGCACTGGCGATGAGTTAATTAATGAACAACACAAACAACCACAACATGATGTAGTTTCCTCACAACTGCTACCTTGTGCGTGGGCTGTTCAGAAGAAGCTTGGTCTAAACCAGAGTAGCTTGATTTAAAGTGGAGCGTCTTGCAACAGTCAATGGAGCCTGGGGAACTGATGCACACTTTCACCAAAGCTGTAACACAGAGAGTACAGAAGAGGAATGGAAAAAGTATAAAAAGGCAATCTGTATAAAACAATGTGTGTGACTTTTAAGTGTGTTGTGGGTTGAGTGTATGGCTCTATACCTCTTGGCTCAGGAAGCACGAAGTGACCACTTCCACCTGCCAGTTGATCCGTGTCAAACTTCTCTTCATCATTATGGTCATCAGACTCCTCAGAAAACTCCCTTGCATTATTCATTTCTGCACCTACAATCACAGTCAGTAAATAGTCTGCTACAGTGGAGAACACAATGTGTTAAGACTATAACGTCTGACAAGTCAAACAACTCTGATTAAAATGCAGGAAACAACTGCTCAAGAGATGAGATGACCTGACAGTTTATCAGCAACAAGAACATTTGTTGTTGTAAGGACACGCAACGAAGAAAAGACAAGAGAAAAATTCAAGGTATTTGACCCTAGCCGGCCAAGCCAAAGACAGAAGATTTACGACAGAGCTACCTTGGACGGCGATGAGGATTTGCAGGTACGGTTCACATTCTTGTGTGGCTGAACAGCGCAGAATCAATTTGAGCTGCACATGTGTAACGTTCACCGTATCGTCTGGATCGGGCAGAGCAGCAGCGAACGGAGAGGCTGCCGAAACAAAGAGCGTTTCTGCTTCAGACAAGCTGTGAGGTTTATTACCGTGATATTAAATGCACCCGTGTTGATCGTGTCGCTACCTGAGCTCACGTGGCAGTCAGTCAAACCCTGAAGAAAGAAAAGTTGTGGATGAGAATTGAACGCAATCAACAATCAACAAAATGGCCAAAAATGAAACGCACCTCTTGAGTGGCACAGGTGTCAACAGTGGTGAAAGAGGTATTCAGATCGTTCACATGAGTAAAAGTAGCATTCTTAGAAATAAGGGTTCCAAACGGTTAATCCTGATATATGAGTTTCTACTTAGAACCATTGTTATGAAGAACCCTGAAGACTAAGGGTTCCATTAAGAACCCTTTTTGGAAGAAAGAGTAAATCAGGGATTGTTGAAAGCATAAGTGTTAAAAGCGAACGCCCACAATCCAGCCAACAGAACCTCGAAAACTGTGGCTGTGAACCATGATTGTTGTGGGTTACAGTGCACCACATCAGCCCCGGTCCTTTAGGGTTATAGATGAAACCCGTAGAATATAAGAGAGTTGTTAGTAGAACCCTCTGTTTGGGTTCTAGATGAAACCCTTGACATATAATAGGGTTGCCGGTAGAAAGATGAAATCCTTAGAAAGGTGGAAAAGTTCTGTAGAGATCTTTCAGAGAGGCTTCTGGATGGAACCATTACAGCCTAGAAGGGTTTTGGGGGGAACCTTTCACAGATGGTTCCAGTTATGACCCTTTAAGTTGGGTTCTTGGTAGAACCCCCTGAAAGACTTGCAGGTGGAACCTTTATAAAATGTTCTACCAAGAACCCCAAATCGTCCATAAGGACAAGCTGAAGAACTCTATGTGGTTCTAGTTAGCACCTTTATTTCTAAGAGAGTGCCTATATCGCTGGACTGCAATACATTTTCATTTAAATTTCAAAGTCTTATTAATAATAGAAATGTAAACTACAGACAGGTGACGATTTAAAGTAAATATTTAGTATTTCAGTAGGAACAGTGACACAAGTGACATCAGCATTTAATTCTACTTGTGACGTCAATGCGTTTGGACCACTATTATCAAAAACCCCAAATGAGGGCCAATCTTTTAGTAATAGACGCTCCATTCCCAGGAGGGTTCCAGAGAGAGACCTTTATATGGCGTATACTGTATATACACTACATAAGTAGTCTGCGATACATAAGTACGATTTTACAAATCAATAGGCCTTTTTCCCAGCAGACATTTAGACTTGTCTTGGTTAGAAAAGCCGCAGTGCAACTGATCACACTAACCATGGCCCCATTATATGTAAGTGTCCCAGTGAGAGTGAGTGTGTGTGACAGTGAACCTGCACACACACTCAAACACTCTGAGACTGAAGCAGCTAAAAATTAAATGACTTTCAAATAAAAAGGTCAAATGTAGTTTAATACTTGTGTTGCTGTTGTTAATGTTTTATACTTCTTCATATACTTCTACTTCATATGTGCTTGTATGTATATTTGATAGTACACATGTTGAAGTTCTCTCTGGTTGATTTAACATCTCTGAAACAGAGAAAATTCCAGCACCAACAAACCTCCTTGGAAATGGAGCGGTGGAGTAAGGTGTCAGGCACGATAGTAAATAAGTAATGGACATTAAACTCTGATAGCTCTCTCTCTCTCTCTCTCTGCTGTCTGTCTGGTCTCACACAACATATTGTTATTCTGCATGTATGGATTGCAAGATTACAGAAGCCTTTATCATAAAAGTCACCTCTTTATGATTGGACTTGGTGGGTTTACATTGTACACTGTACCTGAATACCATGTGCACCAAGACTACATACAGCTGAAAAATGGACAAATAAAGCAACTGTCTGAAAACGCATGTTGCTATGTTGTTGAAAACTAAATAAAAAGTGAGTTCAAAAAATAAAACAGTATACAACTCAAAACCGGGATGCTCGTGCGCATGCTTTGACTTGTTACCTCGGTACAGCTCAGTTCAGGTGCGTCTCGGTCGATCATCTCCAGCGCTCTTGCAGACATAAACAGCCAGAAGCGCAGCAGTGGAAGCAGCGGGAGAGAAACACGAGGCACCCAGAGGCGCGTAAGAGCCATTTCTTGGAGAGAGCGTCTGCGCGTGGAAACAGGGGGATGTATCTCCGGCGCTCCTCCGCGTTAGACTCCCCTCATCCAAAACTCAGAGAGTAAGAACCCCATTATCCTTAAATCTACTCAGCAGCACACAGCGTGGCAGGGATTTCCTCGGAGAACCCAGTTGCCATGGCGTGTCCAACACCAAACTGCTGGGAAGCACGTGCGGAACAAAATGCGCAGTAGCGTGGGTAGTTTGGCAGCTCGGTAGTTAGGTGTGTCGCAGTGCTACCTCCTCAGGTGGGATGGATGAAACTTGTCACCTGTTGAAGTTCCAGTTTGTGGAATGCGGATTAGGAAATAAATATGATTCAATTAGTCAGACTTAACAATGCAGATTGTTATTATAAACGTGTTGTTTATAAAGAGCAGGAGTGTCGCAAGGTGTGTCAGGTGTGTCGTTTATTTAAAAAAACATAATCTGTGCATGATGATGCACATACTACCATACTATTTAGAATGACAGAAAAATATACAGTATAGAAAAAACGTGTTAAGATATTCTGCTAAATCTAGTCGCATTTTGCAGTTTGCAAGCCAGCATGCTTTTCTAACTATTCTGACCCACAATCCCCTGCGCAGCGGATATATGTAAGCAAGAGGGTCAAAGTTCAAAACGCCATGTTATGAGGAAGTATTATGTCCCAATTAAATGGATACCGCAAAGAACAGTACATACTTTGTAAGGGCAGGTGCATCGTGTACTAAAAGCAAAAAGCGGTTTGGTATGCGGTTTGGAACACAGCTTTTGTTTTGCAAACTGCATTGGATAAACTATGTTTTAGGAAACTATGTTTTGGGACATACTACATATTTTTCTGGCACACTAAACAGTATGGTGGTACGGGTATTGGCACGCAGTTAGTGCCTTGGACCAAGGTGTGTTATTTGACGCATTGGTGTGAGAATTTGTTGGGAAAGGGCATTATACCTCACGTCTGTTCACTGGTCCATCAACGCATACCAACATTATGTATGACCATGAATCTCCTCCATTTATTGGCATTTCACCAAAACTTTAAAAAGAGAAAGTGTGTGTGGAGGTTCAGTTCATGTGTTGCCGTAATTTAACCTGTGACATTCTGGTTTCGTGGTTGGCTCATTCACTCTATACCTTTGCACACAGTTATGAATACAGGCTGAATGTTTTCAGTTGGAGTGCTCAAGTTGAATTATTAACCTCTAATCAAGTGAATAGGTCAGTTAAGTCCACTGTTGCAGATTATAATATGTATGCTTTCTTATCTGCTGTACGTTATGGAGAACCTCCACCTGTGTTAACCGTGTGCCTGTGGTCCTTTGGTGTTAGCAACCATAAAAATGCTAAATCATTGTGGATCTAAAGTACATTTGGCTGTTTCCATGTTGGCCATGTGCCAAATGGAACACACTAAAACTCTACAGTTCAGCTCTATATTTTATGACCTAATTTCCCCATTAAACTGACCAGCCGACAGTGATCTCTGTAGGGGATCCTAGAATTCAAATTGAGGCTGTAAAATGTTCTGCTACTTGTGATTCACATCTCATATTTACATCATGTATATTTTGTTTTGTCAGCCCAAGAAAACGTAGGTCTGTGTTGCTTCATTAATCACATCAGAGGAAGTTACTGTTCTACCATGAGATTAGTCTTTACTCAACTTGCTGTTTTGGCAGTAATGTGACGTTCCAAGGTTTAATCTACTGTGTATGACAGTAATCCTGTCAAGCAGGTCTCTCAGCTCAGAAGTCTGGAGTCGTATCAATGTTGTGATCATAACCAGTGGAACATCTTTATGGGTTTAAGAAAACACGTGACGCTTAGAAAACAGAGACTCTGAATGCTGAAAAAACAGATTTAGTTAACATAAACACTGTTTAGTCTCGGCCATTGTTTGTCAACACATTTTTGTCATTTCCATTATTATAAATGAATTGTATATACTGTATATTAAAATATATTAAAAAGCATTTTATTATCTTCCATACAACATGTTTTAATGCCAATCAAATGTTTGCTAAAGAAGCGCTTGAAAGAAAGAAGAAATGTTGAGGGATTTATACTTTGTTTTTACGAGGTAGTATGTGTGCACATATGTAATAACAGGTCTTCTATACTAAAAGGCAGTGGTAGTAGTACATGACCACATGATTTAACTGGCAAATGGTCGAGCGCACCTAAATGCCAGTTGCTTAATCTTTCCACCTGTCGCCTCTCTCCCACTGGAAATCTTGGTACAGCTTTGGCTCAACGTCCCCATTTATAAAATCCAAAGCAAATTTGCATGTTCCTGTATTCTGCAGTCATAACCCCTGATGTTAGTTGTCAAACATTAAATGCACCCATGAAAAGTGAGCTACAATTTGCAAACAGATTTTCATATTGGTTAGCAGATTTACATACAGATGAGAAGGCAGGTGTTCACTACGGCTTCAGTCACAAAAGCACCATGAGGAGCCTCTTTAAGGGCTAAATGCAGGACAGTATTTATCTATTCTTAACATGCAAAACGAGGTGGCGGCATTTTCTTTAACATGATGGTGTCAATAATGAAAAGTTGCTCGGGAGCGATCGGCTCTGAGGCACTCACAGTTGCAGCACCAGCTCCCGTGTCTCATGCATACGTATCGTGTTTCCAGCAGAACAAACGTCTGTCCCCGTCAGACACGTGAAACTTGAGATTACAGTTTCTCTGCTCGCCATGGCGACTCGCGGAGAGGCTCCTGCTCTGTTGCAGCTCCTGGTCTTGCCAAGTTGGCTGCCAGCGGCAACTTGAGCCTGCTCCGAGTCTTAACCGACGGCGTGTTCAGAGATGACGTGACACCCGGCCCTTGCATTGTCTTTCCTCGCGTCTGCGGCAGCAGTGTCTGCAGTCTGTGTGTTAGCTTCTGTGCCAGCCATATCGACAGCACTTTAGACAGGAGTCTGGGCCAGCAGTGCCACCTGAATTTACCAGTTTCTGTCTGTCTTCTCATTCCACCCAGCTCCTGTATCAAACCCCTGAAATCCTGAGGTAAGCAGTATCGTGGGACCCCTCTGAAGGTCTTTGGGATGTCCCTTCTGTGGCAAAGGCCCTGGAAGTAGACAAGGCCCACTCCTTGACTGTTGCCCTCCTGCAGCACCCCCTCTAGGCAGGCCAGAGCAGCCGTAAACAACGGCGCTATCGCCGCAGAGGGCTCTCTCTGGATGTTCCAGTCTTTATCATCGCATAATTTCACACATCCTGCAGCTTTCTCTTTTTTGCATTTCCCCAGTCTTCTTCCATTTAATTTCAAATCATCTTCCACCTCTACTCTTATTTTCTCACGCCTCACCTCTGCTTTGCTGTAATCTTCCATTTTTCTCTCATTCTTATCCATGTTTGCCCTGTCCTCCCTCCACTTCACATAGGTCTTCGTGGCTTCAGGACTCCAAATAATCAGCACTTTTCCTCGTGCCTTACGCACCACTTCCCACTGCCCATACAGCCAGGGAAGTGGACCCAGATCTGCTACTCCAGTCCCAGTCCCAGCCTGCGTTTTTGAGCTTTGGGCCCACAAAGCCATGTGCACTTTGGCACTGAGCTCTCCCTGCAGGATTGAGGCTAATGAACACGCAGCAGAGATGTGGGCTGACTGCTCTGATGAGCACACCAACAACACTGGCTCCTGGATGGAGAGCCAACCTGGAGATGTGGGAAAAGACAGGGGAGAAAAAATAAGAGATACTTGAATGGCTGAATTAAAATGTTTCCTTTAAAATTACTGTGAGGATCTTTTAACTGGTTATGAACCAACAAAAGTGTAAATTTCATTGTAATGCCTCTATATGACCATAAGTAAACCTGATTAATGCTTGGAATCGGTGCCGCGGAATGGGAGACTTTAAAGGGTCTCTGGTGTTTGGAAACACTACATCCTTCGTCCACAGGCACCGCCAAAATCAACTCTCAGTGAGAGTTCCCTGTAGTAGCTTTAAGATTGTAAATTTAGCAAAGTTGCGATCAGGCACCAATCAAATAAATCCAATAGCGGAATTAAAATGATTTATAACCTGAAGATGCAGATATGCAACCACTCAAAAACACAGAGGCAACAGAACCAACCTGCAGCTCCACTCTTGGTGAGACGCTGAATCACAATTCCCAGTAATGCAACAATAACCACAAACACCAACGCTGCCACGGCATACATGCCACATCTGTTGTGCGTGTCTGTAGAAACAGAGAAGTGTGTGTTTAGTCTTTGTAGGAGTTGTGTGTTCATGAGACGGTACACATGAGATTGTGTGTGTATCTTGAGTCGACTCACAGTCCGGACAGAAAACTCTTCGACCATGACGAGCAGGATCTGACTGCCACACCTGCAGGAGAGCAGATGGAAAGAGTGAGAGGAGAGAAAAGGTAACGCACTACGTCAAGAAACAGCTTTCTCTCAGGCGTGCACTTCACCTGCACACACGGCTTCTCAGCAAGAAAGTGAAGAGGCACATTCATCGTTGTTTCAGCAGAATTCCCTTCCTGTAAAAAATGGATAAGAGTCGCATGAGTCAAATCTTTTTCTCTCTCTTTAGCTTGTTTTCTCTCTCAAACACATAACGCATGCTCACCATCGTCACCACTGAGTGGACCGGCCCCACGGGTGTACATCCCCTCTGATTGAGGACACAAAGTTGAGCTGAGAACTTTGCAGGAACAGAAGAGGTGAGATACAAAAACACACTCTGCCTGCCCGGTCCGATATTCACCTCCCACGAGGACATATCTGTGACGGACAAGGAGACGCCGAGTCAAGAGACGGAAACAGACGAGATACATTGAGAGTATTGAGAAGAAAAAAAACAGCATCCTGTTTGACTCACCGGCATAGAACGGGCAAGAGATATGATGGCTGCCTTGTAGAGAAAACTGAATAAAAGAAAACAGAAAAATGATTTTCTGCAAATTAAAACATGGGCAACTGGACTTGTTTCAATGTAAGCACATTTGGCTGATTCTCACCTGCACACACATCTTTGGGTGTTTGTCCACCGCAGATGTGTTATATACCTGTTGAGGTGACACAGTGGGTGTTTAGTGATTTAAATCTGGAGTCCGTCCTCATCTCGACATCAGTCTTTCACATTACTTCACCAACAAATCTGAGCCAAATGCTTTGACTAAAAAAGAAATCTATCACCAATACCACAACGTATCCTTATTCAACGGTTCGTATATCTTATTTCCTTATTTTTTGTGCGTTTTCCTACTAAAACCAGCAACACGTCTCAGTTTCACCTCGTTACATGCATATAGTCATTTCAAAATAAACGTCAGTCTTCACAGGAAACCACTCAGTTAGGTTTAGGCAACAAAACTACTATGTTAGGTTGAGGAAAAGATCAGCGTTTGGGTTAATACAACTACTGTGCTGTGACTGAAATATGCAAGTTACGTGACAAATAAATCAGCGATGACTTCTTCTTTCACAACAGCGCTTTCCTGGCTGAAATAATGCAGCTTGTTGGACTCATCCACCTCGTAGGAATATCTACGAATGCTGGATGAGACCAGCCTGAATACCAACAGCTGTCAGGCTAAACCTACCAGGTCTGGTCCATCGTCCGTCTCCTCCAGGGTGGAGTTGAGTACAGGTGTGCAGAGGTGCTCGTGTTGCCTCCAGCAGAGGGAGGCAGAGATCTTCAGGTCACTGGCAGAGCACAACGAGCTCCACGTCAAACTAGACTCATGCAGTGTGACTTCAGAGGAGAGCCAAATATCTCTGACATCTGTTCAGGCAATGTGGACACAGATGAGTACAACTCGACGATGACAACATGCCTGACTGTGGTTGCGGTAAACCAACATCAATGATAAGAATACTGTATTGTAGCAAACAGTATCGAACTGATACATGACAGTGTGAATGTGTGCTTTTTAAAGGGGCAGTTACCCCAATTTAAAAACATTTCTTTCTCAATCCTTCTGGTGTTGAGCCATGCAGATAGTTGTGGTTCTATGTGCTGACGTTTGGGGATGTTCGTCTCTGAAACTTCACCCGCCATCACAGAACAATCCAGGTGAATGGAATTAAAGAGAACAATGGGGGAAATAAATAATGCTCATTCACTGTATAGCCGAGACTTGGATAAGAGGATCTAATCTAATCTTATCTGCTCAGTAAATATGAAGCTACAGCCAGGTGACCGATGTCTTAGCTTATCATTAAAATGTGGTTAGCCTTGCTCTGTGTGACAGTTTTACGACGGGGTTATGTGCTGGAACCATTTCTTAGCCCGGACAAAGCCTTTTAAGAGCCATGCTGGCCATTTCCCTCAGTCTTCGTGCTAAGCTAACTTCATTTACTGCTGGCTGTAGCCTTAGATTTACTATACAGATACAAGATCTTCTCTTACTCCTCGAACTCTCAGCAAGAAAGCAAATAAGCCTATTTCCCAAAATATGGAACTGTTCCGCAAAGTTAAATGTAAAAAAATGACATTTAAATACCGCAATAGAACCAATGTCCTCTATTTCCGTGGTGGTATAGTTCCAGTGAACAATGTACTCATGAGGTCTTTGGGTTTTCTCAAATGTAATTTTCAGTGCAATAACTTTCACAAAGTTCTCTCTACCGGTACGTCCTAAAACCTTCACACATATTAAAGCAACACAATCTGCATGGCTACATGCAACAAGGTAGAAATGTCTCTTTGTAATTTCGGTGAACGGACCCTTTAAAAGTAGCAATTTTAAACAAATGATTTTCTCATACTATAATTGTCTAATAAAACTAGAATGAATTCCTATATATCTCATCCAGATATGTTCTCTTCCTGATGTCTTTTTGAAAATGTAGCAATGAGAAAAGAGACTCCAGCTTGTTTACAGTACACAACATATGAGATGTACAGTAAGCTGTGTGACCAGCAGTGCAGCTTTGAGTCTCATTTTTGGAAAAACAGCTAAACGGGTCCCATTTAAAACGCTGCTCGGGTCACTAAACACGGCTGAAGGCCAGTTCCTGCTCATTTCCCGTGTTTTTCCTGTCGTGCATCATCCATCAACATGAAGAAATGGCATAAGGAGTAAATGATAGGGTTATGAACTGTTACAAGATCTAAAACTGGTTTTGTAAAAGCCTGCAAGCCTCCACCCAACAGACGGAGGGGAATACCTGTTTTGTTTTTCTGAATCATGAGATTCTCAGTCATCTATTCAAAAAAACTATGGTCAAATGTCAGAAATTCCCCACAAGATGTTTTTATTTTCAATCTGACATGAATCATCCGTCACACACTCACCTGATAGGCTCTCATTTTCAAATGGGCACTTTACATTTCGCCCGGAATCTGTGCGGGCGTAATATACCTGTGAATGCAGACAAAACATGCACAGGCATGACAAAAACATAAATATTTTACAATTAAATAATTTTGCCTGTAAAGAAAAATACATAGAGCTTAAAGTACCTCCACACACACACAGGGCAGCAGGTAAGGGATGTCAAGAAGAGCGAATCGAGACTGAGACGGATCAATCTGAAAAAAAACAACAACATATGTTTAAAATCTCTTTAGTGTGTACAAATAAAATCACACACGTGCAGATAAATGTGCCTCTGGTACTTGCAGTAATTGGGGGGGAGTCCTCTGCTATGCAGGCCTTTCCATATTTCCGGTAACACCATCTGGTGTGAACTTTGTCTCCGGCCTCCACAGTGACAGAGATGGATTTAGACGACTGGTTCACAGACAGATCAAAGTCTGGTATAGGATCTAGGTCACACACACACACACACACACACACACACACACACACACACACACACACACACAGAGGATATAATTATCACTGGCAGGTCAAAACATACAGGTGGGTGACGCATCAAAGGAAAAAACTTGCACAAGTGGGTGAAGTTGAGGAACACAAGTGTTTTTCTCAGGGTAACAATGCTCCCATTCACAGGACTGATAAGGATGATAAAGAGAATGTGAATCATATACTGCAGCCTTTGCAAGCACCACATTTCTGACAAAAGCAAAGAAAGATCAATTGCGGCAGACAGGAAAAATGAAACCAAAGCAGTAAAACATGAGGCCTGATGCCAGGAACCCTGCAGACGTTATTACCTGGCACTGTGTAACTGACACTGCAGCTTCTTGATGTCGTGTTGAAGGCCGCAGAAACAACAGCCTTTGCTTCAGCCCCGACACAATTATGTACCAGCTCCCACTGTAAATAAATAAATACACCATCATCGTGGGAATTGTCTTCAAAGCAGGATACGTGCGAGTCTGAACCAGGAAAAAAATCATCTTACCAGAGCTACAGAACTGCTTCCGCCGCGTTGCTGTGTGACACCCGTGCACTTGACGCAGGTTCCTCCATACTTTCTCTCATTGCGACACTAAAAAAAGAGAGAATAGAGAAAGAGAGATGACACCATGTTCCACCTTCTTGAGCTACTCTGAGTTGTATGCTCGTCATGAGATTTTACATGAGTTTTTGGGGCAGGTGCAAACCTTTATTTTGTTTTTCTTATTCTTTAAGATGGGACTAATTATCTGTAATTCTTCCGTCAGTCCTGATGAGAGAATTTCAATCTTCGGGGCTTTACAGAAGTCTGAGAGAAGGCAGTGTGACAAGTCAGACACGCCACAATGACAGCTTTAGAGATGATGAAATGTGCTCCATCAAATGACAAAGAAATGGACTTTGCAGCTGCGGGTTTGACTCCGTACCATCAGCCTTCATCCAGACACGGACGGTGACACATTCAGAGTAAATGTCCCTGGAGGCCGGGGTCAGGACTGAGGTCAGTTTCACAGGACACTTCCCCTCATCGTGATCTGTACAGAGACGTGAGGAGCATCAGTACAGCTGCAGACACACATGGAGTCACCGCTATGGTGACTTCAATGTGATGAGATACCAAATTACAAAATGTACCATCTTGGATCCCACTTCCATCTTCCTTCAGCTAAAGTAAATTCAAGATAAAGACAATTAGTGGCCAGGTCGTCATTGTAAATATAAAAATAGATAAAATAAATAAATACAAAATAAGTTGAGGAAATGTCAAACATTCACATCTGCATATGGATTGTACCCCATATTTATTTATCACATCTTTAATGAATCACTGTGTTGAACTCACGTGGCATATGGTACATTCCAGCAGCAGTGGAAACACCACGACGGCAACAAATGCCAGCGCGGTGCCAAAACGTCTAAAACACATTTAAAGTCAAAAGAGGAAACGTTCCCATAATTTAAATCCAGGCTCATGAGCCCTCCACAAGCGGTCCATAGAGCAGGTTTTCTGCAAAAACATGCAGAATATCCTCCTGAGTTCAGCCGGTAAACATCGGATCCGCGTGGAGACGAGATATTCTGATTCTTCTTCTCTAGTTCTGCCCAACACGTTGAGTCAGTTTGTTAGAAAACACATTGTTTCATGAGTAGTCGCGCTCACCTCAGCTCCGCCTCTCGTTGAGGTTTTACCTCCCTGAGAAAACAATAGAAGAGAAAGAAATACTCACGGGAACCTGTGGTGCTCGACAGCCTATCAGGTCACACTTGTAAGGCTTCCTTTTGTAAGATAACGTCTCCTCACCCACTTCTGTACCAGCAGCCAGGAAATGATGGCTCTTCTCTGTCACGAGAGACACACACACACACACACACACACACACAGACACAGACACAGACACACACACACACACACACACACACACACACAGACACAGACACAGACAGAGTACAACTCGCCTGCAGCTCAAATTTATTTGCAATAATGCTCTAATTTTACCTGGACACCTCCTACCTTCAGTCATAAATACAGTGACCGTAAACAAATAAAAAAAAATATCAAGTACTTATAAGATTAAATATGGTATTTACCTCCTTAAATATGACACCTAAATCATCACTTGGGGGGGGAGTCTATTGTGCCCTAAAACATGACAGAGTTCTCTAAGGGCCCCTGACAGTAGAGAAAACATGATCAAGTGCTCTAGGGTGCACGTACAGTAGAGAAAACGAGATGAAGTAACCTCTAAGGAGCCTGTAATTGGAGAAAACATAAAGTGCCCTAGGGGGCCGTTTATTGGAGAACACATGATGAAGTGCCCTCTTGGGTGGCCTTAAAATTGAGAAGATGTGATGCGGTGCTTTATAGGATGCCCTGCTAGAAAACCTTCAGCGTGCTGGTGCACTTTTAATTTTTTTGCAGCCAAAAGGTTGTTGGAGCCACATAATTAGTTAAATCAGATGCATAAGTACATCTGGACAGAGAGTCAGTATTGTGATTAAACCTCCACCATAAAGACAAAGGAACACTCAAAGCAACTCTGAGAAAAATGTGACTGAAAAACAAACGTCGGTGGACGGATACAAGAGCATTTCCAAGTCAGCAAACACCACTTGGACTTAAAACTTAAGAAACATAAAAACAATGGCACAGCTGCAAATCCACCTAGTCAGCCACCATGAGAAAAGCCAGAGTGCAGAAAAGATTGCACTGCCTGATCAATTCGCTGTGGTATTACCTAAATTATCTGGTGTGTGGTTTCTTTCATCCATTAGATAGAATCTCATTACCACACACGGCTAGAAACAGTCTAATTCCTGGTATGTGCACGCATACCTGGCCAATAGGTATGCGTACTATGGTGTGTGTACAGAGCAGATGTAAAGCAGATGTTGGGACGGAGAGCTAAAACAGGGCTTTGGTAGAAAAACAAAATCAGGTTACCAGAAGGTAAGGTCAGAGGCTCCTGTTAAGAGCGTCGCTGTCGAAACCACTGACTGATGATTATCAGTTGTTTCCAGTCACGCGGAGTGTTTTCAGGACAGGAAACAAGGCGTCTTTTCTCAGAGGGGAGTCGTTTTGGTTGCAAATCTGAAGACATAGATGTTGTGGTGAGTGGGTTTTCCAGTTGGGGGATCGTCATTGTGTGTGGAAAGATTGACCAAAAAAACCCCCTCTGGTTTGGGGAGAGGAAATTCTCATTGGTTATCTCAACAAATGAGCTGATGTAGCAACTGATAATGTATCAGTCAGCTTATGGGACGTGCAATTAAAATGCCAGTAAAACGTAGTGAGACAAAGGCCCTACCTCTTGTTTAAGTGCATTTGTCTTTGTTTCGTTTGACTCTTTAAGATTTGAACATGGTCTGGGATTATTTTAAATCCGGTATAATCCACAGGCAACCAACACACGACCTCACACGACCTCACCTCTATGTGTTTTTGTAAAAGCTGTCCGACCGGCGGAGCAAGTGTGTACAGTAGGCTGGGCTCTGTATACCATAAGGGACAGAGCAAGAAAGCTGCAGAACTAATGCGAAGCACTCCACGTTTACCCTCACACAGAAGGTATGCACCCATGAGAGGACGATACATTTACCACGATCTAACTCTCTGGGGTATGAAGAAGAAAGCCTGTGGGGGCTGAGTGAGATGCATCCAACACATACCGTCTCTACAGTTAATATAAAAGAGGAAGTTAACTTCAGTATCAGAGCGATACAGCATAATAAATCTGGAGAGGCACTCATGAGTCACAACTTCTTTGGAAAGAGTAAATGGGCGGGTAAGAACATATGAGCGTGCAAACAAGGATATTCCACACAACCAGGAAGAACACTGAAGGGGAACGAACACAACCCCCCTTGGACCGCAGACAAGTGACCACAACAAAGTTTAAAAAACTCAACTCTTTTTTTATTAAACTTCTATTCTTTATGCAATCTGTATATATAAAAGTTCTAAAGCCGTTAGCCCGAGTCTAAGACAGGCCGTGAGGCGATCACGTGTTTCTGTTTAGTCCTCGTTACTCGTTGAACCCGGCGGCCCATGTGACAGACGTACGTTAACAAAAAACAACCCCCCGCGTAAAAACAGGAGACATGATGAACACAGAGTGACAACGAGGACCGCACAACGTCTTGTGCAGCAGGAGTGATTAGAAGTAGTCCATGATAAAAGGGAGCTTGGTGGCCTTGTTAAGAAGGAGTAAGCAGAATAAATAACATTATCGTTGGCTTGCCAACAGTCTCTCGTTGTGCTCCACTTGCCGGACGACTGGACACTAGCACCAGGCCTGGTTTCTCTTTTCTCCGTAGAGGCGGTTGATGAGACGTGAAGACGTGTTGAGGCGACGGCGTTTCGCAGCCACGCCCACAGCGAGTGCATTTAAAACGCACACTACCAGCATTTCCCTGTTCACATGTAAAATGTGTGAGAACGACGGGGAGAGGCAGCAACACCGTCTGTAAACCGTCATCGGCTGCATACGAGGAATATTTTTGATTGGCAATCCTGAACATAGCATATTTTTTTTCCCATCATTATTATTATTATTATTATTCAATTTCAATTCTCTTAAATACAATATTTTACACGTCAGATTAAATACGGCTTAGTGTGCATGATGCGCGTGTGTCCGAGGGCCGATGTAGTGGATATCTCTTTGTTTTTGTTCCCACTCTGTGCTACTGGCACCGTTTCTTGTGATCTGTGATGGAGGGATGTGCTCTCGATGGAGAAACGTGTTCTCCACAACACCTTCAAAACACCAAACACATGATTTGCTTGCGTGTGTGTGTGTGTTTTTCAGTCACTGTCACTGGTCTCGCTGCTGGGGTCTCCCTGCACCTTGCTGCGGTGCTGCATGGCCCGGTGGTAGGCCACCTGCACGGACTTGCGGATGTTGGATTTCCTGCCCTCCAGCATCTTCTCCTTGTCCAGCTCCTGGTCCACCCCGAGCGGCACCAGCTTAGAGCGCGGCAGCCACTGCCTGGATCCACACGGATATAGAAGTGTTACTGATCAGTTCCAATCAAACAGAGCTACAGCAGATTTGATTCATGCCACAACAAGCTCAAACAAAACAGGAGGCAAGTGAGAGAACTTTAGAGCAGTGTTTATCTGGGGACCCTTTAAAAAACTAAAAAGACAAACCATCACGACCAAATTCTCAACAGGCCTCATCTATAAATACTATAATAAAGAAGAGTGAATTTGTGTGTAAATAAACGTTCCTGACCATTTTTACAGTCATGTCCGCATCATTTTATATTATCATAAATAGGTAAACCGCGTCGAAGAGACGTTTGAAGCATGCGTTAGTGAAAACATATACACACGTTAAATACTTGAGAGCAAATCTCTTTTTCATTTCCTCTCATCAGAGAAACAAACAGAATGTACCAGAGCCCTTCATATTCGATCCAGATGTTTTAAGAAGGCTTCAATTATGAGAACAATGCAAACATCTATTCGTGGCTCAAACGTGACCTGCAGACGTAAATATTGAACAAAAGTATATGCAAGGAATCCTGCAAATGTATTTGGAACCAGTGTTTGAGCGACTGAAAGAGGTTCAGCTCCTGAATGACTTCTCAGAGGATCATCAGGGCGGTTCGGCGTAACACCGACTCCCATCGTGTTTCTCACATTTGTTTTTCTTCAAACTTAAAAGCAAACCTTGAACGCATGAGATCGCGCAGCACAGGATGACCTAAATCATGTTTTTTTTCTCCTCTTCTTCTATTCTCAAAAACAATATTTGCCCCAATTCTGTTTCCTTTGAACTGCTGCCTCAGAGTTACTTGCGAGCCCACATCCAGTAACAACACAAGCCTACTTTTTGCGTGCGTCTTTTGCTGTTCTCATCATTTTTGAAAAAAACCACAAAGAACGACAGGATGTCAGTGAGAACAAACAAAGAGACGAACGTGATGATTGGTGACGATACAGTTAGTGAACGTAAAAGGTGAGAAGATGACCCGGAGTGCTGACCATGTTCTCTTGTTGTCAAAGAAGAGGACCAGGAACAGGTGCTCTCTGGCCTCCTGGGTCATCTGCTCCCCTAGTTTCAGCACATCCAGAGGTGGGACGGGTATCGGCACGCCGCGGTGGAACACCCCTTCCCTGGGCATCTTCGGGTCAATTATCTGCAGACAAGAGGAGGAGGGTTTAGACATTCAGCCATTAACGTGCAGAGCGTCCTGAATCGGTCCGGGCTATTGGCAGTGTCCACTCACCAGAGCAGGATAGGAGGGATAGCCTCTGCACTTGGCCCACACCAGGTCCAGAGCTTCAAGAGAAGAATAGTCATCAGAGGTCACCCAGCAGCCTGACCTGCCCTGACCCCGCATCACTGGCGGCAAGGAGCACAGCAACAGGAAGCGACAGTCCCCATTGCGCAACCTCCCCTCTAGCTAAACTACGGCCACGTGGACGATCACACGCTTCTACGTGTTTAAGTCAAGATGTGACAAGAAATGGCATTAATCTGTTTCTGTGACGGGGCGGATGGGCTGGTCGGGGTCGGCATTTCAGCCTTAAAACTCAACACTTCACATGTTGAATGCTGATCTCTTTATCTGCCATTTTGTTGTTGTTACGTTTCATTTTTCAAATAAAAGATGACATCAGATCAGTCACAGACTCAGAGATATTGTGGCTTTCTTGTACTGAATAACCAACTACATTCACATTCAAATCATTCTGAGAAGACATTCACTGTCTACATGGATAGAAACTAATATTTAACTGCATGCACTGACGCATAGATAGTGTGTGTGTGTGTGTGTGTGTGTGTGTGTGCGGTGTGAGGATGTGAAAGTGTGCTTACAATGTGAAACACTCCGCGATCCTCCGACTGAGTAGGAATCATTTTCGGTGCCTGACGTCTCCTCGCTGCTGTCCTCCTGGAAGGCGGAGCGGGAGAACGAGGCCTTTCCTCTGCCCTGCTTCGAGGGGGTCGTACTGAGAGAGACGAGAGACGAGACTGTGAGGAACCAGAGACCTTAAAGGTTTACATTCTGACTGGCCAAAGATGTTATCGACCATCGATGTAATGACCAGGAAATACAGCTTCACTACATGCTAAACAAGATGTGGCTGATGATATCGTTCTCTCGTTGTATCGCATTCGTGTTACTAAAAACATTTTTTGCACGTTTAACCGCTGAAATAAAAGCCTGTGAGACTGGCTGGTTGGCTGACAATACAGCAGCATCATATACACGTAAGCACTTGTAATAGATGAGAATAAAACAACATTTTGGGAAACAAGCTTATTTGCCGTCTCTTTTATCTGTGCAACAACTATGGAGCTACCTTAGCTTAGCATAAAGAGATCAGGAACAGCTAGCCTGGCTCACTTCACTACAAATGCATAGAAGCTGGGTTACACCAACAAGGATTTGTTTCATCTAAGGTTAACTCCAATCAGAGCTTAGCAAAACTAGGCTGATATAATAAATCCAGATTTACAATTAAGCAGAGTTATAAATAAATATCAATATGTGGATGCTTGCCCACACAATTAAAATAGATAATTTTGACTGCTCTGTGTCCCTTAACAAAAGGCGCATTGTTTGCCAGCTCGCTAGATAAAGAGTCAGTCAGTGAGCCAAACGTTACTCTTGATGGTTCGGCAGAGAAGCTCTAATTTCTCCTCTTTCGCCAAAATCTTGTTTTAGCCAGCTAGAACGACTGTTTTCAACAGTACGGGGAAAAAAGATTTGCATTTGGTGCAAGAGAATTAAATGTAATTTAGGTTTAGAGTAAAAAACAAAACTGATATTTAAAGAGAGGTTCTGAAGTTTGATGATTTAAAGTTAAACCGTGATTTGATCAGGTTCAAAAATGAATCTTTGTCGGTGGAACCCAGCCCGTGTCTCTGTTTCTTAACTCGTACATAAACAATCAAAGTTGCAGGTTTATAGGCTGCAGTGACTTCCTGGAATCTACGCATCAAAGTGATGATGAGACTCCAGGAAGTCGATGGAAAGTAAATAAATGTATTTACCAAAATGGCTATCTGTTCCTTTAAAGCTGGATTAATTGATTTTTTTGGCCTCTTGGAGGCCGAGGACCTGACCAGACACACGGCCCTGACATAATATCGGCTTATGAAGTTGGTATGGCTAATGTGTCACCTGATAATCTCTAACTCTTGGCTCACCTGAGCTTGTTTGCTTGAAACAGCTGCCTGTAGCGGTCGATAACAGGGCTGACGGGAGTGCCGGGAGTGACCCATAGCTGTAGCTCTGCGCTGTAAAGATTAAAACAATGAGCACTAATCACCTGGTCCGGTCCGAAGCTGCACTGCTGCTGCTGCTGGTCGTGGACTCGGAGTCTGAGCTGGAGCGAGGGAGGCGAGACTCGCTCCTGTACACACGGAAGCTCTCTGTTACCGGCTGGTTTCCTCCATCGAAACCGTTACTTGGCAAACCTGAGAGGAAAGAGAGGGAGCGTGAGTGTGTGTGTGTGTGTGTGCGACTCAAAACGTGTGCATTAACATCGACGATGCATTTGTCTCCCGTACCCGGCAGCAGGTCGCTGTCACTGTCGCTGTCCGAGCTGGAGCTGCTGCGGGGGCTTCGGGGCCTCTTCCTCTGCCTGCTCGGTGACAGCAGGGGCAGCTGAGGGGGCCCGATGGGGCTTTGGCCCAACCCCGGCCCAGCGTAGCCGGCATCACGGTTCTTGGGGGGGCGTCCGGGCCTTTTGGGGGGTCCGGCCATCTTTTGGTTCTTCTTGGAGAAGAGGACGGATGTCCGACGGCCCACCTCTGGAGCCAGGGCAGACGAGGACACACTCATATCTAGAGGAAGAGGAGGGTTATAGTTAAAATGTAAGAATATAATAATAACTTTATTTATATACAATATACAATACAATACAAAAGCAATACAAACCAAGGTAAAAGTTAAATCCTGATAAAACATAAAACCAATCGATACGATAACAACAAACAAATAAAATAAAATAAAATAAAATAAAGCAACGACATTACATAAAAGCAGTGTTAAAAAAAAAAAAAAAAAAAGTTTATCATCACTTTCCTGAAACAGATTTTATCCTTTTCCTGCACATCAGTGATGCTTTAAATCTTTCCAGACGCACCTTTTCCACCGATCTCCTGGCTGCTGCTTTCTCCCCCTTCATCGTGGTGTCCCGAGGAGGACGGGTGGTGGGGGAGGGAGGAACCCCGGTCCCCTCCTCCCGCGGACTCCCGGCCCGCGATACCGGGGCCTCCCTCCCGCTGGTGCGCGAGCTTCCTCTTGATGACGCTGATCTCCTTCCTCAGAGCTTTGGCTCTGCGCGACTGGCCGATGCTGTGCTTCCCCGAGCTGACCTCGTCGAGACGCGCCTGCAGGTAATGCAGCTGCTCCTCCAGCGGCAGCCGTCGCCTGTTCTCTGGCAGGATCAGGTCTGTGGGAGGCGGGGAGAGAAAAGACCGTTAAACACCTTCAGAGAGGGAAGGAGGTCAGATATGAGTGGAAACAAACAAAGGGAGGGGTGAGGGCGGTGTCCTGGTGGACGTTTTGGTAGAACTTCTGAGCTGCCAGACATCTGATGACATAATGCTAATGTGGGCCGATATTGGTACAAACTGTGCCGAATTCATCATATCTGCAACATTCACCAAACTTAATCTGAGACTGTTCGAATATAGTTTAAATGAGAGTTCAAATTAAATATGTGATAAGTCATTTTATCCAGTAAAAACAGATGAGGTCGGTTTTTAAACAAACTGAACTGAACTGATTGAATGTCCTGCACCACCTACTGGCCAACATGCTTTACTGTACCAATATAAAATATGTGTTTTCAGCATCTTACTCCAGTGTTTCAGACGAGGAATGTATTGTGACAGTGAAAGGAAATAAAAAATAAATAAACAATAGCTTGGCCCTAGCTTTGTGAGCTTTTGACTTTACCTCTACTACACTTATGACTCGTGGTCCCATCCACTAGGATTTCTCTCCCACCCTAATTCCCTTCAGTACTTCACTCACTCGTGTGATAACCAAGTGTTGTAATCATTTCCGTCTAGCTTCTAGCCGGCCAAATCGAGAACAATGGTATCAACCAAAAAGCGGTTGGCTGCCATAAACTTCTCAACCAAAGTGAAAATAGTTCACTCACCTTCCTCATTAGAGGACAGCGGCCGGTCTCTGTCTCTTTCTCTTTCTCGGTCTCGTTCTCTGTCTCTGTCTCTGTCTCTGTCTCGGTCTCGGTCTCGGTCTCGGTCTCGCTCTCGGTCTCGGTCTCGCTCTCTCTCCCGTTCCCGTTCTCGTTCCCTCTCCCTCTCCCGCTCCCTCTCTCGGTCCCTGTCGTGGTCCCGCTGGCTCTCTGGGCTCGGCTCTCGGGGGAGGTGTATGCCGGCCTCGTAGTCGAAGCCTATCCGTTCAGCGTGGCGCCGGGCGGTCCTTATGACGGCTCCGCCCATCTCCCTGAGCCGCAGGGCGGCGCGGTAAAAGACGGTGTCCTTGGCGTTGTACTTGAGGCAGTTGTTGACAATGAGGCCAAAGTCGGACTCAAAGGCCTCAAACGTGAGGTAGCGGTGGGACTCCAGCAGGTTCCACATGGTCTGGAAGTCCATTGGCGTGTCGATGTGGTCCAGGTAGTCTGGCACCTGCAGAGCAGAGGGAAGAGATCAGGCAGAGATGTGAACTGATGAGAGTGTGTAGAAGACCAGCATTTTCTACAAATAAATACTTTCATATTATTCATATTGATTTATCCCATTAGACGTTGATGTGAAACTGTCATAATTAGCATATGAATTCTTGAGTTATGGCCAAAAACTTGTATTGTGACCAAATTCTTCAGGTCACACTGAAGAAATTAGAAGAAAATTAGCTCAAGGCATTTCTGAGGTATCGCTTTTACAAGAATGGACCGGACAGACTGACAACTTTCTCGGCTGTACCCGGCATTGTAAGTAAGGTGTAATAAATAATTCAACATACATTATATACTAATTCAAATAAACGGGGGAGACAAATATAAATACGCCAATGTAATCATTTTAAAATGACGTTGGCCTGAAAAGAGGACGCATTTTTAAAAGCGTGAGTGACCGTGTGAGCTTACCTCTGCCAGCGGTACAGGCTCAGTGAAGAAGTTGTTGATGTCTCTCTCCTGCAACTGTTCCAACGTACTCCTCAACAGCACCAGGAAGGGAGTGAGCTGCATCTCCAGCGCCATCTGCTGCACTTTAATCTGAACACAGACGCCATGTTTTAACAATGTAAACCCGCCGACTGAATAAACAAACACGGAGAAATCTGAGGAGCAAAGAACTTATTGTGTACGGAAAAGTGTTTTCATGTATTCACACACACTCATATGTGAGTCTACTAAGCTGCAAGTAGTGAAGGAAGATGCTGTTTACTGTGTGTTTAAGAAAGTTTAAGAAAAAACTGGAAAGACTGTAAGGAGGTAGAAAAACAGAAATTATATTACTAAAACAGCTAAAATGGCTTTAAAATTGTATTTGTTATTTGGACCTAATTATTAAAAAAGGGTTTCATTGCCTGCGTTCTTGCGTTCTAACCACTGTCCTATACAGCTCACTGGCTAATGTTGGGGCTTTGATATCAGCTCGTGACAGAAATAAAAGGTAATTTGTGTCTCACCGTCTCCCTCTTGAGTTTCTCCCTCTTGCGGATGAGCTCCACCAGCAGCCTGGCTCTCTCCAGGTCGTGTCTGAGTCTCTGCCACGCTTTCAGCTGCTCCTTTAGAGCCGAGTGCTTCTCCTCGCCGTCCGTCTGCAACACCAACGCGCACAAACCCTCAAACATGTTACACAGCTGAATGAGGCAAGAACGACGGCTAAAAGGAATTTCGGAATTTCTTTTGTGTGTGTGTTTTTGTTTACAATTGCACAAGCCACCGGTGAGAGTTGCGCTGGCGGTTCTGGCGGGAGGGGGTCAATGTGCCGTTGGGACTGCAGGTGGGTCTGGAGCCGGCGGAGCAGCGGTACACCGTTACGACTCTGCCTCTTCAGGGTCCAGTAGCTGTGGAGTCGCTGCATGAACTGGCTCTTCCTGGGCACCGTCAAGTTGCTGGTGATTTTGCTCAGCCTGGAGAGAAACAAACACCACTTTGACTCTCGTACTCAAATCCCAAACGCCTCCAGGAGGTGCGGGTGATTTACACTATTGTGCAAGAAGGTTACCAGGCATGTGCATCTTGGAGCACAGGTAAAACACACATGCAGTGTGTACGTACCTATGGGGAGGTATGCAGGGCACAGACACCACCGGCGCAGCAGCTCTCCTCTCGGCTAAGATCTTCCTCGCTCTTTTCATCTTCAGCCTGGACTTGGCCTTCGCCCTCTTGGCTCGCTCAGAGCTCCAGCCCTTGGAGTCGTCGTCCTGGCAGATGCTGGGGTCGTCATCCTCCTCCAGCTCCCCATCACTGTGCGACGAGCCCATGCTGGCCCCGCCCACCCCCCCCAGAGGCCGGGCCGACCCCGGCGGAGTGTGGATGTCGCAGTAGGCCGTCTTGCGGACGCTGAACGAGGTGCCGTTGGCCCCGGTCTCTCGGACGGGCTCCATTTTCATGTAGAGGCCCGCCTGCTGGGCACAGGTGACGTGGAAGGCGGTGTAACAGTTGGCTTTGTGACACTGGATGCAGGCGCCCGAGCCACGCTGCTTGCAGATGTAGCAGGTGAGCTTCCAGCGGGCGGGAGGAATGTGCTCGATACTGTCGATTGGCTCCAGGAAGACTGTGTTAGCAAAGCAGACCTGAGGGAAAGCAGCAAAACTCACTTTTACTGCAAGACTCTTATCAACAGACCGTCTAGCTGCACATGTGTATATATCACTTTAATAAATATCACTAGGTGCACTAAATGAAACAGCTTGCACTTAACATGTGACGAAACAATCTAAGCAACCACCTATACTATATGTGCACCATCACCCTCAGAGTCTGTACGCATCAGTTAACACGGTTACATTCTTAAGCACGCAGTGCAGAAAATCAAGGCAATGCTGATTCTGAAGGAAAACAGAGAAATACTAAAAGCTCAACATCTGCATGATTATGTAGTTCTGATCAAGAACGCATGTAGTGGTGTAGAGATGGGCAATATATCGACATTTTAACAATGTTGTGATACGAGACTAGATATTGTTTTAGTTTCTGGATATTGTAATATGGCATACGTGTCTTTTCCTGGTTTTAAATGCTACATTGGGCCGGCCCGGCCCGTTAGTGGTGTGTGTGGACTCACCTCCGGGATCCAGAGGGCACACACTACGTGGGCCCAGCGTGCATCGTCCGTCTGTTTGAAAGCGCCTCCCTTGTTGGGACAGAGAGCGCAGTCCACGGCTCTACTCGGCGACTGCAGGCAGCGGCGGCATAACCACTGGCCCTCTGGGATGTAGGGCACGCCGTAGCACTCCTGGTGCACTGCCAGGTTACACATGTCGCAGAACAGGATCACGTTGCTGTTCTGACACTCTCCGTCGTTGCAGATGCAGCACACGGCATCTTCATCGATGAGGGTGCTGGGGTCGGCCTGGGAGAGGGGAGGATAAGTAGAGATCAGAGTTGAACGAATTCTATAGATTTTTCGGTGTTAAAATAATATTTTTCCCCTCCGCTTCAGAGTTCAGGTACCTTGTTGTGGCTCTCAAAGTAAGACTCCTTCTCCAAGCGGTCCATGAGGTATTCAAAGACCTCCTGAGGGATGGGTGTCACGCCGTCACGCCGCCGCTTGTCGTTCATGATGTCGAGCCAGATGTAGTCTTCCTCGTCGATGTCATACTCTACCTCCTCATCCAGCTCCTCCACAGACTTGTCAATGTACCTGAACACCAGCGTGGGAAAGAAGAGGAAAATGCATTTGTGTGGGTTTGGCACCAACTTCAACTTTCTGTCGAGAAGAGGAAATAATAATCTAAATAATATGAGGTAATCTGAGGTCAAATTAATTTCCTGAAACATGCACAACAACAAGCTGTACAACTGCAAACAAACTGATGTCCGAGTGTGTAAATTCAAATACCAAATTTCAGCATAAACAATATGCCTTCTCTATAAGTGCCCTTATCTTTTAAATGCCTGCCATGTAATAAACCAGATTATAATTCTAAATGCAGACCTGTAGTAAGACGATGGTCGAGGGGGGGCATCGGGTCTCTCTTGGTCCAGCTCTCTGAACACCGCCTCGGGGAGCTTGACTGCTGGGCCGGACTGAGCGCTGTGATGATGAGAGGAGCCATCCTTCTTCTTTTCTTTGCTTTTGTGCTTCCCGGACTTCGGCGTGGATTTGCCCCCGTTAGAGGATGGGATATCTGGCCGGTCCTTGCCACTACCTCCCAGCTCGCTGCCACCAGGTCCGCCGTCACTCCCGTTACAAACCCCTCCGCCGCCGCCACCCGTACCAGATGGAGGCGTGTCCTCCGCATCGCTGTCCTCCTCTGACACCACGTCAATGTTCTCAAAGATGCTGATACGGTGGAGGCGTCCTTGAAACTCCAGCTCCACCATGCGCTGGGCCTGGGCATAGGTCATTGTCTCTCTGCCCGGGGAGTGAGAGTGGTCTGACCGGTTGGGGCTCCCCGGTGTGTTCCCCCCGTGCCCAGGTCCTCCACCTCCGTTACCCCCCCCACCGTCGTCCGTGTCCCCTGACCCAGCCAAGGAGGCGCGAGGAGGCCGTCCCTTTCTCTTCTTCTGGGGCAAAGCCTGCGCAGGTGTTGGGTTATCGTGGTCATAGTGGTAAAGGTGATACTCAATGCCACTGTAGCTCTTGTACACCTTACGGCAAGTCTCCACGGGGCACTCGTAAGGGGGCTTGGTGGCCCGCAGATTGTGACAGAACGTCTTTACGTCAAAGTCCAGGCCCATCCTGCCAACAGCCACTGCTGGGACGGATGCTGTTCAAGTTTACATCTGAAGGAGAAGAGCACAAGTGAGGACCACGCTGCAGGATCACTTCCACAGGTTTATTTACATTATTCAGATAGTAGCCACAGTCACTGAATTCTAGCAGTTTAGAGACACCACTCTGAGCAAGTCCTCTGCACATTGTGCACCTGTTATGGTGCAGTCACGTGACCGTTTCTCCAACTCCCAGTAGTAAACAAATTGTTCCGTTTGGTTACTCCAGTAACAGGTGCAATTTAGGTCAATATTTATGCTTCTGTTTCCTGCTAACTAGAGTTATAACAGGGGCTAGGCTGACAGCACACTCTGGTTTACAGCCTATGAGCTTTGGCTATAACAACAGTGCATTAAACAAAAATCTACGATAGTTTCATTATCCTTATAACTAACAATAGGACTTTCTAAACAGGCTAACTTTAGCCTTAGCGTTATGATTTCTTCTTCTACTCAAACAATGAAACATTGCAGCCCTGACGCTGTTAGCCAAGCAAGCTAACATGAAGCTAGCAAACAACAACACCAGTTCACAGTTCACAGCTACTACAGAAAGCAGCCACCAACTCACGAGTTCACGACACAAAAGTAGCCACCGCTTGCTTCCGTTAATCTCAACCGATGGTAACGGCAAAAACGGTTAGTTTTAATTCGCGTGCTATATAGTGTAGCTGTATTCACAGGGCAGACGTTAAGCTAACGCTACACAAGGTGCTAGCTTTTCTTAAAGGATGCATAGTATTTATATAACTAAGTTAAAACACAAGATTTTTTTTTAAAGTTAGACACACTGTAACGTTAGCCTGAATGTAACGTAGGTGACCATTCAAGCTTCTACAGTGTTTCCCTCCACAATGACCTCACCCTGTGCATCCCATCCCTGATACTGACAGTATAGCATCTGATTTCATGAGGTTACCGCAGGTATTGCTGTTACTACGGCATGTGTGGAGCAGGTCCAGTGTTTTAACTAAATAATCAACAGATTCATTAACATTCTTTGTGTCTAAAACAGCTCCTAAATGTTGTGCAATACGAGGATATATAGCCAGTCGTGCTTATAATGCATCAGGGCTTTGCTGCTACTTCGTGTTTTCAGGGCACAGTGGGGTTAAGATGGAAACACTAAAATCACCACAACAATTACACGTAGAAATTACCTTTTAATAGTCAAAATGTGAACATATTCTCCCACCACCACACACCCAGACTTCGACCGTTTAAACGCTACAGATCCGGACGTTATAAACACTTACTACTCCACGTTCCTCGAGACTGCGTGCTTCGGAAACCTCATCACACCAGACCGGAGAAAGGGTTGCAGATCGATTTTTTAAATTCATTAGATAATCCCAGAGGAGATTCACGGGATCGCGCGGGTTACAGTGAAAATGTGTTTATTTAAAACATAATATATTCCGATCATTTCATTGTGTTGGGGAATAATTCAGAGAACTCGGTTGAACAAAAGAGGCAAACCGTTGCTGTAGCGTTACTCCGCGGACGCGGGTCGACACATTCGCCACAGAAAAAAAAGCAGGGTCTATTTCTCGGCTTTTGTATCGAAGTAGAGCCCGTATACACATTTTAACAAAGAATTTATAGTAATATAAATAATATTCTGTTCGGAGAGTATACTGAATTTTTATTTCTACCGGGCCAATTCGTTCCCACGGGTAACTTCAAGTTGAATGTGGCGAATCTGCGGCTTTGTTTCAAGGATGTCGGCAGGACTGAGTGAAAGGTGTCCTGAGTGCGCGTCGCACCTTCAAATACATCTTTAAAAACACTTTAACATCTTCTATGGATGAGAGAAAAAAGAAACTAGTTCTGGTTTACAATGTATGACTCAACTCCATGCTAAATAACTATAATATATTTTAATATTATAGCCTCTGAAATAATGAAAAAAAGGCAATAAAAAGCACATTGAAACACACCATCAAGCACAAAATAATATTTATTTCTCTCTGAACATACAGTCTGTGATTAGAGTGCAGCAGGGCAGGGTGGGGTAATGCAGTGGGACATACAGCAGGCAGAAGCAATCCCACACAGTTTGAATACAAGCCTTTTGACAACCAGAGCATTTTCACCAGGAGGCAATGTTGTCAAGAGAGAAGTGAGAATGAGCAGAGTAGGAAGTGTCAGGACTGCTTCTCCCCCTCCTCATCTTCCTCTTCTGTGCATATCAGCTCCTCCGTCTGATCACTGCATCCAAATGACTTTGCCAACAACACTTATTCCTTTTCTCTGCTGACCACGAGTTGGCGGCGAAGGAGGTGGAACAAAACCAGATATAAGTGACAAGAGAACAGAAATCTCTTACTACTGGAAGTATTTCACCAAAGCAGAAGACTCCGCATAATATCCTATAAAAGTCCAATTCAGACCGAATTGATGGAACAATAACACATCAAAACAATCCCCCCACCACCATCAGTCAGAAAACAAAATGTACAAATATAAACTACAAGAAAACTGTAGAATTCACAGCTTGGCAGATTTGGGATGCTGAAACCTTTTACATGTGTTGTGGAGTTGTGAAACATCTAATCGTTGTAGCTGTATTGTTTATCTTTGCTTTGTGGAAGATGAACTGTTGGCCATGCTAGTCAGTGACAAAATAAAAGTACAGGTGGTGAAACCCACCATCTACAGTGTAGGAAACTCTTAAACATAGATTAGAATTAAGGGGGACTATATATTGTGCAAATCACCCGCATCAAGTAACATTTGAATTTTGCATTACTGAAAATAAAATGAAAAAAACAAAGGCCGTCACCCGAAGCAACCTGGGAAATAAACGCATCAAAACTTCAACAACGCAATAACACTGCTTTGTGAGCGCCTCACTTGTTAATTTAAATTTGTATTAAAGTACCATTTTATGTGAATATAATGCTCAACTGTACAGTGGAATCACCTCAGACGATAGCAGCATCAAAAAAAAAAAAAAAAAAAAGCTTCAAACATCAAGTCATTTAAAAACATCAGACTTAACTGGTGATTGCACAACACGTTTCACATACAGTGTATGCCGAGTAATAGGATAGCCGAGTTGAAAGAACATTTAGCAGTAGTGACTTGCTCGCTTGGAGGTTTGCAATGTTCATACTTTGCCGGGTAACTTCCGTCAGTTGGTTTGGTGATTTGTAACTTTGTTCAACTTTTCATCAGCTTGCTCCTGTTGCACACATCAAGAGATAAGGCTTGTGGCAAGGCCACGATCAAAGCTTTTGTGGAGGGGGTTAAATTGCACTTTTGAGCCTCAAGCCTTGACATATTAATTGCTACATTCTGATCAGAACGCTACCAGAGGCATTTACTGTAGAAGGAACCGCGTACAGTATACATGGCTCTGGACACCGCCTTTCCTCTGAGCACGAGGCTGCAACGCTGAAAACTCTTGTGCCGTCCAACGCATCAGTTGTCCTATCAAAAAGAGGCCGTGTCCGACTGAACCATTTGACCTGAAAGAGTGGGTTTGGCTGCTGGCGTAACTTTGTTTTTTCCTTTCTCTCATCAGTCGCACATTAACCATTTGTTCCTGCAAGGCAACGGTACATCTCACCACTATGGCATTCCATCTGTCACAGGGGTGGAAAGTAAACAAGGGTTAAAAACATGATTTTATTCTTTTTAAATAAGAGCATAGTGTTAATAGTGCAGTTCTACAAGGGCATTCATATGTAAACCAAAGAACAAAAGTGTCTGTAATGCATAAAAAAAATTTTTAAAAAAAAGAGACTGCACTCAAGCTACCATCAAATAAAATAACTTGGATGCACACATGCTTTGTTTCACAGAAGAGAAAACAAATGTAAATCAATGTTCAAGGCACTACATTCCTTAAAATATCTTCATCTTAAATACTGTCTAGTAACTATCTCACACCACTGGTATTTGGATTCCAATGTAGTGTTTAAAGTGAGAAAGGCAAAAATCAATGAGAACTGCAGTAATACGGAATAAAATGAAAAATGGTTTTTCGAGACTGTAGACAATTTGTCTTGTATGGCTGAGTGTAGTCAAAACCAAAGCCAAAAAGCATTAGGTATTCACACATACTTAACACGTACTGTATAGTATATATACACACACACACACACACACACACACACACACACACACACACACACACACTAACTACAGATATACAGTGGGTACGGAAAGTATTCAGACCCCTTTAAATGTCTCACTGTTTCATTGCAGCCATTTGCTAAAATCAAAAAAGTTCATTTTATTTCTCATTAATGTACACTCAGCACCCCATCTTGACAGAAAAAAAACTGAAATGTAGAAATTTTTGCAAATTTATTAAAAAAAGAAAAACTGAAATATCACATGGTCATAAGTATTCAGACCCTTTGCTCAGTATTGAGTAGAAGCACCCTTTTGAGCTAGTACAGCTATGAGTCTTCTTGGGAATGATGCAACAAGTTTTTCACACCTGGATTTGGGGATCCTCTGCCATTCTTCCTTGCAGATCCTCTCCAGTTCCGTCAGGTTGGATGGTGAACGTTGGTGGACAGACATTTTCAGGTCTCTCCAGAGATGCTCAATTGGGTTTAGGTCAGGGCTCTGGCTGGGCCAGTCAAGAATGGTCACAGAGTTGTTCCGAAGCCACTCCTTTGTTATTTTAGCTGTGTGCTTAGGGTCATTGTCTTGTTGGAAGGTGAACCTTCGGCCCACTCTGAGGTCCAGAGCACTCTGGAAGAGGTTTTCTTCCAGGATATCTCTGTACTTGGCCGCATTCATCTTTCCTTCAATTGCAACCAGTCGTCCTGTCCCTGCAGCTGAAAAACACCCCCATAGCATGATGCTGCCACCACCATGTTTCACTGTTGGGATTGTATTGGGCAGGTGATGAGCAGTGCCTGGTTTTCTCCACACATACCGCTTAGAATTAACGCCAAAAAGTTCAATCTTGGTCTCATCAGACCAGAGAATCTTATTTCTCATAGTCTGGGAGTCCTTCATGTGTTTTTTGGCAAACTCTATGCGGGCTTTCATATGTCTTGCACTGAGGAGAGGCTTCCGTCGGGCCACTCTGCCATAAAGCCCCGACTGGTGGAGGGCTGCAGTGATAGTTGACTTTGTGGAACTTTCTCCCATCTCCCTACTGCATCTCTGGAGCTCAGCCACAGTGATCTTTGGGTTCTTCTTTACCTCTCTCACCAAGGCTCTTCTTCCACGATTGCTCAGTTTGGCTGGACGGCCAGGTCTAGGAAGAGTTCTGGTCGTCCCAAACTTCTTCCATTTAAGGATTATGGAGGCCACTGTGCTCTTAGGAACCTTGAGTGCTGCAGACATTCTTTTGTAACCTTGGCCAGATCCGTGCCTTGCCACAATTCTGTCTCTGAGCTCCTTGGGCAGTTCCTTCGACCTCATGATTCTCATTTGCTCTGACATGCACTGTGAGCTGTAAGGTCTTATATAGACAGGTGTGTGCCTTTCCTAATCAAGTCCAATCAGTTTAATTAAACACAGCTGGACTCCAATGAAGGAGTAGAACCATCTCAAGGAGGATCAGAAGAAATGGACAGCATGTGAGTTAAATATGAGTGTCACAGCAAAGGGTCTGAATACTTATGACCATGTGATATTTCAGTTTTTCTTTTTTAATAAATTTGCAAAAATTTCTACATTTCTGTTTTTTTCTGTCAAGATGGGGTGCTGAGTGTACATTAATGAGAAATAAAATGAGTGAAAAATTTAAAGGGGTCTGAATACTTTCCGTACCCACTGTAGGTGTTGTATAAAGAATATCAACACTTGCGTCATGTAATTTACAAGATCACACTATGTACATTTGTGGCTCTGGTGAACCACAACAGAGTGAAGTTGGGCCGATGGCGCCCGAACACACTAACAACCGTTAGTGAGCAGATTAGGTAGTCCTAGTGGTTTTGGGACAGGAGCCACTCTCGGGGTCGTGCGTGACCAGATGGTGGGCTTGGATCCCTGGGTTTGCCACTGTGGCATAGGGCATCATTCTTGCAGCACCGAGCAGGCCTACGGGACTCACGGACCCTGCAGGACTGGGCGTGCCAGGCCACTGCTGTGGGTAAAGAGGACCAGGAGCCATGCCTCCATAGGAGCCCGCTGCCAAAATGTACCCAGCAGGGAGCTTTGCTGAGGAGTTGGAAGCTTGGCTTGTGGGCACACCGGGGCCCAGAGAGGCAGTCAGCGGGCAGGAAAGAGGCAGCTGGAGCTTGCGGGAACCAACGTGGCACTTCATCTGAAACAGAAGGGAGTCGTTGTACTAAGTCCAGCATAGACCGCCTCAAATGTCACAGATTAGGGGTGTAACAACACCTGTATTGCATTGAACCACTCGATACAGGATCTTCGGTTCAGTATGCGACAGCCAATGAACCACTGTTGAATGAAAAGAGTTATTTTCTGCGTTTTCCCTATTGTACCGAACCATGACCCACAAACCGAGGTAGATATCGAACTGCATTTCTTGTACCGTTACTCCACTATGATCAAAGCACAACTGAATACCTCGTGTGTGGCTGCTCCCATGGGTGTCGCTCTGGCCTCCAGGTCCTGCTGCCGTCTCTGCTGTTTGATCTGGTTGAGGGAGGGGCGCGGCTGATTGGCCGCCGACACGGTCTCCTTCGTCCAGTCGTCCACCAGTTTGAGAAGATCGTCGGTGAACATGCCTCTCTTGTTGTTGCTGTTGTTGGTCTGGACCTGAGCAAGCCGTGTGATTGGCTGGGGAGATGGTGAGGGCGTGGCTGATGTGAGTGGCGGCTGTGTGTGACCGGAGGCCGACGTGGCGGTGTTGAAAGCGGACCCTGAAAAGACACAAAAGGTATTAAAAAAAACTGGCCACGTCAAAAGAATAAAAAAAGAATAAGTTGTCAGTCAAATCAATTGGCTGCTGTTTGGCGTAATGTGAGGCACTTTAGACACAATGAACCCATTCTATCACCTTCATGAGGGCCAACTTTAACAATGGTTTTGTTGAGTAAATGTCTCGAGATTTTATTTACTGTGACGTGTTTTGCCAACATAGCAGCCAAATGATTGCAACACAAGTGACTTCCACAGACAAATGAAATGTTTGATATGCAAGCAATGACAAAATTCAGCAATCAAGACATCGACACCGCCGTGCAAAACAACGACAAACGTAAACCAATGCAACAATCTGCAGAGCAACCACAACTTCGACAACAACCGCAACAAAGTGCCGAAAAACAAAAAAAGAAGAAAGAAAATAAAGTGCACATACAAAAATAAGGAGGACTAAAATAGTGGGGACAGAGGAAGAAAGACAGAGAGTAAGAAAGTAAATGAGATAGTTACTACTACTGCGCTCTTTGCCTAGACATAGTCGTTTCAGAGTGGACCCTATAAGAAGGTAGAACAGCACAAGACAGGAACAGTTAGGCCAGGACACACTGCACACCACACGGATGTGGAGAAGCTGCTTCAAAAGCACATTCAGCTATTAAAACAATTGGGGAGAGAGAAGGAGGGAAAAGGAGGACAAAGGGGTTTAAAAGTGAGGAGGACTGAAAGAAGGAGCCTAGGTGTTCTCTTTAAAATCAAAAGGTGACTACAGAAAGTGAACCTGACGGAGAGCACACCTAGCCGTGGTTTGTGATGCTGCGCGTTAAATGGTTCCTGCTTTTATAGCAACAATGTCAGGATGAAGACCGCCATATTTTAGGCTGCCTTTTAAATGAACTTACTGAAAACAGCTGAAATGGTGTCGGAGAGAACTCTGGCAAAATGCAGTCACTATCATCTCAATCGCCTTTACGATTTAAAGAGCAAAATCATCTCGATTCAGTTTAGAATTTATTGTTCCGTGAGTCGGCAGCGAGCAACCATAACGAGATAAAAGTGTTGTCTACGAAAGGAAGCCTGGATTAAAAAGAGATCCCTTTGTCAATGTGACAATGCCTGTGAAACCAAAAATAAATAAAACTCCAAACTGAAAGAGCACACAGATACTAGCTGGAACTCCTCAGAGTCAGCACTTAAGTCAGAAACATGCAGGTAACTCGGGAGAGGTGGAAGGAGGAGGAACAAAAAGAAAAGAAGTAATATTGACGATACAGCCCTTCGTATTGGTGGAGCAAGTCTCCATCAGTGCCCTGCCTGGCGCCTGCACCATGCACGTCTTCCCCGTCCAAACATGAGGGACAGAGAGAGCTGCCTATCAGGGAGGGGCGGGCTTTGTTCCCCTCTGTGTTAATGTACAGAGGGCTGCTGACTGGGGCAAAGTGCCTGGACTTAGGGAGATGTTATACAATTTAAATTAACAGTGGATGTAACAAAAAGGAAAAAAAAAAGGTTTTGGCATTCTCTCTCTCTAACACACACACACACACACACACATTTGTACAAACAGGCGTCCTGTCTGGTTTCAGATCTGACCTCGGGCCCATGTTTGGAGAGAACTAGCCCCAGTGCGTTTGTTTTTTTTAAGCCAGAAGCACTGCACAAAGCATTTGTATGGGGGGGGGGGGGGGGAATATACATGAATGAATGGTTTATGAATGGATCTGTGAATTGTGGATGAATACCAGACTACAGATTAAAAAAACCTATAACATGTAAGTTTCCTGCAGCCTGGGTGTTGGAGGCCGCACACACCCTGGAAATGTTTCCTTTTCAAGCTTCATGCCAAGAAACTGAATGAGTTCATAGATCCTGTTAGTTTTTACCTTATTCTGTCTGACCACAGGAGACAGTGGCAATACAACACACGGCTACATTTACCATATGAGCGCACAAATGTACGATAAAGCGCATGTCAGCTACTACAACTATCTAAAGCACTGCCCAGCAATGCAGACCAGGAGGTGGAAACACTCTTGGGAGTTTCACTTGATAGCAAGAGGTATAGGAATTACTCTCAAATTGTTTTCATAAGAAATGTTTTCAACAATCAACTTAGAAAGCTTCTGCTTTGATGAAGCACAGCCTCTCGTCTCAACTTAACAAAGAAAACTAAAACTCTGAGCGCTGAAACCCATCCGACTCAAAATGCCTGCACAAAGTGCAACAGGTCTGAAGTCATCCGGCAACTTTTCTGCAAAGAAAATAGGTCAAAAAAAGATTGACTGACTTCCAAATGCATGCCACTTGAATCAGCGCTGAATTTACAACTCTGTCAAACATGCATAGTCTAATCCTACACAATAGCTGTAATCAAAATGACATAATATAGATGAATTACATCAGAGCAGCAGGGTGAGTTCATCATACTGACGGTGTCTTTACTCTTATTGCCAAAAACAAAATGCTGTCAAACTGAAAGTCTGAATTTGAGGAGGGTCTTTGGAAAGAGTCACGCTCCCCTCCAATCAGGAGTCCAGTCATCTCATCCAAACCTGTAGTCACAGGGTTTTAAATAAAAGCTGATGCAGCAGAACATCAACCACCAAGAGGACACAGATGTTATTAAAGTAAGTCATAACTTGAGCATAAGCTCTTTAAAGTGGCACAGACGAGTGTCCACAGGCTCCTCTGCACAGTAACCGGTGAAGGGACTTCCAGCAAAGCCGGAAGCTGAAACGTGACCGGCTTCATGGATTACTTGAAGATGAAAAGGAAACATTTCCTGGCTGCACAGGCCATTGATTCTGGTGGCGTTTTCCTGAATTCTCCAGACTCAGTTGGCTTTGTAGACATGGGTTTTGAATAGTAACATCACGTGTGCATGTGATGGATATCCTCTGGCGGTCAGAAGGAAAATATCATACGGAACATAAAGCTTCGAGGTTGTTGAGGGAGGGGGAGGGGGTCGAGTGGTAGGAATAGAAAATGAGTGCCAGGTGAGGAGGGTGAAATAGAAGATCCACTAGATCACAGATACATTTTGTTTCTTTAAATGGTTGATAGAAGAGAGAGAGAGAGGCAGGTTAAACAAAGAGAAGATGGAAATGAGCGAGGGGAAATAGAAAAGAACAAATACAAACAGATGGACAGAGACACAGGTCCACTGAGGAATCTAGTGCGTGGTTTGCTACTAGATTTATAGGTGACTCTCTCTGACGTTTGGTGGTAAACCGTCCAGCCTGTAAAAATGAATATAAGAGGGAAGAAGAGAAGAAACAAGAGAGACACTTTGTAAAAGTGTACAGAGACTGGGATGAGAAACCCCCACCATCAAAAGACTAAGAAGGAGTGCACGATATGCAGGATCCCACTACATCATCTGACAATAATTACATCTGACAATAGAGAGCATTGTTAGGGGAAGAACATTGTGGTTGTATGCTTGAGTTTTGACCCGAAGATTATTTGTTTTTTATTAATGTATCATTGCTTGATTTGATTTTTGCACCTGTCCCCAAACATGCTTTTGTAACAGCAGAAATATGAAAATACACTGCAAGTTAAGAATAAAATGTAGTAGAAATTATATTGCTGAAAAAAGTTAAACAAAAAAAAAAAAAAAAGTATACTTTACATCAAAAAGATCAAATAATAATAAGTTTACTGTTACACTGGAAACAAAAGAAAGACACTTTGACTGACGCTTAGATCTAACAAAACTAAATCTACATTCATCAGCTGCACAGAGCTTTTGTATTCTTGACCATCTTAACATGATCAAAACATCTCAAGTGGAAAACAAAACATGGCAAACTGGTAACAGCTTGAGAAAGAATTTAGGAGTTACAGTGACATTTAAAAAATATTGTTGGCAAACTCAATAAACCACCATGTTTTATTCCTGTATATCTGTCAGTTGTCAGCATGAATTATTGACGTTAGAATGGAGACAGCTCTCGGCTTTTACAACAGTGATGAACCTACTAACCGTAAAATGCATCTGTCAAACCTGCAGTAGTCTAAACGTGGCTCGATTAATAACAAGCTTTTATAATGGCTGCTGAAAAACAATGAGCCGTATTTATTAAGTATTATATATTATCAATATCTTATCTTTTATACTGTGGCTTATAGTAGATACACTGAATCATTTTCCATGTTTTCCTGTATTTAATATTTTATCTTTAGTATTCGTGTTCATATTATATTTACATCAAGTTCTTGGCATTAACTGAATATGAACTCACTATATATTTAGCATTGGGAGAAATAAAACGGGCAAAGAACAAAGTATGATTTGAATTTACTTATAATAGGAATTTACAATGTGAACTTTAAAAGGTGTACCACTTAATTTATTGGATATATTGCCAACCTCTGCTTTCAGGCGATTATTGGTCATAAATATAAATGTATAGTATTTTAAGTGGCCCTACACACAGTGCGAGGTGTGTTTGTGTCTGTAATCCTTCGAGATGAGACTCTTGATCTTGAGCTACTTGAAAGATGTTGTCCATGGACAGTATGGACAACACTAACACTGCTAAGCATTTGCCTCAGCCCTAGTGGCTGTTTAGTGGATGGCATGTCCCATCCACACACACACACACACGCATCAGCATGCACATGAGCCCATAATGTGTACCTTGGCCGGGGCAGGCTTGGTTGGCCGTTCCATCCCCGTGTAGCCCGGCGTAGATGTTGTCCGAGGAGAAAGAGCCCTTCAGGGAACAGGGCTGCTGGGTGTGGACCTGCTCTGGGGGGGCACTGGGCTGGTTGCTGGAGCTGGAGCTGCCACTGGAGTGAGCAGAGCCGTCTGACAGAACTGAACTTTTAGCCGGGGAGCTGGATGAACACACGGCGGCGCTCTCACCTTGGAGCAGAAAAAAACCAAAAAAAAACAAAGAAGTGTGAGTCAGAGTGAATCACTCTGTGAATCACACATTCCTACAGTTTTTCTGAAGAAGACGCCATTCCTGTGTTTTCCAATTGTGTGCTTTCAGACTGAAAATGCTCTCCCGTGCACACGACTCGTCACGTACGCCACTTATCAACCCCCGCCATCGAAACAACCCACACACCTTTCCTCTCTGCGGAGATGTTAAGATTGTTTTTGAGCTGCTGCACCATCGGATTGAGCAGCTTCCCAGCCTTCAGCTTGTGTTTACTGGCCCTGCGCCTGCGGCCACTTGGGGGTGCAGCATGGAGTAGGCCTAAATTGGAGGGCAGCGATTTGCCCAGCTCTGTGTACAGATGCTCAATCTCGCTCCTCTGGAACGACTGCAGCTCAGAGATCTCCTTCATGTGTCTGGTGAGAAGGTACAGGGAGAAAACACACAGAGATTAACTGCCTGCAAGTAAATTTCGGCTTCTGTTTTCGTCGTCTTTTTCCGAAGCACTCCCTCAGTAATTTACTCTCCATGCAGTCCACTGAAGCCTCCGTCAGTACAGATTGCAGTCGTGATATTTGTGGGTTTCTACATGATCATTAGAGTCACTGTGAGTAATAATAATAATACACACAACAACACTGAAGTCTTTGATGAGCTCCGTGCACTCGTTATGTTCAAAGAAAATGTCAAAATCATTTCATTCAGTTTACCATTATTAAGATCACAGTATTGTCGTACAGTTGCATCTGGCTGCCAAAAATAAAAAGATCAAAGCAACGTTTCACAGACTGCATTTGGATGCGTCACGTTATCAGAGTCAAATAATCCTCATTGCACATGCACCACACTTACTGATAAATGAATGCCATGTTTCTTTTTAGCACGGCCAGTCGGAAGAAAGTTATTCACACTTCTTTTCAGGCCATTACTTTAGGAGTTCTCTGCTACTAGCAGGCGATACCTTTTAGTGAATTCATTAATTATTTTATACCCTATTCACCTGTAGTGTGAATGTATGTGTGTTACTTTACTTTTCTCTCAGCTTCTGCAGTTCTTTCCTCATATCTGCATCCTCAAACTCAGAGTCGTTGTCACTGCTGAAGTAAGATGAGTGGGCGTGTCCCGCAGATGGCGAGGCAGCGTGACCGTTCATCCCCACGGGCTGTCGGCTCGGCGAATCGGAGCTCTGCTCGCTTTTGCTCCGACCAGTGCGCCGCAGGAAGGCCACCGCCCTCTTCATGAGGTCGCTTCCACTGTGCTCGGACTGGGCGTGAGCCGGGGGAGCCGGGTGGGCCGCAGGAAGGGCGACGCTGCTGCTCTCCTCATCGGCCGAGCCGGAGTAGAGGTGGGAGGAGTGGTGGTGGTCGTGATGGGTCGGAGTGTCCATCGTCTGGGCCCGGGGGATGTGGTGTGGCGTGACGTCGGAGCTGGACGTCGGGGTGGCCTGGTAGAAGTTCGGCGGGGCAGAGTAGCGGTTACTGCTGTGGGGTTTGGACGTTGCTGCATGATCGGCTGCAGCCGTCACAGAGGATTTGTCCACGGACCCACAGTCCTGGTCTTTCCTGCCCGGGCCCTGGGACTGGCTGTGTGAGCCTGCAGAACCACTAGAGGGTGCCGGGGAACTGCAGGTGCTGCAGCTCTTCTTGCTTTTCTCTAAACGGCAAACGACATCCGGTGGAGTGGGGATGATCTGGAAGGAACAGAAGCCTGCGTTTATAACAAAATTAGGGTCCATAAACGTCATCGACCAATGCAATGTTTAAGCAGCAAACTGGACCCAGGACAAACAAAGGCATAAATCATGATCTGTAATACAATTACATTTGGTCAAAGGACATTTGTGTTTTTGAAAGTGGATTCTTACTTGAAAACGGCTTTTGGAGCCGTAAGAACCGGAGCTGGTGGTCACGTCTCTTCTGTTCACAACCCTGTTGGTGGCTAAAGGACCAGGAAGAATGATGGAACGGGTTCTCAAACCAGCGAGCAGTAATAACATGATATGGACAACATTACATAAATAATGCTACCTACCTGCCACTGCAGAGTCACTCAGTGCACCCACACTATCTGTGCGCTCAGGAATCTGAGGCTAACAGAGAAAAACAGAAGAGAGTGTGTATGTGGGAGGTCGCAATCATTTGAATAGTAGAAAGTGGTAAATTGTTACATGCGCCAGATCAGTGTGGTAAGGCTAGCCAGTCTCTCCTGACCTCAGCTTTTGCTGAATGACTCAGACCCTGATTTGTTTTTGGCAGCATGCATGCACGCAGAGACACACACACACACACACACACACACAAAATGAAGCTGCCAGAGAAAGAGATCACGATGAGTTATGGTGCCGACGCCAGTAATTGCGTTACCCTCCCCTCTTTCTAAACACAGTATTCGTCTTGCTCTTAACAGCCAATAGTCAAATCAATGATACAGTGCAGGGAAATGATTCAATGATGTTGCCATTAACTTAGCTCCTAACCAGCGCTTGAATGCTCAGATTTCTCTCTCTCACACACACACACACACACACACATTTTACCAGCAGCTCCCCTTTCTTCTTTGCATGTGCTCCCTCGGAGCTTTGGCCGTCTGAGACTGGAGGTGAGCCGACTCCCTCTGTGCTGGAGGCCTGGGGGTCGGGTGCGGTGCTGGAGGGCTGGGAGGGCACGTGCTCCTGGTACAGCAGGTTTCTCAGCTTCTCGTCCAAAGTCTTGATGGTGCGGTCTGCAAACTCCACCCTACGTGGTCCGTCACTGTCCGACTCGCCTGGCCCCCCACTCGTCGGCTGCGGGTGGCTCGACGACTGGGAGTTCTGGGGGGTCTGATGCGCTGGACTCTGGGGCTGGGAGGTGACGGTCCCAGGCTGCATGGGCGTGGCATAGGGTTGCTGCAGGACCACAGCCTGATGGGAGGCCAGCTGAGGGGGTAGTTCTCCAGAGGGACTGGCCTTCTGATTGGGCTGATTAGTTAGGGCAGAGGTCAAACCACTAGCTGCTCCTTTCACATCCAGAGTGACAGGCGGCACAATTGCGCAGCATGGAATGTCCGTTACAATGGAGACAGCAGAGATGCAAGGCTCTTCCACAGAAAGGAAGTTGTGATGGCTGGCACCGGCAGCAGCAAGGACGTGGTTAGTTACACAGGGCTGAGGCTGCTGGAGACGGGTTTGGTCGATGTTTTGGTCTTGAGGTTGCACTGAGGTCTGAGCTGCAGTGGGCAGAGAGGAGGAGGAGGAGGCAGACGGGCTTTGGGAGGATAAAGATGCGACTGGGGTTGCCGCTGCAGTAGTGTTGCCGTTGGGCCTGACTGACGATGAGGCAGACTTTTCAGATTCTGGGGACATAAAAAGATCAGAGTTAATTAGGAGTAGAACAGATTGGGAGCTAAACAGCCAAGGCCGTGAAGAGGAAGGGAGGCTGGGTCCTGTGGGTGCCCGAGTGTTACATCACTGCCTGTCTTCCCCCATCAGGCTCCGTCAGTTGGAGTATGAATCCCGCCCTTCATTTCCGCCTAGAACCACTGCAGAAGCACACTTATATAACTGACCCCAACAGATGAAGCACACTCTGATGCACGCGCACCATCTTCACTACAAACAGCAGCAAGTCAGACAGAAACGATTCAGCTTATTCTATAGAAAATATACCACTGGCAAAGAAAGCTGCTGCTCGTTGGGCTCATATCACAAAGTAGAGAACCTAAAGACGTGAAGCATTAATTATACTGTGTTTGTGAGTGTGCAGCATACCCTGGGCTGTAGAGGTGCGAGATGTCGTCTTCTCTTTGTCCAATATCGGCGTCTCAGCCACAGGGCAGATGATAAACCAGCGCTTGCCAGTGTGGAGGACTGTCAAGGACAGAGAGAAAGGAAAGCTCATAAACGCACGTCTACTAGAATATTAATTCAGTAAAAGAGCTAAATGTACCGACTGACCCCTTGAGAAACAAAATTTAAAAAAAAAAAATCAGAGGAAATAAATTCAAGTGTGCAGATGCAAATGCAGATGTGCAGGGAGACAGCCGAGTTTAACTATATCTCAAAAGTGTGAGTGGATTTTGTGCATGTGAATGCATAAGTTCCAGGTAGCTCAAAGTCTTACCGTTTTGCTGGTACACCGGCTGTGGTGTGCTGGGTGCAGAAGCCTTCAATCCCTAAAGAAAAAGGAAGGATTACTACACAGATTTGACTCATGTGGATCCATTCAATAGGCATTTCAAAAGGTTTCCTCAACGAGCCAAAAAGCTGGACCTCAGAAACTAATTCAGTTAGATCAAAATGCCACATCAGCAGGAATGGTATGTTTGGCAGCTCTTGTTGGCAGCGTTGCATGCAGAGTCAACTCGAGAGTGCTGTCAGGATGATAAATCCGAGGCACCCGTAGACACATTGTGCCATTGCAACTATTAACTGTCAACAGTTCCTTTCTCACCTCTGTTCCCAGAGCGCCGGCGCCTTCGTTCTGTTTGGGGCTGCCTCTTTGGTCAGAGTTCCGCTCACCCTCGGCGTCCTCACTCAGCATGTCCTCAGCCTTGTCCACTATGTCCTTAAGCTGCTCGATGAACATTTCCTTTTCTAAAGGCAGAATGAAGTCATTCTCCACCTGAGGGACGCAATGGAGGACAAGGCGACAGAACACGAAGGGTTTTAGCTCAACAACAAATGCATGAAATAAAACTGTGTCAGAAACAACAGATGTTAACAAAATTATTGAATTTCCAGATACATTTTCTATTCAACAAGGCTCAAGAACATCCAATAAATACTTTTGCATAATTGTGTTTATGTCTCTAAGCATTTCACAACGTCAAGTTGATTAAATATATTGCTTTGATAAGCTTCACAAGTGGGCGTTTGCCGTGGACCACCTTTATTATACATGATAAGTTGGTGGAGCAGTTTTTTGCCATAAATATTCATCCATCTATAAATATGAGGCCAATACAAATCGGTTGGGACAGGAGGAGAGAGAAGGAGCAAGAGAGAGAGACAGACGAATATATTTTGCTGCATTGCAGCTCAGAACAGCAACACGGGGAGTTTCAGAGTTCTGAGCTTTAGGAAAGCACCTCAGGCAGCTTACAGCACGCTACGAAAACCTTCGCATCATGTGAAGTGGCACCGACTTTGTCTCCTACGTACCATGTATGTAGCAATCTCTTCCGGTGCGTCTCCATCCAGGTCAAACTTGAAAGTGACCATTTTGTGGTTATGAGTTTCCAACTGACACTCTACCATCTTATCGCCCGTGTTGCACACCTGCAACAGGAGCAGACACAGTAAATACATTATCAGCTATTATATTATTTCTGAACATCGACTTAAAGCGACGTCTTTCATGTCGGAACGTGTTTTGGTTACCCACATTGAGCATGTTGAGCTTCGGCCTGTTGATCTTCTCTTGCCGGGAACGAGTGCGCGTGGACCTGCGGTGGTGTTTGCGGACTTTCCCTTCACCTTTGCCTCCATGGGTCCCCTCATAACCATCACTCATCTCCTTCCCTGACGTGGCATCAGAGTTGACACTGAGGAGAGGACAAGTACATCAGTTAAAGTATGGCCTTGTTCGTTCATACCTGAATACTGAGCACACCGCTCTACATTTAGGTTGGACATCAGTTTCAAGATAACAAGGTACACGTCCGAACACGTCCAAACACGTCCAAACACGTCCAAACACGTCCAAACACGTCCAAACACGTCGCTCAATAAAAGATGGCACATTGACAAAAAGAGAAATAGTAAATAAGAACATTTCTACTGAATTTCTACCTCCCGGCCTCGATCTGGAGCTTAGTGAAAAAGTTTTGTAAAGTTTATCGCTGCTCTGGAATGCCTGCAGGATTTGGCAAAAGCCTGATATATCAACCATGGTTGACACTAAACTCCACATGAGCTTAAAGGGGATATAGATTTATGGGCGATAAGCTTTCTGCTATCGATTATGAAGGAACAACTGAACTTAAACTAAAAGGAGTTTTAGCTGCTGCTGGTCACAACGATACGAAAGATTGACGGATGCCATCAGAGTTCATCGGGGTGCATTCTGGTTCTACAGACGTCTGTGAGCAGCTGGAGAGCTGTCCTTTGGGCGATAGCCTGCCAGACTAGTTAGCATTACACATCAAATATTATGATATAAGAAATACGAGGATTGCACTTCAGTCACAGGATTTGTGAAACGCCCTCAATGTTTTCTAAAGGCAAACAACGTCTGTGACTCAAGGAGTGTAAGAAATAAACAGTCAATGCTTTTGATAGTTTCTGAAGCGTTTTGCTTCAAAAGAGCAATATAGTCAACCAATGCAAGGTTCTGCTAGGCATCCTTTCAAGATGGGTGTGGCTACTGTAACTATGTAAACAATAGAGCCTCTAATTATTTAAGTCTGAAGTAAGAGAGGACGGAAAACTGTTTCAGACCAGGCAGAAAGCTGCTAAGATCTCTCTCATCCAATATACATTTGTTACGATTCTTAGAATCACTGACTGGTCACCTGCACAGACGGCTGATGGGAATAAAGCTAGTACCTGTCATAGCTCTGTCCTCCAGTGTGTTTCTCTGCTTGATCCTACAGACACAACAGATACAAGCGATCAGAGAGAAGGAATAAAAGAGAGTAACATTAATCAGCTATCGTGTTTGACATTCCTGATGGTGACTTGAGAGGAAGTACAAGAGCCACTACATGTGACTGCACTTGTATATTTGCAAAGCAAGGTGGGCAGAGGAGGAAATATAAAATGAGTACTAAAGAACGTGGAAGTGAGTCATATGGCCATACCTCCATGTTGGTCTCTGTTGGACCCTGACCTGCAGCTCCGGTGAGACTACTGAGCTGTTTCTGCTGACTCAGACTGGAACTGGCAGACCCAGATAATGCTTTCTGAGAGTCAGAGGGTTGCAGTACAGGAAGCTGGCTCTGAACCTGACTCTGGGCCTGTGGGGCCAGCTGGCATGGGTTCTTGCTCTCCAGCTGGGCAGCAGTGGTGACCGCGCTCACGTCGGACCCGTTCTGCAAAGGTGAGAAGACTGCAGCTTGGCTGAGCTGAGCAGAGGGGACGAGCTCAGGATGGCCGACCTGCGCCTGCTGGGAAGACAAACAAAATAACACAATTTTATTAAACATAATTATGTTATCTTGGAAGACTGAATCCTTTGCAGACATTTTGAGATATTAAATCTTTTGACTGTTGTGCCGTTTCTTGATTAAAAAAAAATGTCCTCGAACTTCTATATTCTACAGGGTTTTCATTTATGAAGTACAGTGACTATAACAACACTGATTTTCTCATCTGCATTATTTAATTAAGTTACTACAAGGAACTTTCATTTTGTGTTGATTTTGGCAGCCCCTGCGGACAAAAGTGGTTGTGTTTCCGCGCATCAGAGTCCCTTTAGAAAACCTCTATCTTTACTGCAGCAGGGTCTGACAGTCTGCCCCGCTCAGTCCTGGTTCTGCCATGACTCCCTTCACTTCAGCGGGCCCAGCAATACGGCCTGGGTCTCCAGCAGCGTGGTGTCGATGTATGCTCCCTGCAAGGACCGGCAGAGCAGCGAGGAGTAGCTCTGCTCCTGGCTGGAGGAGGAGCTGCAGCTGCTGCTGCCGGCCGCTAAGCTCTCCTCCTCTCGCCGTAGCTCCGACTGCAGGTCGAAGGCAGGGAAGCCGGCTCTGAGTCTGTCCACGGTGGACTGGTTGCTGCTGGAGTCTGAGCCGAAGAAATTTCTGGTGAACCTGCATGATGTCATCTGATTTTGCGCAGAATCCAACCGATGACACACAAAGAATAGCTGTAGAAATAGGCAATCATCTCGCTGACTCGCTTGTTAACTTATGTAGGTCATATAAAGGCATCAGTATTAAACTGAGACGGTTACATAACCAGTTAAAAGTTCCTCGCAGTAACTTTAATATGTAAACTGTGATTAGCCTTCAGCCACAGAACAACAGCACAGTGGCCATAAAAACAAAGCTTTTTGAAACAATCTGACAGAGATTATCACAAGCAAAGGTTCCAGTTCACACCCTCTTGGTAAACATCTGCACTCCACAGCAGCCAACATAATTACCTGCATCAGAGGCTGAGTGCTGCCATTTGTGGGAGGGTGTGTGTTCTGGCACGGGGCAGTGTGTGTGTGTAAGGGGTGGGTGGATGCTGCCGATATAAACGCAGGTTGTGAATGAGAAGCTTCAGCTCTAACACTCTGCTGCTGCAGAACAGAGGTGTGCTGGTGCTGTGGGGATGTGGGTCCCAGCACGGGTGAGGGAGAAGGCATAAGGGACACCGGGACGGGTGAAACTAACATGTTTTTAATGTGCAGAGGAGAAAGGGGGAAGACAGAGGGGGTCACAGTCTGTCCAGGAGAAAGGAAGATGTGATTGAGAGAAGAGGAGGTTGAAGGGTGAGGGTAGGAGGATTCACAGTCAGTCACAGCTGTCATCACCTGGATTGTGGGGTACTGTGAAGGAAACTGAAGGGAAAATAAAGAAAAGGAAGAAACAGGAAAATCAAATAATAAATAATCTAGAGAGCAAAGATCAAACACAGGAGGACGCTGCATCAAGATAACTTGCGTCTAATCCATATTGTTATTGGTCTGTAAAATCCAAGATAGAAAAAAAACTATATCTCGGACACAAGGAGAATGAACGGATATTATCCAGGGCAGATATCAGTGAAAGCTGCAGACTATACCTGGGATGGATGTGTTGGTGGGAGAGAGTTTGAAATCTGCAGAGGTTGGAGTTGTTGGTGGACAGTTCCCTGAGCCATCGACTGTTGAGGAGGCAGTACCTGGCCACCTGACACCTGTCCATCTTGTCCAAGCTGAGAAATGCAATGACCAGCAGGAATATTCTACAGAAGAACAAAAAGAGATAAAAAAAAAAAAAAAAAAGGAGCGAGGAAGTTCAATAATGGCAGAGCTTCCAGTTTCATCTCTTCGTTTGGAAATCTGCATTTCCTGCTATTGACCCAGATCAGAATAGCTCACATTTCCCATCCTGTCCCTAAGCCTGGAATCAGTCTGAACCTGCTGCACGAGCTGGAGCACAGTGTACAGCAAAGCAGACGCAGACCAAGCCTGGGAGGGCTGGCGTATGCAGCGGCTAAGACCACTGTTATTGTTTTCATTACTGTTTCCAACAACTTGCTGTCGGCTGTTGTCTGAGAGAACTCCTGTTGAGCCGGTCATATTTTCATTCACCTACTGGCCACCAGCGCAGCTGCTTCCAATTCAGAACCAGGCACCATAATATGAGTAGCTCCAAAAGTAATAACGGCACTGCCATAAATAATCATGTTTTCTTGTTTAAGTGCATTCGTTTTCTGTCCCTCCAACATTGAGTCCCACAGTGACAAATTGTGTTGAGACAAAGGCGTTCTACCTGGTTCAGGATAGCAGCGATGCAAAGATAGGGTTGAAACTGATGAAAAATGAAAACAGGGCGAGGTCAGAGGAGGGCAAACCGACATGAAACTCAGAACTGGGGCACCATGTATGCCGCCTTGCTACGATATTCCGTCTAGTGATTATCAACACTCACCTGTTGTGCTCCGTAGGTCTGTGGAGCACCAGAAGACTGTGCAGACAGGTACTGGCTCTGAGCGCTGAGGGCAGAATATGCATAGCTCTGCGAGGCAGCGTCAGGTAGTCCGACAGCAGGGTAACTCTGGTGTGTGGCTTCAACCGGCACTGTCGGGTGAAGCTGAGAAGCTGAGGTCTGAATCTGTTGGACTGTAGACTGGGATACATCCTGGCTCTGTTGGGGAGCCGCGGTCTGCATGGCCGTCTGACTGTGCTTCTGTAGAGTTGGGGCGTGTACCTGTTGCTGACTAGCAGTCTGCTGACTTTGAGACAGGTGGGTAGGCTGTTGTGCCATTTGTTGGTGCATGGTGTGCAGAGTGTCTTGGTTGTGCTGGAGTTGAGGCTGAATGTAAGCCTGCCCAGCATGTTGTGTTAGTTGTATGTTGGTCTGAGTATTCAGGTGGTGCTCTTGTTGAGTTGGCATCTGTTGGCTGTAAAGTGCTGGTGTGGAGGAGCTCTGACCAGGCTGCTGACTTGGCAGTTTGACTGCGGCTTGGACGTGTTGCAGTGCACCGGGAGCTTGTGTCGGATGACACTGGGCCATGGCTGCAACAGTCGGGGCTACAGATCCAAGAGGGTAGCCTTGTGCTGGCTGCTGTGCTGCTGCAGCAGTCTGAACTGGAGCGGGACATCCTGAAGCAGAGTGAGCCTGTTGTTGAGTTGGGCCCACGCATTTCTGACAAGTCTGTTGCACATTCAAAGGGAAAGTCAAAGCGCTTGCTGCTCCGGCCTGCTGCTGTTGGTGGCCTGGTGCTTGGTAGCTCTGTGCGACATGTTGCTGCTGCACAGCTGATGCTGAAATATTTGCTGCAACTTGGGTCTGTTGCACACTTGGAGGTGTGTAGCTAGCAGCACCGACTGTATGCTGGATGTTGACTGAACAGAGACTAGCTGGAGCTGGTGCTGCGGCGCCGTGTTGGCAAACATACGGAGCAGCAGGGTAACTGTGTCCAGGCTGGACGTACTGCAGCGGTGTGTGCACCGATGTGCTGGAAGACGGCAGGCCATGTACAGAAGGCTGATTGTGGTGACCTGCTGAACTGGCCTAAGGACACAAAGGAGAGAAATTCAAATTAGCCCCTCTCTCTCTCTTTTACCAGACAAGGATACAATCCCACAAATAATAGGTATGTCAATTACATTACAGGATGCAAGTATAATGACAGGATGAGGGATTAAAATAAGTTAATGAAACATGTGTTTCAACAAAGAGCAGGCGGTGACAGGTGTGCGCTAAAATAAGGACACAAAAGAGAAATGGTAGGAGAGTCCGAGAGGAGGGAGATCAGACAGCCGCCCCACCACCTCCAATCATAGGCCATCTATCCAGGGCAAGCCAAGGGGCAAGACAGGTGTAACATTGGGCCAGTAAAGCAGAAAGGAAACTGTTAATGTCTAGTTCAGCTCTAGAAGGGATTGGTTGAGGTTAATCAGCAGGAGAACGTGGTCTATTAGAGATTGTTCCATCGTCCTCCGACAGGATCAAGCTTATGATTTTTAAGAAGACAGTCAGCTCTGTAGGCCTATGCAGGTAGCGAGACTCAGACAGTAGACAAGATCAGGAGGAGATCAGACCAGCTCCATGCAGAATAACGCTTCATCTCCTATAGGCGGGGAGAGTTCAGTTAAGCAGTTGGCCCCACATGGGACACCAATGTGACCTACCACTCCGACAGCTCTGGTAACTTGATGCTCTCGGGCACAGAGTCTATCCTCGCAGTCCTGGATGGGTTCTTGGTCTCCAACCAAACCGTCACCCAGCGGATGACTCTTCAGGCCGTCGTCTCCATCACTGCGCGCCGGCCTGTGGGCAGCCGAGGAGTGCAGCAGGGAGGCTTGGGTGGGTGTGGCAGGACAAGGGGCTGCTTTGCGGCTGATTATGTTGAACAGGGACTGCTGCAGCAGCGAGAAATCATAACAATCACTCAAACCTTTCAGCCGTCCGCAACCGGGAGTGGTCATTGCTCCAATGGAGGATGTTTTCTGCCTTAAGTCACACGGACAGTGGTGTGTTGGCACGGCACCAGAAGGACGGCGGTGGCTCCCTTCCCGTGACCTTAGAAGAAGCAAAGAGAGGCAAGCCTGGCACACGTGGCCTCTGTGCGCCGCAAAATGGTGGTTATGATGAGCGGTGAGACTCAGAAGACTACTGAGGTCAGAGTGTCTTCGTTCACTTGGCACAGGCAGTGTTGAGTTCTCACTGGTGGCGTCTGATGACGGTCTGATTGGTGTGTCACTAAAGCGGCGGTGCTCAGAGGGTGAAGGGACAGGGAAGGCCTGCAGTTCTGGCAGAATACTCTGGAAGGGGAACCCACCCGTGGCCTCCGAGTGAAGCTCTGGAGGGTCGACTTCCAACCGGTTCTCCGGTGCCGTCGGGGTGGGACTGATTGATCTCCGTGACTGAATGAGAGCATGGAGTTGAGTAATTTGGTTTGCCCTGCGAGTGTCAAGAACTGGGGCGCTTCCTCTTCGGGCTGCAGCTCCTAAACGGGTCCTGAGCTCCGGGCTCAGTGTTGGCCCCCAAACTTGCCCCTTTTCACAGGAGTGAGGTCGATCTGTTGGAGAAGGGCTACTGCTCTGGCACTGATCAGGAGGAGCAACCCAAAAGCAAAACACAATATGAAGAGATGAGGACAAACACACGTGAATGTATGAGAAAAACATCTGCATCTAATATGCATGACTGTCCAGAAATGTGTTGACTGTGGATTCAGTGCCTGTGCTCAGCTCCAAGGCCACGTGAGCGAGGGCTGCTTTCAAACAGTGTGTGTTTTGATTAATCCGAATGTGCATGGTCCACCTGGGTGTGTGTATGCTCCTGATACACACCTGCTGTGTTGCCATAGTAATAGGCTCCAGCAGGGACTGGTAGAGGACACTCTGCTGGCTGCTGTGGGAGTCCGAGTACACAGTGGAGCCCATGCCACTGTCGAGTGTGCCGTCTGCTGCAGAGACGCACAGAAATCATGCACTCATTAAAAAGTCAGAGATTGAGCTCGTGTGTTTCTGAGTGGGGGGGGGGGGACAGAATCTCTTACACGTCACTGAGGTGGCACTGGCTGGTAGGTTACGCAGCCTGTTGTGCTGGTCTGCCTCCGGCTCTTCCGGCTCCAGCAAAGGCTGTCCTACATGCGCAACCCCGGCAGTGATGCCCTGTGATGGCGTCATCTGGACTCTGTGCCCGCCTTCACCTCCATCCACTGGAACCGCAGCAGACACCGTTCTCTCCCGTCTCCATTTGATCAGGGCCACGCGGTCCCTGAGCGACTTTCCCACAGTCTTAGCGTCGCTCTCGTGGAAGAAGCCCGACTCCACCTGACAAAGTAAAAAGGGGAAGAGCGTGACTTCCAGGATATTTTTAGCATGGAGCATGTGAGAGGAGAGAGAGCACATTGTGTGAGGGAGAGAGAAGGAGCAAGAGACGGAAGGGACAGAAAAATCTATTTCAAGGGGATCAGAGCAGTGGGGAAGTATCCTCTTTGTCAGCAGCTGGATTCATTGTTCACAACACAAGTGTCTAAATAACACATGTACATGCAAGAAGAAAATCTAATTCTGTCTCGACATAAAACCGCGTTTGAATTGGCTACAGAGCTTTAGCTCCTTCTGAAACTAGAGGACACTATTCAGCAGTACGAAAAGAAAATACTAGTCAAGCAGTTACTTTGTGCATATCAAAACTAATTAAACCATGTTCATTCATCTAATGTGCCGCGTACAGCACAGTGTAAATAGCACTGAACACACATAGTAGTAAGCACAGAGTAATTAGGCATCATTAGCACAGTCGGTATAAATGACCCGAAAAAAGGGAGAGCCAGGTCCATCACTGGAGACAACTCTCATCTCTCATGTTGCCTCTCTGCAGAGAAAGAACTCATTAGAGCGACTTGACATGCGAGCATGCTGGCCTACACTCCCATTGTGCTGTGCGTCCACATGTCTGCCCTCATGCCCAGGGCGGTTGTTACAGAGAGGCATTCATTTCTTTCTCCCCAGCTTGACAGTGTGGTCAAGGCCAAAACAGAAGAGATAAATAGAGGGAGAGAGTGCAGACAGGAAAGAGGGGAAGAGATGTGTGGGAGGGAGAGAGCAACAATGAAGAGGAAGACTCTTTATTAAAAAACAAGAGGCAGAAAAACAGAAGGCAAAGAAAGCTGGTCCTCACTCACTAGCCATGTTTATATTCAGTGGCCAAGCTCATTTTTTTGAAATGTTGCAATATAGGAATGAAGAAAAGAAGCGTTTCCATTAACTGGTTTGGAGCAAATAAACTCAGCTACAGCGCTAAAGGCTACACATGGCTGTAAACCGCCAGTAAACAGAGTAGAAGAAGCAGATGCTGCGAACTGGAAACAAAACAAGTCGGCTACGAGAGACACATGGAGGTCTTAAGGAATGGCGGGAAGGTGTTTCCATAACAAAGGCAAACGACACCTCAAGCGAGTCTAAAAACGTTTGGAGTGAAATTTAGCTGTTTCCAAACAGCGTTTCTAATAATCCGTTAATGGAAACACGGCTGTTGTCTCACAGTCGTTGGATAAATTTGATAATTGAGTATTAAACAAAACACTCGTATTTTGAATAATCTGAGGGACAGTGATTAATATACAGCTGACACATCTCACTCCTTTACTTACACATGATGTAGAGGTTTATAGTCTACACTGAAAAAAGATCCTGGTTTCAGATGTCTCACTGAAGACTTTCTCTCTCTCGTATTTCTGATGTACCCATTTCAGTTTCCCCATCCAAACCTGCTCATACCTGGCAACGACTGTTTGTATTCTCCATCTGAAGTCGAACGGTGTTAACTCAACCTCTTTTAATCCCACAGCCCGATAAATAATTCCATGGTGCTGCAGAATGTTTGATGACAGTTATAAAGGCTTGAGGTGGGTATAATCATGGCTCCCACACAGAGTGTTTCTGGGCCAGGGTTTTATTGCAGGGCCTGTGGGAGCCTTATCTGATGGTGTTCACGAGAGAAAACCACATCAAAAAAACAAGGAAAAAAAAATAAAAAATCACTGTATTCCTGGAAGAGCAGAGTAAGTTATCTCTGACAATCTGCATCTGAATGCATTCCCCAATGATGAGATACGAGTAACGCCAGCAGCCAGAACACACTAAGCCAGGCAGGCAAAATGCATAACCAGCATGGGTTCAAACTACTTTATTACTCAAACTGAAATTAGGGAAAGAAGAAGGTTGAACCATGTGTAGATGCCATATTTTTAAGGTAGACTTATAATGTAGTAATAATGAGAAGACAAATCAAAAGGATTCTAAATCCAGATTCCTCTCAAAATATTTTACACGCATCAAATAATTATACCTTTAAATATTCACTCACCATTTCTTGTGCCACAACCTCAGGGACCTCCTTTTCCAGGTCAAACATGAACTCGATGGCTCCACTCTCCTTGTACTTTCCTTTTAACTTCTTGTGGTCCTCCACCCAAAGTTTCAGGGCTATAAAGTCCTTTTTCCCATCATCCTCCTCAGCTAGCTCAACCCTTACGCCCGTGTCCTCAGCAAAGAATGCGTGGTTCAACAGGTCCTTGATGGTGTACCTGGCAGAAGGAACAACAAAGGCACATATTGTATATTTTACTACAGCTAAAACGCTGTGTGGCACGTTCAGTTTGGCTCTCTTCTGTCGCCGTAGTGTGTGTGTGTGTGTGTGTGTGTGGGGCGCATCTGCAGTTTCAGCTCGGAGATGTGTTCAAGCGGCGGAGCATCGTAAAAACACACTTCATTCAAACTCAACGGAAACAAAATAAAACTCAGACTGCCCTCTTTCTATTGTTCCAAAAAAATAGAATTGAATAGAAGAAGCCACTGGAGGCTAATTAAGGGTCATCTTCCCCTCTGTACACAAACTCATTATGTAACAGAAATAGAGGGACACCCTGCAGACATGGTGAGGAGACTGCAGTGCTGCTGAGAGCCCAACTGTCAGCACCACAGCAATGAAGCAGGGGGAGGCGAGACAAGGCATGGAAGATGAGAGGGCACCTTGTGGGCCCTATTGGCTGGACACCGGACAATGATGGGCACAGTCACTCACCGCTCCTCTTTCTTTTGGCAGATACACTCCCCAATAATCTCCTTGATTTCAGGATCCATGACCTTGTTGTAGCTGGCGGGCTTCACTCCCTGAAGAAAGGGAAATATAAACACAACTCTGAGGACACGCCATTAAAGGATGCTGTGTTGATGAAAAATAGCAAAAAACAAAAGGAAAGAGCGCGGGGATGTTTTTTTTGTCACCCGAAATCTGATCTTTTAAGTGTCAGACACTCACACCCTGCAGGGTCGTCAACCTCGACAGAGCGCGGCAGCTGTGGTCAGCTTGAATCCATGTCAGTTGCAATGGATTCCAAAAGGCATAAAAGCGCCCAAAGAAAGCTTTCAAACCACTCCTGCAGCAGCGTCGACCTCTCTTCATCCGAGAGCTCAGTATGTGCACAAGATTATAGCTCAACACCAACATGCAGACACGACCTCGTGAGTTTGTTGGTGGGCAAGCGTGCTGATCGGTGCACGTTTGAGCAAATCTCCCGTTCCCGTTCCTGATGTTTTGCTTGTGAACTGCAATTGTAAAACAGCTGTCCTTAATTAATATGGACAGGCAGTGACAGCAGGAGTGGTTTGAGAAGCTTCTATAGACGTTTCTCCACAGTGGGTGTTTCACACACAATAGATTTTAGTTTTAACATGGTGGAATTTTTGTCAATAGAAAATGTTGTTAGCTCAGCACTCTGACCTCACTTTCTCCATCTAAGTCATAGAAGATATGCATCCTCCGTATTTACTAACTAATTATGAAGCTACATGCAGCATGTGCTCAGGGAGCAGTTTAAAGCTATCAGGGTTTCCCTTTGATCAATCTCCTATTAATATCCTGCAGTGGTCCCTGCAGGGCACTCTAACATGCATACAGTAGCAATGCAGAGAACCGTATCCAGAAGCAGCTGCACCGATGCTGCCCGAACATCAACAAAGGCCTTCTCTCTTTTTTTTTTTTTTTTTCAAACAGCAGGTGAACGAACCATATCTCAGATTTCCACACGGCTAAATCTCCAGCGTGGAAAATCAACACTCTTCATCAAATCAGGAATACTATGGCGACTTTAAACACCCCTCAATCTAAAAACAGTTTGCAGCAGCATGTTTTGCTGGCGGAGACACACTCATTGAAATGGAACACAGCCCCACTGGCTTCATCTTAAAAAAAACAATAAAAAAAAAAAAAAAAACCCACAAAGGACTCCCTCTGTGACTCCATATGGCTCGTTAAGATTCTTCCGATTATGTGGCGAAGCAGCTAAAAACATCCCAGACATCATTGCACAGTATCTCACAGGTTCACTAAGCATGACCCCGAGTTATTACTAAATGCATGCTACGATCAAGGCCTCTTTGAGAAGACTGTGGTATGAACACAATTAAAGAGTAAAACTGTATGTATGCTAGGAGAATGAGAATATTTGTGACCGTTTTGTTATTGATATATGAATACTTGATACTATTGAAATCATTAATAAATACATTGCCTACAAGTTGTTGTATACAGTGTGTGAATGCTAATGTACAATTGATGCAGGCCCTGTTTCGCCTGTACAGTTATTAATATCTCTGCCAGGATGATCATGCGATCCGTCGTGTGTGTGTGCGTGAGAGTGCACCTTGGTGTCTGTCCACGGCTAATATCAAATTCTGCTGCAGCCATCTGCATAATCTTTTGGGTGGCCAGTTATGGCTGCATACTCAAGGAGCTGTCAGGGTTGCGGTGACTCACACTTTATCAAAACATCTTTAATACTACCATTGACTCTGCCTGCTCACTCCTAACTCACTGCTCTTAATCGGCCCCCCGTCTTAAAAAGGAGCCGCTGGTGATAACACAGCTGAGTGCATCGCCGCCTCTCAGCCTCTACTCGGCTTTATTGTTTTTGGACGGTGTGTTTAGCTAAAAGCTAACGGAACTACACATACTGCTGAGTACATCGCTGCCATTCAGCCGCTGCTACGTGGGCAGACGGATTGGTGAGTTTCGTTTTATTTAGCCAAGATTGTATGAAATGAGCCGATGGCCTGCATACATCACCACTTGCTTTTAAGTTGAAATTAAGTGTTTTACAGCGCCATACAGCCCATTGGGGTCTAAACGGGGGTTTGCTAATTGTGGGCTGTATTCATTCAATCAATACAGCAGACACATCTGGCGGAGACCTCACTCTACTGAGCGCACCTTTTTGGTCTTTATCAGTTATCATTTTTGGGCCACTAAACTTTTTCCTGAATTTCTGATTTCTGAATCAAACTGGAATAATGTAGAGTATGTGGACTCACACTAGTGACTTTGCGGTATATCTGAGCAGCATTCTGACACTCGGAGTAGGGGTATTCAGAGGTGGCCATTTCTAGCATACACATGCCAAAGGCGTAGACATCCACAGCCTCATCATAGTGTTCTTCATACATCTCTGGAGCCATGAACTCTGGGGTGCCTGAACAGAAAATACCCAATAGATATGTCATTTATCTCTTTACTGGAAGAAGCATGTATCTGTAATGTTATATTTCAAAGTCTCCTACCTATGACGCTCTTAGCAAAGGAAGCCGCCTTGAGTGTTGCCAGTCCCAAATCCCCTATTTTGACCGAGCCGGTAGGTCCAGTGATAAAGATGTTGTCACATTTGAGGTCCCTGTGGATGATGGGGGGGGTTCTGGTGTGCAGAAAGTGAAGGCCTTTCAGGATCTGTCTGCACCAGCTCCTCAGCACCTTGGGCTTCATTACCTTGAAGCGCTTTAGATAGCTGTAGAGAGAGAGGGAAACGCATTACCTAACCATGAAAGGAGTTTCAAAATATATTTTCAGTAAAACATAAATAGGCTGACATTTCTATGACACACTTTAGAAATGGCAAAAGTTAGAGGTCACTTTAATCACTGTAAATATCTGCTTCATTCACAAACAGTTATTATTATTACTATTATTATCTCCGCCAGGGAATCCTGCAATTGGTTGTGTGTGTGCGACTCACCACTAGTGAGTGTGCACCTCTGTGTCTGTCCACGGCTTATCTTTCATGCTGCTGCAGCAAACTGCTGAATATTGTGGGTGGCCTGTTGTGGCTGCATGCTGAAGGACCTCTCGTGGTCACGGTGACTCACACTTTCTCAAAACACCTTTTATTGCCTGTTTTATACAGCCATTGACTGCTTGCTGACTCCTCACTCACTACTCCTCACAGGCCCCCGGCCGGTAGGGGCCGCTAGTGATAACACAGCCGAGTGAATCTCCGATCCCCCATCTGCTACTCTGCTTGCATACATCCCAGCTTGTTTTTGAGTTTGAATGAAGTGTGTTTTACTTTACCACCCATTGGTTGCGTACATCAGTGGTTGTTAGCCGGCTCCCTTTTATTGTTTTGTACGGTTTGTTTGGCTAACTGCTGACGGATCTAATGCTACAAGTACACACACTGCTGAAATTCTCCCACAGCTTTGCGAGTTCCATTTAGTTTTTGGCAAGATTGCATGACGTGTCTTATACGGCGACCTCGAGCCCATTCCTTGTATTCAACGCCGCTTGTTTTTGAAGTGTGTTTTAGGACGCCTCACAGGCCAATTGTGGGTTTTATTAATTCAATAACACAATACAGCAGTTGTGGTTGACACACCTGGTGGAGATCTGCACTCTATTGAGGGCACCTTTCTAGGGTGATTTTTTAGAGTCGTCTCTGCCTTCAACTGTACTCACGTCTTTAGCGTTCCCGACGTCATGAGCTCCGTTACCAACACAATGTACTTCTTCCCTTTAAGGGGCGACTCCCAAAAGTCATAGAAACGGACAATGTTGGGATGTTGAAGGCCCTTCAACATCTCTGCCTCCTCCTTAAAGCGCTGACGTTCCACTTTCGACAGCTTGCGATCCTAGAGGAAAGACGACAGATGCAGCAGAAAGAAGACGTGAATATGAAGGCCTAATGATAAGATACTTGTTCCAACATATTTCCTTCACACGAACGACCAGATGGAAGAGGCTTTCACCCTGAACTCATCTCCCTGCACATTTTAAATTCATGCATCCAGTATGTTTTAGCAAGTGGGAAAGAGTCAGTCATTGAGTCGTCTACACGTCTTTAATTAGACCGTATGTGTATCAAAGCAGATAACAGTGTGTGTGTTTGGAAAGAATCCAAATGAGTGGCTTTCTTAGGCAGAAAACATATCATGCATGTGTGTGATATGCATTAAAACGACTTTTTATTTAATACCAGTCAGATGTGACCTTACTCACAGAGGCTTTAGAAAGAGACATTAAAAGGGTGACTTTGGGGGGGGATGAACATTCACATGGTCACACCCACTACCCACTGCAGCTAAAGGTTATGTGTCATCGATCTCTTTCATCTTCCTCCATCTCTCCTTCACTTGCTTGCTCCCTCTCTCTTCCGCTACCTTTTGCTCCTCTACCCCCTCCTCCCCCATATCTGCAATCCGTCTCTGCACCCCTAACACCGACCACTCCCTTTCTCCGGAAGCAAACATCCCCCCGCACACACACACACACACACACACACACACACACACACACACACACCCTCGGTAAGCGATGCCGCTCAACCCCTTCCCTCTCCGGTTCTCTGTGAGGCTGACCCCGCTCTGAGAGCAGAACCACCATGGCGACAACTTATGTAACAAACACGCGCGCACACTCAGCACTTAGCGAGAGGACTTGAAAGCACGACCCCACCCACCCCTCACGGAGACGGACGACACCGACGGTGGAATGCGATGAGCACAACGTAGCGAGATTAAATCTATTCAATTATTCAACCACAGCGAGATGAAAATGCACAACAAATACAAAAATCAGCCTGAATAACCTAAAAAATTAACTATGACGCAAGACGCGCTGTGATGTGACGATAAAGCAGTGTGTGTGTGTGTGTGTGTGACTGTGATTTATTAGGTTTTGTGTGCAAGTGTGTGGGGGGTGGGGATTTTCACTGCACTCTTCTGAAGAGCCATGAATAATTCAGTTCTGCAGAGAACCTTTTCTACTGAGGCGAGCTGAGCGATGGAGGGCTGGTGCCGCCCAAGTTGGGCTGGGTTATCCCCAAGCGCTCTCTGCTGCATGAGAGCAGCACTCGGACTGAAGTTTACCTGAACCACAGGTCTGAAAGGAGGAGAGACACTGACGGCTTAGAGCAGATTTGAACCCTTTAGCACTGCAGCTTTCCTCCCTCCTCTCTTCTCCCCCACATCCCCCTTTCATCTTTCCTCCTCCCTCCTCCTCTCATCATCTTGGCGCTCATCTTTCAGGAATCCCGCTGCTGTTCGTAAATAACACCCCAACGGAGTGTTCCCCAAGTCCCAATCAAACTCCCCACAGACACCGCCGTCCGCTCTCCTACTTCTGTTTCCCCTCTCAGCAGCCGTTGGGGCTGCTGCATAATTCAGAAGCCACATGTAGGCTCAGAGGTGTTGTGCACAGCATGGAGGGGATACACAGACGGATACATATGCACACTGAGGCAGACACCTGAAGTATGCCGCTCCCAAGACATGGCATCGCGGCAAGCAATTGGCAAATGAGATTCATTAGTAGCTTCATAGTTACTGTGAGGGGTGTGTGACTGATCGTTTCATTACATTTGAAAATCGCAAAGCGCTGCAAACGCGCGCTGCATGAATGTTTTCAGAGTCGTATCAGGCCGGTGCTGCACACATGGCTAAAGAAAAGGCTCAGCTGGCCAGAGCAGAATGTGGAGCCGCCCAGGCGAGGTTAAACACACACACACACACACACACACACACACACACAGAACACCATACGGGGCAGCAAGGACAGGAAAATGGATTGTGACATTAGCAGTAAGCATTGTATAAAGCTGTGCTTGACTTACATCTGTGTGCTGGACTGTATTAGTTCCCCGGCTACAGGTACACAGACATATGGGACCAGGTTATAGATTAACACATTAGTCCTGGGAGGTTTGCAGGCTAATATACCATGCAAAACTATGTGTTCAAATCAAGTTTCCGGCGTAATGTCCCATGTTATCGTTAATGCATGCTGTTCGTTTAAGAAGAAAGCGCTCTTATTGTGGAGAGATCGGCTCAGGGACTTGAACGCAGCTTTTTCGAGTCTTCTGGATTCAGTTGCTCCTCTAACTACTAAAACTAGACAGTCAAATATTTCTACTATGATGAACAACTGGTTCTGCTCTACTAAAACTAGACAGTCAAATATTTCTACCATGATGAACAACTGGTTCTGCTCAAACATCACAAACACCAGTGAGGCAAGACATTGTTTCGCTGACAACAGAATGACACGGCACATTTGTCCCTGCAGTGACTGCACTTTTTGCTTGATAGAAAGAAAACGTAGCTAAGTGCCACAGGGACTGAGAGGGTTTATATCAGGGTGAGCGTTGACTATTGATTATTATTATGAAACCTTGTGGAGTGTATTAATAACAATAACTCACATTTGTCATCATACACAACGGTCACACCCAGAGACTGACCCACAAACGCAGAAAAGGTGAGTCATGAGTCGTGATTTATCAAGATGGATTCGTCACATAACTGAAAACTACATATTACAAATTAAGGGTGTGGCCTTTAGCCTAAAAAAAATAATATTTCAGTCGGCTGAGAGCAGATAAACAGACAATAACCACTTTCTATTCAATTAGTTTATTACTGTAAAATGTTGAATACAACAAAATCAATGAAATATGTGATGAGCAAAATGAAATTAGTATGTTGATTAGTCTCTTGTATTAATGGGACTTTATTTTTCACCAATAAAAGGTGGGTACCATCACATGTGTGTGTGTTGCTGTGTTTATAAATCAAAAACAATCCGTCTTATGTTGTGCGGGACTGGATCATTATTATCAACCCCAGAAAAGTGTCACAGAGAAAAGGCGAGTAGCAAAGCACTGAGGCAAAGGTAACAGGCTTTTTCTCTAGGAAGACGTCGAAAGACTATAAAGTTTTTGGACGTTGGCCCAGATGAGGCTATAAAATGAGCAAGCAGCTGACCCAAGTCTCCATCCAGACACCACCCAGTCTGTTTAATGTAGAGCTGCGTATTCTCACAGTAGCCCCGATGAGACCACAAGAGTTCACAGGTTCTCACCTAATATTCAAATCTTTAAAATCAGTCACAGTCAACCAGTGAGATCCACAACCGACTGAAGTAAACTTACTGCGAGAGCAACAGGTTTCATCATTGGTCCCAATTATAACAGCAAAATAACACACAAAAAATCAATGTCGTCTCGCCACAGCTTTGTGGTGCTAATTACAGTTTCCTGC